TTTTCATCCGGTGGATACCACTGTCCAACGTTTGAACATCGGGGGCCTGGGTGTTTTAAATAACATTATTATGCTTTCAAGTTTCGTTTTTGTGCATCGAGGAATTTATATACCTGTATAAATTCCAAGATTTTGAGCCTGGAGGGCACAAAGCAAAGAATCGAAAGCGATAGCAGTCATTAGTATTTACCAAATCGGCGCATAATAATTTTCGGACGTTTTGATTGGCTCCCTGCATATAACTCGGATTATCTTTAGCCATTCGCTGTTTTGGGAAGGGAGTTAAAATGTATGGCTTTCGTTTCGGGACAGTTTCGGAAGACGACATTTTAACGACAAATAAAACGGCTGTATCAGCGAATTTAAATGCCAAGAAAACGGGGAAATTTGGCTTGTCGTATTTAACAATGGCTGGGAAAATATTTTTCTGGATGAGCTTGCAACCAGTAGTGGAACAGCACTCGACAAATCCCAGAAACACTATCTTCAAACATAAACAAAGCTTTTACAACAACAACGCTCTTACAGCGGCGTTTAAGTCTCAATCTCCATAATTCTTCAGATGATACTCCGCCTCATCCAATAATTGTTAATTAACCTTCTTTTATTAACACTTTAAGTGCCATTTGGTTCGCTTATTGTAAGGGAATCCGGGTAATTTTTCTTGTGCAATGGGAAGACTTGGGCTTTGGAATCCGGCAAACAGACCAAGCAATCCGGATCCCAAAAACGATTGCAATCCGGAATCCAAGTTCCACTGACAAAAGATCCCGGCGAAATCCAGTGCGTGGAATCCGGAATCCACGGCGTGGAATCCAGAATCCAAGACGGCCATGGATTCCCTTACATGGGGCGAATTTTCTTTCCTAATGTCTGAATTTTGATATAAATGTCGTGACACAGCTCCTTTAAGTACAGCCTGTGTTCTCATTCAGCAACTTTTGCACGAGCCATTTTTTTAGGGCGAACGAGGCCGAATAATTTTCCTCCATTGTTTAACTTTATTTGTTACTACATCATATATCCAAATTTACACTAAAAAGCTGCTCTTAACTAAATATTTTAGTTTGCTTTTACCTTCTTTCCACCTCATCCAGGGGCGTGTCCAGGATTTTTCTTAGGACGGGGTGCACCACTAAGGAATGGCTTAACTGACTAGTGAAGAAAACAAATCATAAAAGCGAATACGAAGAAGGCTTTTGACTAGTCAATAACATAAATTGAACTGCTGAGAGTACATATCATACATATCTGCTTACTTTGCAGAACGAAAGCCGCAGGTCATCTCGACGGGGGGGGAGGGTGCCCAGCCTCAGCACCCCTAGATCCACCCCTGTCCTCGGATCAAGAAAAAGACAGAGCCAGGCTCTGCTTGTAGGGTGTGGTCTTTTTGGTTCGTCAGGAGGAGACGAACAACTCGATGCCATGCAGTATTTCCTTTATTGAAATTGATATTTTTGTACCATTAGTTCGCCAGGCCAAAGCACCCTTAGTAAACTATATTTACATGTATGTACATATTCAAATAAGCAGGGACCTTCAGTTTCAGTTCAGTTTCAGCCTTTGAATGTCCGTCGTTAGACGTAGGCCTTTCCTATTGACCTCCACTGGACCACGTTTTGCGCAATACGATGCCAGTGTTTTACCAAACTCTCTAAATCGTCCCTCCATCTCGTCCTCGGTCTTCCTTGGTTCCCTGTGTGTCCCTGGGGCGTCCAGAACGTAATGAGGGGTTGTCCAACAGTTTTCTGTTCTTCTCGCCACATGACCAGCTCATTTCAATTTGAGTTTGCTTATCGTTTCCATAATATCTCGTACTTTAATTTTTTTCTCGAATACATTGATCGTGTCTGCCAACTGCCAGATACGAACTGAAACAGCACCTCGGGCGGATATTTCTGATACTAGGTGCTTCATTAATGAGAACATGAGTCAGTTGCTTTTGAACTTGAAGTGGTTACTAAGTATGATTTACAATTGAACCTATTAGTAGAATCACTTTCTTGGAATATATGAAAATTAAAGAGAGGAGAAAGGTTTGGAGCTAACAATTAGCAGGCCAGAACAGCGACGGCAACGAGAAAATCATAGCAACGGTAGTTAGTTTCTGGTTTTGAGGTTTGCTAGCGTATCCTGAACTTTATTGTGATTGGCCAGTACACAATCAACATTCCTGAAATTTTTCAGGTGTTCGCGGTTTCTGAGTTTGACAGTAAGAAGTGAGAGCCTCTTATTATTACAAAGGTGACGAAAGCTTACAAGAACTAGTCAACAATAAGAACTTCTACTGTTTTCCAACTAAAATTTTTTCGTAAAATTTGTTTTTCTAAAGCTTAAGCTTTTTATATATATGTATATATGCAATGTATTTTAAACTTTTTGTTTTCAGGCAAAATAAAAGTATTGATATTTCAACAAGTGTTTTTATTGGCCTTAAAACGCTACTGCACTTTTATAGCGAGTAAATCTAACTTCATTAAACCTATTAACTAACCTATGAAGTGAAACTTAGACCTAATGTTAACTGTAACAATATTAAGAAACAACATCATGCATGCTAAGGCAGAGTCAAGTGACGCCGTGTGGTTTATAACTGGTTTTCAGTTTTGTTTTTTTTTTTCTAACTACTGGTGCTAAGTTCATTGCTTGTAATCTTTGTTACCAATGAATTGTTCATGGGACATCCTCAGAGACCTAAGAGCAGTCTCCTGGTTTGAGCGAAAATGCGCAACGAAAGTTTTTAAGTACGGACAGAAGTCGAGCCCCTGGGTACTGACTCTTACCCATTTCCAGAAGGTCATGCGAATGCTGACTCCTGATTGGGAACAAAATATCCTATTTGTACACCAGGGCTATTGTCTAACCATACTTGTCCCTTTCATTTTCCAAAGTTGAACATGCAAGCGGGAAAAATCATATTTTCTGCTTTCCTAGCTAAATACGAAGGAGCTACCGATGACTCGCGAAAACGTTTCGGACGCTATTAGCAGGACCATTACAATTTACAGCGAGACAATTCTGTTTCTGACAAATCTCAACGTATCGTAAATAATATTTACAAAGGAGTGACCGATGAAAGCTTGAATACGTTTGAAAGCTCAAGCTTGTATTTTTGGAAGAGCGTCTTCATAATACCCTAACAAAAGTGGCCGCCATTATTGCCGTATCGCTTAGAACTGTAAATGGCAGATTTTGGTCTCAATGAGGATGTTTCGGATGGAAAGTTACAATATTTGCCCATTTAGGTATGGCTTAGGGCTGTGCATAGTGCACCTATCAATGTTATGCCAGGCGGGGGGGGGGGGGGAAGCAGGGCATGGGATGGGGATTTGATTGTCTTTGTTGGCCGGGGTAGGGCATTTGACTGATCTTGTTCTCCCAGGGTAGGGGATATTTGAATCTTTCTTCGCCCGACGTGGAGATATTTGACTGCCGACTCGGACGAAAAAGACTGAGACCGAACATATGTTTCCCACTCCCACACTTCACGAATGCGCCGTACAGTCTGGAAAGATCTGGAAATCATGGAGGCCAACAAGAGCAAGCGAAAGCTGGGTGGATTTCACTGTTTTGTCTTCAAATTTTCTTTTGTTTTAGCGCGCTTTTGATCAATTGAACCTCTTAAGATACTGTGGTTTCAAAGTAAACGGAAGTAAAGAACAACCAAGTCGATTTTTGCAAGTACAGTTGATCAGTGTATGGCTCATTCGCTACAATCACTGTAAGCTTATAACAATGACTTTCTTTGTACCCTTACTAAGAACGGTATATTTAAACTTACAAAATATGGACTTTCTCCTAAAGGTTTCTGTATTCTACGCAGTGTAACACGGATTATGGTTAAAACGTAAAATTGCAGCTGTAACAGGAACATGTATCTATGGTGACGCAGCAACGTAATATAAATAAAGATTTCAGAGTTTTATTTGAAGTTTTTTTTATTGTGTTTTTCTTGGGTCCAGCCTTGGGATATTTGACAGCGCAATGTGCAGCCCGGGGTGGGGAAATTTGGTTGCATTTGACTGGAATGATTTGCCCGTGGGCAGGGAATTTGACTGCAAATTTTTGAAAAATGTCAAATCCTCACCCCATGCCTTGCCTCCCCCCCACTCTCCCCTTGCGCCGGCTTTACATTGATAGGTTCATAGGAATTTACAAAACTTGCCACAACATTGACCACACAGAAACAAAAAAAGAATACGAGATCCCTATACCTAGCTCTTAAAAAAAAGTAAAAGGTAAAGCAACCATATTTTACGTCGATAACTCGTGACAGTAATAACTGATAAACTTGAGGTCGACGGTGCGCTCATTTTACCCCCTCTCTCCATTAAAGCTCCGTTTTAAGAGTATTTAAAGCTAATCAAAGCTACACTCAAAGGAGAGAAGTTGTAACAAGGATGTGGTGTCGACCGGGATCGAACTCGGGACCTCGCGCACCGAAGGCCGCGCACAAACCAACTGTGCCACCGTTGCTCCTATAGATGTCTGATGTAGTAAGATCTCCTTTAGGGGTCACTTTAAGCCTCAGCTATAGGGTTTGAAATCTACAATATCTATAGCATCTACAGGATCCATAAAATCCACAAGATCTATAGCATCTACAGGATCTATAGATCTAAAAAATATACAGGATCTACAAAATCTGTAGGATCTACAAGATCTATAGGATCTACAGGATCTATAAAATCTTCAAAACCTATAGTATCTACAGGATCTATAGGATCCATAAAATCTACAGGATCTAAAAAATCTATAGGGTCTGCAAAATCTACAAGAGCTGTAGTATCTATAAAATCTACAGGATCAACAAACTCTGTGGGATCTACAAAATCTACAGGATCTCCAGGATCCATAGAATCTACAAAATCTGTAGCATCTACAGGATCTACAAACTCTGTAGGATCTACAAAATCTACAGGGTCTACTGTTACTATATCTATTTGTGACCTAGGGGTATATTTAGGGACACTGAATTCTGCGACATGCTTACACTTAGAAAGATCTAGTTTATCTAAGAGAATGCCAAGGTTGTCCACGCAATGTTTCGTGTTGGTTGGCTTTCTTGCTCGGAAATTAAAAAGTTTATAACCTGGAACCCAGAAACTTTGAATATCTTTGCGAACCACGCTACTTCGAATCCTTTCCAAAATGCTCTTGACTCGTTTTCCTAGTTGATTTTTGGTCCAATATGAATCTTCCGGGAAATCAGTCCATTCCCTTAACAACATTGTCTTTAACACGTACGAATGGAACACCCATGTTATGTGGAAAGACGCCAACTCGTCACCAGGGCTTTCAAAAAGACATAAAAAATCCTCATTTTCCTTCCGCAACACCTTGAGAACCTTAAGCGTCACCTTATGAATGAGGTTCGGATTCTTGCAGATGTGCTTGAGTATAACTCTTTCGGGAATTGAAAATGATAAACGCCAACATGGCCGAGGCTTGCCGGATTCTCCAATAGTTGACGCCACGAGATGATAGCCCTCTGCTACAGCCTCTCTGAACGCTTCATATCCAGGGTGACCCCTGCTGACTCGTTCCTTTATATCTGAAGCGTCCGGCCATCCTGACATTTTGATACACAGAGTTAAATCTACAGCTACTTCATAGTTCGAGTACTTCTTGCCATGCCATCTAACCTTGATCGTTATCGGGATTTTTCTGAGCTGAATATTGACATATTCATCTAACTCATCCCTGGAAGACCGCTCTTGATTAGCTATGGCTTTCTCGACTAGTTGTTTAAATCTTCTCAAGAGAACATCAGGTTTGAGATTTCCTCGCCTGGAAATGTACCTCTGCCACCGATTACGATAATCTTCGTTGGACAGTTGAACATCCACGTAGCCGGGATCGGGAACCGGTCTCATCGGAATATCCTTCGTAACACACACACCAGGAGAGGAAAGCTGCTCTAAACAAATCATAAAATCGAATTCATCGGGTCCTTCGACTTTAAGATCTTCATAAAAACTTCCGCTGGGGATCACAAAGTTTTTAAAAAGTGGATCCTCGCGGCCTATGTAGGCAGAGATTTCGTCAACTAAACCTCTAATTCTTTTCTCGATTTTCTTTACCTCCTTGTGCTCTCTATTAAACTCTGCTTTTTTGTAAAGGCGTTGCAATTCATCGTCCCCGAAGTTGCGCTTCATTTTGAATCACGTACAATGTACAAACTTAAAGCTGACGATCGCTTCCGGGTATATAATTTTGAGCCCGCAGTCAATTTTACCAGCGTTCGTTGCAAAAAGTCAGAAATTACCTGAAGTAACAGTCATTTGGCCATGACACAAGCACCCAGCCGCCGTCGTTATGGATTAATCAACTCGCAAACGACAATGCTTATGCAAAATTTTGGAGTGACCAACAAAGAGTATTATGGTATGTTATGGTATTTTCTGAAGTGGTCAAGTCAGTGGTCAATAGAAAGCTTTCAGCTTCCTACCCAGGCCAGTTGGCGCTATCCGGGTCCGAGTTTGCAGAGGCGGCTTGGAAAAGAGCGCGAAATTTTCCCGACAAGCTTGACAGGTGACGTCACATCCGAAATCGCTGAGGACGACTGGAAATGAGGTTCGAGAGCTTTAGATTCATTCTCGTCCCCAGAGCTTCCTGGGGACCTAAGCACGAGAACCAGGAGGCTCTGGGGACACAGGATTTGAAGTCCTAGATTTTAGGACTTCCGGTAATTTGTGATTTTTACAACGTTTCTAATAGCGTTCACTTGCTTTTGCAGAAGTGTCAATGACTGTAAATTTAGCTGATTCAAAGCTTTTAAAGGACAATCCTCCAACCAACCTCCAACTTACTTTTGAATCAGAAATGACCAGAAGTCCTAAAATCTAGGACTTCAAATCCTGTGTCCCAAGAGCCTCCTGGTCCTCGTGCTCAGGCCACCAGGAGGCTCCGGGGACCAGAATGCTTTTGATTCTAAGAGAACGAAATTTTCCCAATGCGAAGTAGTGGCGAAAACAAGTTATCAAACGTTTAAAAGGAATTTTATCATTTAGCGATCAAGAGAGGGCTTTACAAGGAGCCCATAACCTGGCTTTACATCCTTCAACTGAAATAAGCGTACTAGCTTTTAATTGTGAAAAAAATTTACAATGAAGCTTTCCGGGGTATCTACCTTTAAAGAATAGACGAGAAAATTAAAAAGCGTAAAATTAAATGTTGTCATCGTCTTCGAATCCAAAGCTGTCTAATTTTAGACGTACCTATTGGCCTACCTGTGCCGGAAATTTGTCAGGCATGCGTCATTAATTCTTAAGTAATAATGTAGAAAAGGTTTCATTTGTTGGACGAGCAGTTTAAAACCTTAAAACCATTGAGAATCACATGCTAAGAAGATCGAAGACACTGACCTGGGCAACAAAATAAGCATTGGGAGAACGGAATAGAAAGAATTCAAAGAAAAATGGCCAAAAAAAGGTAGGGAAGAGGGAGAAAAATAAAATTTATCGAACAGGGAGAGATGGATGAGGCGGTGATGATAAAGAAACCTCATGTGATGGCAAAAGTGTTTTTTCTCAACACTGATCCTCGACCTGAGGAAATGAAGACTTTCCGAAGAATATAAGGAGGGCACATTGAACAATCACATTCCTTATGTCGTGGAGCACCATCTACATTCTTTGTATGCAATAACACAACCAGCCTGCAACACCCGCCTGTGCACCGTAAAGAGTGGGTCCCAAACATTTTGGCCCTTCCCCCGAATTTGTTCACCCCCCTCAATAATTAATGACCACTCCCTTACATACAGATCAGCTGAAAGATTCTGGAGAGGTAGTAAATGTGTAAAAGTAAACGTTTTCGCTGCAAACGGCGTTGCCCAGAGAAAGATGTCCCTGGCTCAGTCATCCGAGCTCGATCTTCGCTGAAAGAAGTCACTCTTTGTCTTCGATACAAATGTAAATACTATTAATCCCATAACCATCATAAGTCTTATAAGTAAGGGTTTTCTAAAACTTAACACAGTAAAAACCACGGATAAAAAACGACGTTTCGACCGATCTTCGGTCATTGTCAAGTAAGTACAAAAAAATTAAGAAAATTTAAATGAATTTGCAAATATATGTGTAAGGCTTTACTATCTCACGCTTCATTACTACAAACTTTTCTGATCAACCTTTTTCATCGCCCGCGGCTGTTTTTGAATCATCTGACCCTGTTCGTGTCATTATACTATTGAAAGAACAGTCCTCAGCTGACATAGTGTTCGACACCAACTTCGGGATTTGAGTAACAAAATTCACACGACCGTGTCTCCAGTGTTTGTCAGCCAAAAGATTGAGCGCGATCTTAAAATGCGAGAAGCTCAGCCACCTCTTGTCAACCAGCAATGTCTTGTTTACAAATTTGAATGTGACCTGGGCGATGCAGGTTATGTTGGTTACACATCGGCTCGTCACGTACACCAGCGAATTGAGGAACACAAAAGTGCAAGTTCATCCATCGGCCAGCACTTTCGTGTTAAACATTCTTCAGCACCTAAAGATCTTAGTAATAATTTTAGCATTTTAAAGAAGAACGGGGGAACCATCAGTGCAACGCCTTTCATAGATGATGCAGTACAATCAGTGATCATGTTTGAACAAATGAAGGATTTTATTCATTTAGGTTATTCTTGGAGCTTCCCTCACATGGTGCATCTTTAATGGGGGCACCTTCAACAGAAATCATTGACTCCGTAAGATGATTGGTCAGATACCAAGAGATAGCATCACCAAACTCTCTGTTCCTGTAAATTGCTTGAAATTAAACTTGTTTCTAAGGTATTGACAACAATAGTAAATGAATCTCTTTGCCAAATCCCAAGAACTTGGACCTAATAAACCAGTGGGTTGTCACCCAACTTGGCTGTCAGACGCTTAAAGATCACAAATCTTAAAATCTACCGTACAATTCTAGTAGAATACATGTAGGCTTAAGTTAGGAACCACTGAGGGGGCATTTCAAGGTTTCTAACCGCATGGTGAGGTCGATGTAATGTTCTGATCCCTCCCCCCTTGCAAGTCTCTGACTATTAAGTTATTTCTTTAGAAGCCCCTACCCCCAATTTGTTAAACAAGAAAAAGGCTGCGCCGCCTCAAAGTCCTTATAACCGCTTCCCAAACCCCCCGCCCCGCCATGAATTATGAACACTCCTTTAGTGATAAAAACCAGTTATCAAACGTGGGCGAAGCAAGTAAACTGAGTATCGTGACATTTTTTCTCAAATAAGTATAATTCGTTTATTTCTTGTCCTGGCGTTTTATCTCTTTAAACAACCGTTACGGTAGTATTAAAGTGACAAAAGTGGGAAAGAAGAAGATTTTCTCCTCTGGCCCTACTCCACCTAAAGCTAGAGACGTAAGTCAAGTGAACTCGACTGGCGAAAGGGATATATTAATTTAAAATAATAATGAATAGAAAGAAGTTTTTTAGAAGCTTTTTCCTTCGCAAAGTCTTAAATTTATAACCCTACTAGAAGTAGCTTACTTAATGGGGGGCGATCATTAGAACTTTTTCAAATAACACTACATAATATTTGTTTCTTTATTTTGTTCCAAGAAAGGATAAATACGAGAGAATATGTGTTATACGCCCTTGCAATGTGGGTTAGGTGACGTCTGCATTCAAGTGGCTCATCAGGCCGGAGCTTAACTCAACTTCCGTAGCATGAAGCAACTAGGAATCTCTTTTTATTTTCCAAGGATGAATTGCCAGTCCATAGTAGGGTTACCCCAAGTATTGTTACACCTGGGTGGAGTGAGGCATTGTAAGATTGAGATGTCTTGCCCAAGAACACAACACAATGAACCCCAGCAGGCCAGGAACCCGGACCTCTTGATAAGCAAACAACTTAGCACCGAGACTCCCACTTTTAAGTCTTAAAATATTTTGCAGCATAAGCTTTTTACTAAACAATAACAATCGATAAGCGGTTTGGGTGCGGTGTTCAGTTGCGAAATTTCTGCTTTTTAATGCGGCGCTTATTCTAGGAAAGCGCTCTTATGGGGATAAGGAACTGAAACACGTAAAGTGTCTTTACTGAAATAAACGTTTAAAAATCCCGCTTGGGAAGGAAAAATCGGCTCATAAATATTTCTTGAAAATGTCTCAAAACGCTCGGTTCTCTCGAGATCTCAACACTGCTCGCGTACCTAAAATAATTACTCACATTATACACTTCCAATTTATTGCTCTTTCAATCATGCATAACGCAAGTACTCCCAACCATAAACAGTTTTATAGTTAGAATAAACGGTAAATATGAAATAGAAAAATATATTTGCACTATGAATAAGAGTTTACAAAAATTAATGGGCAAATGGACTTTGTAATCTAGTTAGTTTTCTTCTTTTACAAAATTGATTAGTTTCTTCTTTTTTGAATAGCACTTGTAAAATAACAGTAGGCATACCTTGTGTGGTAATTGTGTAATTGCATGTGTGCTTAGGTGTGTAGTCCGAGCCATAGAAAAAAATATAAATGTATGAAATTTATAGAATGTCCATGCCGGACCCGTTATCCTGCATAGCCTATCCTCCTAATTGCCTTACATGTATACTATAGCCTTGGCACTACAGGAACTTCCTCGACGTCGAATGTTACAACTCTCGATCGTCATAGGTTCATGGAGTCCTTACATGTACTCTACAAAAGGTTCTGTCCATTTCTAAGCAAAACTTGTATCAATCAAGTTTACTCAATTCACATCGACTGATTAACTTTTAACATAGGAAAACATCTATCAATTAAGTTCATAAATCACGTCGGTTGATCAACTTTTACTTTTATTTATAAAGCTGTCTCGAACTGTTTTATCAACGAAGAGACCGTGTTTTCCGCCTTGTTTGTCCTTGTTCTTCTTCTTGCACGAAAGTTGAACAGCTTATAATCTGGTAACCAAAAGCTCCTAATGTCCTTTCCACGAATACTGTCACGGATCCTCTTTAGGATACTATTAATCCGATCCACAAGTCGGTCCTGGGTCCAGTACCAATCTTTCGGCTGCTCGAACCACTCATGAAGAAACATTGTCTTTATAACGTAAGAATGAAAGCCCCACTTTATCAGATAAGATATTTCGGGAGCTCCTGATAGAATCGAGTCTAACGCATCCTCTTCTTCCTCTTCAAGTACAAGCGTCGATTCATTTTTTTTCCTTACTACTTTGAGAATCTTCACAGTGGCCTTGTGCATAAGTGTTGAGTTTCCGCATACATGTTTTAGCAAAACACCTTCCGCTTTGGAAAACGAGAGTCGCCAACAGGGTCTAGGTGCCCCAGATTCCCCGATACATGAAGCTATGAGATGATAGCCCTTCTTAGTAACTTCGTTGACTACTTCAAATCCTGGATGAGAACGGTTGCAACGAGTTTGCAAGTCAGAATGTTTCGGCCATCCTTCAACTTTAATGCATAACACCAAGTCGATCAAAATTTCGTAGTATCTGTATTTTGTACCATTCCACACGAGCTTCAATGTAACGGGAATTTTCCTCAACTCGGTTGTAAAACTTTGTTGGGCCAGCTTTGGGTGAAAATCTTTTAATTTCTCCGTCAAGGCTTCTCTGACTAATATTTCAAACTTTTCCAGCAGTGCTTTAGGTTTTAATTTCTTGCTATTTGAGATGTATTTTTTCCAACGTTTTTCATGAATAGGATCCGGTACGTGTACATGAACATAGCCAGGATCAGGAACAGACCGGAAAGGAATCTCTTTTACCTCACAGACACCAATTTTGGACAGTTCTTCCAAACAGAGCATAAAATCAAACTCGTTTGGCCCTTCGACTTTGAGGTCTTCGTAAAAGCTGCCACTTTGGAGTACGGTGGTTCTAAAGAGGGGATCCTTCTCAGCGATATTTTCTGCAATTTCTTGAACCAAATTTCTTACGGTTTCTTCTATCTCCTTCACTTCTCCATGTTCCCGGTCAAACTCGGCCTCTTCATATAGATTGCGTAAACGCGTGTTTCTTATGTGTGCTATGGTTTCGTCTTCTAGCTTCCTCTGAATCCACGTCTAACACTTCCGTCTTTCCCGGAAATGGGACAGAGAGAAGACTGGGCCATGCAAAGACTTGATTCCAGGGCGTACTCGATATCAAAGCTGGACAGCATGCCGTAAAATCACAGGCGGCCCAGGTGTAATAAGAGAATTAATTATATGAAAAATAAAACTTCTATCAATAAAATATAAATGAGAAGCACTTCTCGACGTCTAAAGCAAAATATTTCAAATAAAAAGGGACATTTTCTCACATTTTGTAGCCCCATGGTGACTTTTTTGTATCAAAACAATGAACCAACATTGCGGGACTTCGCAGCTTCCCAGAAAAAAAATAAATAAATAAAGGATGTCTAGGTGATGAGCACACCTGGAATAAGCCACTTTTTTCGAGTTCCAAAAAATCTCATGTTCAAAACGTCGCCAAAAGATAGTTGTATTTGAACTGAAAATAAAAACCTATTCATGTCAATAGCTTTGCACTTTACCATGCCAGCAGACGTTTCTCTCTTGCATGGCTTTTAGCGTTTACGAAGTAGTTCGCGTGGCTTGTCTGTAGCGTGGTTAGTTTGTTTTTTCACTAGGTTTAAACAAACTAACTACGCGACAGACAAGCTACGCGAACGACTTCGTTAATGACGCTAAAAGCCAAGCTGGAGAGAAACCTCTGCTTGCAGGTTATTTGCACTTTGGCTTTAAAACAGTTACTTGGGGCAACTCGGAAAAACCCCATCGGTTGTTTACCATTTGCATGGGCAAACTGGTCGGTTCAAGATTTGGGCAAATGGTTATGAGCAAAATTTAGGACTGGAAAATTTTATCGCGGAATCGCATGTTTACCACTCATTAGTACAAATCAATTCCATTTACCGAAAAACGGCCGAGAAGGCCTGAATATGGTATCAAACATGGCTATGAAGAAATGAAACACGACTTTCCGTAGGGAACATTCAGTCCGGAGAAACAGGACTACCTTTTCAGACGTTCCATTGCTCCCGAACGTTTTCCGCTGGAACGACACAAAAAGTCGCCTTCTATTTATTTTCTCAAAAACAATTTTCCAACCGGAGGTTCCGGAAACGTTTTGTAAAATGGTAAATAACCTTGACTGAGCCGGCATTATTCCACTTAAGTAAGTTTGAGCAAGGGCAGCAACTTTTAATGTATATCGCACAGTTTCCTGCCATTCTTGCTTTAAAATTAAAAATTTTATAACCTGGAACGTAGAAACTGCGAATCTTGGAATATATAAGGAGCTGTTTATTATATTCTGTTTCTGTTTTTATATAAGGGTCTGTACCCAGCTAATGAGAATGATCCCGAATATCTTTCCGAACCAGACTTCTTTGGATCCTTTCTAAAATGCTCTTGACTCGCTTTTCCAGCTGATCGTCGGTCCAGCATGAATCGTTTAGAAACTCAATCCATTCGTGTAAGAACATCGTTTTAAATACGTAGGAGTGGAAGGCCCAGCGGACTTTCAACAAGACTTAAATGAAATTCATTTTCCTTCTGCAATACCTTGAGAACCCTCACCGTCCTCCCATGAATGAGGTTAGGGTTTTTGCGATGTGTTTGAGTACAATCCCTCGCCGGGATGGAAAATGATAAGCGTCAACAGAGGCGAGGTTTGCCACGAGATGATATCCCTCATCCCTCAGCTACAGCTTCTCTAAACGCTTCATATCCAGGCCGGTGACCGCTGCTGACCTGTTCCAAGCGTGCGGCCATCCTGAAATTTGATACAAAGAGTTAAATCCACGGCTATCCACGACCTTGCTCGGGCTAAATTCGACAACTTTACCTAGCTTGTCGTGAATCGATCGCTGTCGATTAGCTATAGCCTCGTCGATGAACTGTTTAAATCTTTCCAAAAGAACATCAGGTTTAACGATTCCGTGTTCGGAAATGTAGCGTTGCCAACGACCACGATCATCTTCGTTGGGGAATTGAACATCAACGTAGCCCGCAGCCTAGTTCCTAGGCGTTCTCTCTTGATCGGTTGTTCGGTGACGTCACAACTCATGGTAGAGTCCAGGAATGACCGAGCCGAAAACGCCTGGGGACTAGGCTGCGTAGCCTGGATTGGGAACCATTCTTAAGGGAATATCCTTCATAACACAAACACCACGGCTGGAAAGCTCTTCTATAAACATGATAAAATCGAACTCATCAGGTCCTCCAACTTTAAGATCTTCATGAAAACTTTCACAAACTTCTTAAAAAGTGGATCTTTGGAGCTGGAGCAAATTATAGTGGGATATTTCGTCGACTAAATATCTAATACTCCCCTCGATTTCCTTCACCTCCTTGTGTTCTTTATCAAAGCCCCTTTTTCGTAAAGACCTGGTTATTCAATCGTCATTTTGTGTCGAGTCTGTAGAGTACAAACCGAAAAAAGCTTTGCTGGATCTTCTTATGACCCGTTTTGACAGAGCCCGCAATTGCAATTGCCTTTAGCAGCAGACGTTGCAAAAAGCAAGTCGATTCCTGAAGTATCGGTCATTTGGCCGTTGTTAATTGAGCTACCGGAAATGCAACAAGAGTTTTCAGAAGACTGAAGTGTACTCCGTTATACTTTAGAATGTCTTTCACAATAAGCAAACAACTGTTCTCTTGAGAGCCAGTCTTATTGTGCATAATGGAGCTGACGTGTCAGGAAACAAACGTAAAATTGAAACAGTCGGAACTGCCACCATACGGAATGAACCGCGGTCAAAACAACAGATATGCATAGAGTGATCTAGTCTACTACACAGCCGTTTTTAGTGTCGTCACGCAACGCTCCTGGAGTGTTGCGTGACGGATTGCAAATGTGGTTTTGGAAAACGTTTTTGCCTATCAGTTTTCAAAGTTCATTTTTGTTGTTTGTAACGCTTGATATATTGCTTGGGGAACAGTGTTCAATCCTGGACATAAGTGTCATTTCATATGCAGAAAAAACTCCTTAGACTAACAACGTAACCAAATCTTTAATCAAGGAAGTTTTTCTGGGAGGTGGGGTGGGGAGGGAGGGGTGCAAAGCGATTTGGAGAATTATGCGTACCTCTGCAAAAATCCTGGCTACGCCCCTGGCAGTGTCCTGGGTTGGCTTTGTACTTAGTTGGTTGAATGAGAGGAATACCTCTTTGGTCTTACATATTAATAGAAGAAGTTAAACATCTGTCTTGATAAAGCTTGTTACTTTTAATAACATTTATTGTACAGTAGACTTACAGTTAGTTCAGAATGTTGTGATGGGCATACATTAAGTAAAAGATTTTTTTCAGTAAATTTTTTATGTGGCAGTGTTAAAAGACTTTCTAGGCCTTCTTTTTCCCTCAAAAGCGAGCGCCACTTCTGTCTAAGATCCTGATCACATTTCATTTTAGCCATCACGAACTGGCACCACAATCAAGTAAACAGAAAGGAAAGGCGTGACTACTTCACTTTATTACGATAAAAATCTCCCTGCCAGTAAAACACCTTTCTTAAGCAATAAATTGACAAATGGATGGTTCAAATACTTCTTTCAAAAATAAACTGCAGGTTTCTCCAGCCTGCCGAAATAATTTAGAACAATACCACAATTTCCAAATATATTTTTCAGAGCTAAAATAGCAATTATTACAACATTCTAAGAGCGCCAGATAAAATGTATGGCTTTATCATTCAGGAATAAATCACGTTCGATTCTAGTCGGTTGTCACTTTGGCATTTACGATGAGGTAAGCTATTGTCTCTGGAGATGTTCGGAGACTGAATTGTCAAGAAACTTCAGATGATTATCACTCTGCAAGCAAAGCGTCCTTTTGTCTTCTTCTTGAGTGAAGAAGGGAGAAGGTGGCTCTGCCTTAATCCCGTCAAGCCTGTGTAGACGCCGAAGACCGACCTTTTAAACTGGCCAATCCTTGTTCTCTAGCTTTCCGAGTGCGAGCATCCGATTATTGATAAACCGATGGTTATAAGTGAGCTCGCTGTACCAAGCGCAAGTCTATAAGGCCTGGCTTCAAAACTGTATCCTAGCAAAAAGCAGGGTATGTTCAACAAAGATCTTACTCCATTCATGCATACAGAGTCTTTCTCAAGTACGCAAAAATCAAGAAAGTGAAATATAAAGGCTCTGCTAGCAGGGTGAATGATGACTGAAACTGGTCCTGAACCAAAACTAAATTAAGCCAGGGTGTACTTGGAGAAAAAATATAACATTTCTTACTTCTCTTTAAACATTTAAACCACCGCAAACAATGGGTTTGCATCTCCGAACATTTCCCCAGAAATATGGCTGTCCTCAACTTTATTTTGTTTAAATATAATTAACATGCGTAAGTTAAAACATGCAAGTCTGTATAATCAATCAATTCAAAAGAGTAAAACAAACTATAGTATTATCAATTTTTTTCTACATTTTTTTGTTGCAAATTCTGTCTCCACGTACGTTGTTGCGTTATCTGAACATCTAACACAATCATTGTCAAATTTGTGATTCCAATTCTGAATATTCCGCGCTGGAGTTCACTCTCCAACTGTGAGAACTCGTGATGCATTTAAATTTAAATGTAATTATTGTTAACAAAAATACTGTAATTTAATTTAATGAAAATAAAATAGGCTTTGAAGAACTGTTCAACAAAATATTACTTTAAAAATATTTTTTGCAGCCAAAGGGTAAAAAACGTTATCTTAAGTGTTGTGGTGGTATTTCATATGAATAACTCGACTTTGTCCCGTAGCTCCTCTCAAAATAATGGAAACAATGCACAAATAAAACCACAAGGAAAGTTACTGTATGTTGTGTGAGCGTTAAAAAGCGGTTAGGGACTGGCCGTCTTATTTATTAGCAAGATTATTGTTTTATTTACTCGAGAGTCCCCAATAGGCTTCTTCAATCGCATCATCGACCCAAGTTTTCGCGCAATCCCGAATCCCGACAGTTATTTTTGATATCCTGCCACGCGTGCATACTTTCAATCCCGAATCCTGAGGGTTATTTTAGACATCCTGTCTCGCGTGTATAGTTTCAATCCCGAATCCCGAGGGTTATTTTTGACATCCTACCACGAGTGAATAGTTTCAATCCCGAATCCTAATGGTTGTTTTTCACGTCCTGCCTCGCGTGTATACTTTCAATCCCGAATCCCGAGCTTCAAATAATGGAAATCCCGGATCCCGAAAAACCTACTGGGGACCTTCTTATTAATTTACTGTAATTTCGCATTACTGTTTCCTCATTTTTTATCCATTCCCTTCTGGTCCCTATAGATACTTTTACCACTTTTCCAGTCCGGACATTTATTTTGGTGGGTCTCTCCAAACACACTGGTCCATCACTTACACTGTGATTTATATAAATGACGTCACACAGAGTTTTGAGTCACCCGAAGAGTCACATGGTATCGCTAATCTATGGAACAAGAAACTGTTACAAGCTACTAGGCATGTGTGAGACAAATGAACTATCTCTCCATCCCACCCTCCGGAGTTTAGTATGGGAGGAGACGCTGGATTTACTTTGTAATGTCAATGATATTAACTTGATTCATGATGCTTTTGGCAGCCAATTGGAAAAAGGAATTTGTAAAACAGCTTTTTCCATGTTAATTACTCACGGATAACAACAGAAACAACCACTCTTCTTTTATGAGGTGAAATGCCGATATTTTAGTGGATATTATTGAAAGCGACCCACTAAAAGAAAGGGATTTTGTTCAGTTTTTAAGTTGAAATTGCGGGAAATTATTCCTTTTGAAAAATCAGATGTCTCACACTGACCTACTGTCACCTCCCACCCCCCAACCAACCCCTCAAATCCCTCAAGCTCAACAATGATGGGTGTATAACTTGTGTGTTCTAGCAACAGTCATTCTGTTTCTGTCAAAACTCTGAAATGTATATTATTGTAATCACTATGATAGCCAAGTGCGAAGTATGTAATTTTCGCTAAATTTTCAAAATATAGACGGGTAAAAATCCAAGAATTTACTCCGCAATATCGATATAAAAAAATTCAGAATTTTTTATAAAATTTTATGAGCTTCAGACGCCGTCTGAAGCGAGTTGATTATATCTTTTTCTTCGAATAAATGTAAAACCTTTCACTTTCTATAAATATGACTACGAAACATCTTTTGAACAGTATAGAACTAGGAAATATGTTGGAAAATGAACTTGAATCACTTCCAATTTTTGACAAATCACAATGTTTTATCTTCTTTTTTTTTCACTACGTGAAACATTTCTAAGTTCACGTTTTTTCACTAAAACGAATAAACACGTTCAAATATTTTGCTTATAGCGGAGTGCAATTTGAATTGATCTTGGAAGATGGTCATATTATTTTCGTCCAAATACCACTTCCCAGCTACAAGGGAAGGTTCAAATTCATTTCCAGGCTACTTAACTTATTACGTAAAAACTATAAATTAGATGTGAAACGAATGCGGGACCAATTTTCAATTTTTTTCTGGTCTTTGACTATTATTTACAACTTTCCTGAACAAGTCGGAATATTCCAAAATCCCAACTAAGATTATTCCCTTTCATTTGATATAATTTGGGGTGTTTCTTAACTTCATAATCTTGAATACACTTAAAGCGATCTTCGAGAGGATAATGATTATTTCCTTTGAGATACAACATACTGGACATAAAACTGCCCAAAGCTTCAAGTTGTAGACGTTTAAGAATAATGATAGTTACCATACCATTCGCCACTTTCGAAACCACAAGAAAACTGGGTCGAGTTAACTTTCGCAAAGGCCTCTGGGACGGTTCACCAGTAGCTGACCGGCGAGTCCCAAGTAACAACGGATTCCAGAAATAATTTCGGTGTTCCGTACCCTGCGTCGCACGCAGCGCCGATATCCCTGTTCTGTGCCCCCAAAGGACTCAACGAATAGCAGGAGCCAAAACCGAAATCTTACTCACGATACCCGCCATCTGAAAACCGAAGTCAACTATATAGATAAGGACAAAATCATGGCCAGACTCAAAAAATGTTAACTTACAACTCTTCTCTTCATATATAACTTGTACCTATCATCACAATTGTTTCTTTTTTTTTGTCCTTTAATTAGTTTTCCTTTTTCTTGGTTTAATGTGGAACCATATTACTTTTTCATTTCTCTCCTTCTTTCTGCGAAACTGTTACTTTGTTCATCTCTTTCTTTTTTGACATCTGTAATATTTTAAAACTTGTGAGACTGACCTGCCTCGATTAGTTTTAGCTACCTTCAGGTCAGGTCAGATTTGATTGTAAGAGTTTTTTATATATAATAAATAAACTTGAAACTTGAAAACTTGAAACTTTGCACGCGTTAAAGGACTGATGGGAGAAAAAGCTATGTCACGTGGTTTCTCAGGTGGCAAACAAATGATAAAAGCTGCCAATGCAAGAAATCGCGGTCGAGTTTGTTTATGTTATCAAAACAAGACGACGATTTAATAGTCTAAATTTCGCGTTTCGACAAGATTTACGTCATTATAGTTTGCTGTGAGTAACGATGTTTACCTCTACCCATAATTTGCCATCATCGTCTTTATAATGAAAAGTTCTTTATTTTCTGTTGTCTAGAGTAAACAAACTCCACCGCGATTTTTTGCACTGGTAGCATGTATCATTTGTTTCCCCCCTGAGAAACCACTTGGCATTGCTTTTTTTCCCATCAGTCCTTTAGCGCGTGCAAAGATGGCGGAAATTGTGAATAATGTCTATTGCCGGATGTGCGTTTCGAATTTCCTCTCATAATGATCGGCAATTCGACAATGGCTTTTTTTAACAAGCCAAACATGGCGCGTAGTCAAATACTGGTGCACAGGTGGGGGCCCGAGAACAAGGATTTCGGCGCTGTTTCGCAGACTGACTAAACCAGATTTTTGTTTCGTCTGTGACTCAGGCTTGGCGTTCCGGTTCCCTCCTTGTTTCCAAAGCGGCGAATTTTCCGACCTTACCGCGCCGATTCAACGAAATGTAAGAAAAACTGCTCTTCGCACAACGGGCTAAATGGTACCTTCTACTTTGTAGATAATTTAATCATAGATCAGTTTTGTTTTTCAAACTTGTCACCATTTTCCACTCCTGCTGGCGATGCCACCCGGATGACGTCGATAGAACGGAAGTGGATTGAAAGAATGATCGGAGAAAAGGCTCCGTGAAAGTCCTGGAGGGTCTGCAGGGCTTGGATTCGGCTGCTTCGTTTCGACATTTGGAGTGTTCTTCATATCTGAGAAAAGAAATTAAAGATAAAAATTTTCACTCTCATGGAAAATGAGGGAACATTTCATTGGCAACTGTGACATGACCAGGAAATGATATTAAAGGGAACATGTCATGGTGCGTACCACATTTTTTTTTTCTCCTCAAAGTTGAGCTGAAATTATTTTTCTTAGTCCTTCGGGTTTTTTCATGCGCTGAACACTACTGAAAAGAAAGATATCAAATGATTCTATCAAAGGGAAAACCGAGACAACACAGAAGTTTAACCTGAAAAATTGCAATCCGTTTCCATTCTGAACGTCGAAAGCCAAAGACGTACACACATAGATAGTTGCTGCACAGTAGCGAAATAAATTTAAACAAAACCGAACACTTTTTTCAGGGTTTAATCTTTCTTTACAACGTGTTTTTTTAAAAGTAATTCCAAAAAATCGTTTTAAACAATAAATCATTTGAAAAGTATTTCCTGTACACCTTGGGCCCTGAACAATGGCTATGCAGTAACCTGTCCACAGACGTTTGTTGTTGTTGTCGACAATTGGAAAGCGCACGAGAGTGTCTATTTTCTCCTTTCCCACCCCCACCCCCTTGTGCTTGCGGTCTATAAATTTTGTACTCGACGATCTCTGAAGGGAAAATAGAGGGTTTGTGAACAGGCTGAAACTGCAGCTTCAATTCAAACTTCTTCCATCATCAAGGGACAGCCACGTTCAACATCGCCAAACTAATATTGTATGAACCAGTCATGGCCAAGGCAGAACGAGTGTGGGTGACGCGCGAAATTCTAGTTGTAGCCTGCGTAGCAGGCGCTTGGAATGAATGGACGCAAGGAAGAACTGGACGCGCGAGGGAGACACGCGAGGCGAGAGGGGTTTCCCTCTCCCTTCACGTGTCTCCCTAGTGCGCCCCGTTCTTTCTTGCGTCCATTACTTCCAGCATAAAGTATTGTAAAGTAAATTCTACACCTCTTCAAGAAAACGGTTAATATAGCGTAAGACCCACCTTGAATTGTCAGCAGCATTTTCTTTCTGGCTCCAAACGCGGTGATGCCAAGTTCCTTTAAGTCCTCTTCGGTTAAAGTCATAAATGTTGGCAAGTCAACCTTGAAAAGATTACAGAATATGTTGGCGTTTTAATGAGTTAACATTGACAAAATTAAGTCCCCGAAAATTCGTCCACAGAAAAGTCCTTCTAATTACTCAGTACTGAAATATTAGGGACGAACGAAATAAAACAAAATACACTATTTAAGGGGCTGTGTAACAAGAAGGTTTGCAGTTTTAGGTCAATTCTTTGCTGAAGTCACTACTTAATGCCTTTACCCATGAACAAAATGCTTCTGTAGAGTTATACAGAGGATATCAAACAGATTTTGTCAGCGAGTACAAACTATAATAACTTTTTGGTGATTTTTTACAATAACTGAGAGAATCCTCGCGCGCTGGTTGGTCGAGAGCTATCGCCTATGAGAGTTTATAAGATGACTAAGATAGTGCGCGCGTTCTGATTGGTTAAAAATCTATGGTTTAATGTGCCGGTAAACTCATAGAAAACTGGAGGGTTTTCCGTTTTACTTAAAGCTTGTAAATCACTCGCCTCCGGCTCGTGATTTACAAGCTTTTCGAGTGTTCTCCCAACATCCCAAGTGGGTTATCACGCCGGTAAACCCATAGAAAGTGTGGTCTGTTCCTTAAATCAGTAGACCACGGAAATGTCACACAGTGCCGGTTGTTTTTTTTGTTGCCGATGTTTTTTCGTAAAAAAATTATCTGTTATTGTAAAAAACAAATCAACCTCAATTTTCCATGGTCTACGCTCTTATAGACCATAGAAATGACGCCATAAAATGTTCAAAACTTTGCAGTGAAACCACTCGCCGTTCCACTTGAGTTTTGAACATTTTATGACGTCATTTCTATGGTCTATGTAGTGTAGAAGATTGTGGTCGATTTGTTAAAAAACTTGAAAAACTAAGTTGGCCCAAATCCATGATGTCCACCCTTGCCATCTGTTGTAACAGACGACAGGAAACAGTGGGTTTCAATACATAAATAAAGTCTTAGATAACAAAACTCGACCATTTTTTTGAATTCAATTGATGAGAAAAAGTTTGGCTGTTTCAAAAGATAGCAAGTAGCATGAAGGATCGATCTTGTTAGCAAAATTTTGCTAGCAAATTGTTTTAGCAATTTTAGCAAATTGATTCACAAGAAAATTTTGAGACACTCACTTGCAAATATCGCAAGAGTAGCAAGAAGAACAAATTTAACAAAATTATAGACTTAGAAAGAGAAAAGGCCAAGAAGGGCCTCGAGAAGTTGGCAGATTTCACAAAAATCGCAAGAATTTTGGCCAATTTGTTCTTCTTGCACTCTTGCGGAATTTGCAAGTGAGTGTCTCACAAAATTTTATTTCTTAATCATTATTTTTGCTAAAATTGCGAAAACAATTTGCTAGCAAGATCGACCCTGGAACGTAGTTCTTGCTTTTAAACTTGCAGCCTGCGTGTAGATGTCTCCACTTTCCTTCAGTTGTAACTTAACTTTTCCTTGAGCAACAAAAGAAACAGGAGACGTCTGCGGGCAGGCTATTAAGCTTGCCAACGAAAAGGGATGTCGTAACCATTGGCATGCGAAATGTGCCAGAGGGTTAGCTGAGTCGGTAGAGCGCTGAGCTCTAAAGCGTTAGGTCTCGGGTTCGATTCCCGGGGCTACGTCAACAGTCAGTGTCTTAAAATAACTGAGAAATAAATTTGCTGTCTTATTTATCTTACTAACAGCTAGACCTTCGATGGTGGTCAGAAAGAAGGTTGTTATGAAGTAGAGATAGTTACCTCTTGTTCTTGAAAAATACTATAATACTTCGTAAGGCCAATCTTTTCAAACAGATCAAAAAGTTCTAACAGAAAAAAAGCAATAACGAGGAAACAAACATTACTTACAAATAATAAACAAACAGCACCAAGGGATATAGTGAAGCGAAAGAGAGTAATGTTAAGTAAAGTACCTAGTGTTATACAGAATCCACTTTTGCGCATAAAACCACGAAATTTGATCATAAAATACTAAAGTAGAAAGACAATTTCCAAGCATGATAAAAACGTTTCTTGCTTTTCACTTCGCGGCCAGTTATACAGTAGTGCCTCACCGGGTTAATTGGGTCTCATTAAGAAGCGATTTTTGTTGTTGTGAGTAGAGAAGATAATCATTTTTTATGAGTAGATAATTTTGTACTGGTCAAATCACGGGTAATGCAACTTTCATTAAACTTGGTAGCTCTAAAAAGAGCAAAGCGAATCCACTTTATTATACAGCGACCGGACACCGTTGTGATTGACTGGTGTACTCATTCTCTGTTTTGGATTTGTAAAACTCACTTGAAACCGCTTTGTAGCGAGTCTCTGTAATTACAGATTATCTCACCTGAGCAATGAGAGAGGGATGAACAGCTGTTTCTTCTGGAACCAATTGCTCCTGCTCTGGAGCTTTCATCTGGAAAATCAAAACAACAAGAAAGAACATGGCACAGGTTAGTAGCACTCGTGCCACAAGCGGCCGAAGTCCCTAGCATGGAATAATAGCTTACCGTATTTATTTGCTGGGAATAGGGCCGCTGTGCTTATTGATTTTTTTCGATTTATGACCAACAATAGTGCTGAGAAGATGCAGCGTTTATTCGAAGGCGAAGCTCTTTCAAGGAAATACGGTAATTTTAACTAACTTCAACTCCAATTCTCAATTCTAGAATCAAGTGAAAACACTAAAGAGGAAGCTACTTCTTTGCTTTATTTCCGACTCTAGGGAGACAAGTGAGAACTTCTCTGCTTTAAGAGGTCCCAACATTTTCAATTTGACAAGACGACACAACAAGGTTCATAAAATAAAAACAAATCAACTGTAACAGCTGCTAACAGTTTAGTTTACGAGCAAGTTCAGGATGAAATAATTTGAAATTCCTCTGCGTGAGTGGTGCCCCGTATGAGAAGGGCCATTATCATTACACCAAACGATCCCCAACCGAAATTAAACGATCAGAACAATTGCACAGTGATATACATACTTGATAATTCCTCCTCCTCAAATCGTTCCGTCATGAGCGTAGCCTGCAAAAATTGAAAACTTTACTTGCACACTAAAAATATTTTTTTCTGGACTCCACTGCGCAGCAGCCAGTATTCTTAAGTACTAGTGTTCTTGTTTACAGCGCGAGAACCTACTCCTCTGCGAGGGCCTCTTTTTGGCCCTGGGAGATTGAAGAGAGTGAAAAAAGCGCGAGAGGGGATATTGGGAAGGGAAAAGAGAAGGAGAGGTATAGGGGAATTCATCGTGAGGTCATTGTTAACATTTTTGGTCATTAGCATAAGAGTTTACCCATAGAAGAAGTAGCCGTACACACAAATTGAAAGAGCTGGTTAATTTGAGCAGTTTGTGAAAGTTTCAGCTCTTTGCAATCAATAACAGAGAAAACAGGAGCAATCAAACACTGCCAAATTGCTGGGAGGCAAAACGCTAATGAGCTCAAACATTCTTTGTAAATTTGGGGGTTTTTCAAAGAATATTTCTCCGAAACTATTCGGTACATCGGGCTCAAATTTTCAGATATAACTAAAATTGTTATCCTCTTTCAATTTTCAGAGATTTTATTTTATGCGCTTTATCAGATAACGATGAGCATATTCTAATGAGGCAAAAAATGTCAACAAGGATTCGTCTGTAGTAGAGAGATAATAGGGAGCTTTAGCAACGACGACGGCGACGGCAACGAGAACGGCAATAATACAATACGTTTAATAAGTAAAACAGCAATTTTGCACGTGCATCACACTTTTTGGAAAATTTCTTTGTCGTCACTGCACGACTACGACGAGAAAATGTCTAATTTTACGTTTTAATGAGGACGTAAACAAGCGACGAAAGACATATTTTTCTTTCTCTTTCTAAACTTGGGTGCGGTCTTCAAGAAATCAACTCCAGGGAAATTGTCCGACATTTGACATTTTCAGTGAGTTGGAAATAGGGCGACAAAGTTTGAAAAAACGGGAATTCATTTTAAAAGTGACATTTTCGCTGCCGTCACCGTCGTCGATGCTAAAGCTCCCTAGTAGAGAGATGGGAGTTCCTTCCCCCTTTCGCTCTTTCCATCGTTTTTTTTATCATGTGGACGAGAAGAACTCCCAATGCCAATTTAGAGATACCGTAAAATTCCGAAAATAAGCCCCTCCATATATAAGCCCCTCAAAATATAAGCCCCCCAACCAAACTCGTAACGCAAAAAATCCTCCGTTAAATCGCCCATTCAAATATAAGACCCCCCGGGGGCTTGTACTTGGAAATTGCGCTCAAATACACAGGGTAAATTTCTTTCAGACTATAAGGCTAGCCCAATCGATTTTGGAACACAAACTTCCCTCCGTAGATAAGCCCCTCAAAAAGGGCCTTTGAAAAATATAAGCCCCGGGGTTTATTTTCGGAATTTTACGGTATAAAGCAAGCCCGAATCAATACGTACCTCAAAACTACTTCTGCCGCGGGACTCTCTAGGACCACAACAGAATAGCGAAGAAGGATTGGACGACTAGAGAGAAAATGTATTTATCATGGGTTATGCAACCCTTTCTGTGGGGTGTTACATGGTATGCTGTTACAATTGCTTCATTAGCGGTAGGCTATATATATTTGAGTTGTTGTCATTTATATTCATTCGCGTCTTTTAATTACCACCGTCCCTACGCCCTCAAATTTAAATACCCAGTGACTAGGGATTATCAGTTTATCTTTGACGCATGCTGCTATATGAAAGGTTTAGCACGTTTACGGTAAGTTTAGATCGTTTTGTAGGGTGGCTTTCTTACTGTATTTTTTACATTTCCGAGTTTTTATTCTGTTTGTTGTATCATTCCCATCCATTTTGTTAATGAAGGCACAGTAAAGAGGGTTGCTGCACACGGCTCGTGTTGACTCACCCAAATTGTGGTTGCTTATTACATGATAAATGCTTTATATTCGTTTAAGCTGGGTAGCCAATTAAAATATAACATGAAATGCTGTATCGTAACTGTATTATAATCTAGAATAACTAAGCGTAGAGTAGAAAAAAAGGCCTTCATTTAAACTCACTTCAAAGCTACCGTTGAGCGGTCCATTATAAGGCAACAAATTCCCCTTGTTATTGGCCTTGAAATCCAACTGAAAAATGAAGGAGGTGTTAGCACATTGCAGTCCAGCTAGGTCAATTGTACCTCCCAAGATTCCATTAATGAATTTATTATTTGACAAGTGAATCCGATCCGTTAGTAGTTCCCGCAGCCAGTAACAAATTCAAATCTGCAATCCCGCATGCTTAATAATCCGTGAATCTTTTGCGATAACTTCTCTGTATTCGGACAGATTCCGGAAAATATCTTTGAATGGACTAAATTGCTTTGAAGACATTTATATCAAATTCACGAAAATTGAGCTACTCGAAATTTCACAATTATCACTGCTTATTACGCATACAGGAATGCACAGATTAATTAATCTAAAATCTGCAACTACCAACTGATTCAACTTTCGAATAATAAATTCATTGATGGAATTTCGGGGGGTACCTGTCTTGACTGTAACGAACGGCAACTGTATATTCTTCTTCTGCAGTCAGTTGCACAGAATCCTCATCAGACAGCGTAATTACTAACGACTGGTGTTAGCATACAGAGTATGACTGGGCTTAACGTAACTGAGAAGTTAGTATTAACGTCCAGTCCGTCATTAACTGGGCCAAGATCAATGTCACGTGGTATTTCAGGGGGCAAAATAGTGACAAAAATTTGCCAATACGAGTTATCACGGCCGCGTTTTTAACAAAACAATTATTCCACTCTCGCTTGTTGGATATGAGATGATTATAGCCAACTCAAATCCAACGCGCACTCGTGGAATAATTGTTAATTAGCCTGAGTATCGACCATCTCTTTAGGGGGTGGGGGGAGAAAGCATGATACTTAGGTAGAGAGGGTTACATGACCTGACTTTTCCTCCGTTTGCCGTTTGCCGGCCGCTGAACATTGTGATTAGCGTTAAGCAAATCATTTCCAAATCAAACAACAGTAACCTAGAAATGCGCCGTGCCATACTAAGTGGTACAGATGGTGGACTGCAAACCCTATGTTCCTGGATCAATTCCAACTCAATTCCTTCTCTGAAACTTTTTTGTTCTTAAAATTGATAAGACTTACATTGAACATTTGTTGAGAAGAAATTTCTACAGACTTCTGAGTATGGAAGCAAGTTCTTACCAGTTAGATTAAGAATTAACCAACAACACATGTGCTCAATAAACGTTCTTTGATCCGCGCGGCAGAATGTTCTCCTTTTAGAACATACGTTACTGTTCTTACCAATTCTTTTATCGCTGATCCTGGCATGGATTTTGAGAATCCTAGTCCGCTCCATGTATTCGTCGGTGTTCTTACTTCGTCAACGACAACTTTCCTTTGCATGGCTAAAAAAAAGAAAGACATTTCAAGTTAGCATGTTCACACTTCCTAAAAACCAAGCAGTCATCACATCACTCACATAAGTGATTTACGTTTCACTAATTTCAACTCTAAAACAGCCTGTGGTCAAATGGCATTAGGTTAGAATTAAACTAGTAATAGTAATTAATTTTTTTAAAAACGCATTACCTACTGTCGCCATAGTCTTCATGTAATCGTACTTATCTGCCTGTGAAAGACATAAAAAGTCAGAAGTTTGAGACGGAACAAACACTTAAAATAAATAAACAATGCAACATATCAAACAAAACTAACCCACAAAAAGCTATAAACTTACTGTCTGGGTCGGCGTGTTTGGAGGGATCCTTTGTAAACTGAAAACAGAAACGCACAAAGTTAAAAATCGAATTCAGCGGAATCTACTTGTCCCCTGGGTGCCAGAGACTTTTCATGCGCGGTTTCCGGTTTCGGTCAAATGCCTAGTGACCTGCGCGAAAAACATTTTCTGGCGGTCGCAACATCGGCCCTGTCGCCCCGAAGCAACTCATGGGGAAAAAAACCTCTGGTACCCAGGGTGTTTACGCGAGAATTTGTTCATACAATCTCGGACACCTTCCTTCACTGCCATGCAGAAACAGCCAAAGAAAAAATTTAAGGGAAAAAAAAATCCTCTCATGCACAAGCCCACCCACCTCCCCTAAGATGTTTGATTTGAAAGGAAACATCAGGAATTCATTTCACGAACAGTCTCAGACGTTAAAACGTCATAAAACGTCTCTATAATTGTCTTTGACAGTCAAAATTGGAAAAAAAAAGAATCTATTGCTTCTCAAAGGTGGGCGGAAAGGTTAGAAGCGAGTGAGCGCGAGAAACAGAATTTGAATCTGAGCTGAAATTGAAATTCACTGGTGACAATGGGCAAATCATAGAGAGAGACCTTTAGATTCGAGGACGAAATACTTTTACGCGTATTCCCCCCCCAAAAAATAGACAACCCAGAAAGCTTCATTTCACCTTTTTTCACCATAAAAGTTAACACGGTTGTTTTTATCTGCTGCTTGCAAAATGATAAAACTTCTAACGTTTGATACCTTGTTTCCATCACTAACACATTTTCGCTAAAACCTGTAGTAGTACGACGACGACTGTCGCGTTTTCCAGCCAAAATGACGCTGGTTCACGCGCGAACACTACTTAAAGTTAAGAAAACCCGTAGTCGTCCTCGTCTTAGAATCTATAAAAGGTCTAAAGGTCCCCATGTTTCCCACCGATTTCTGTCAATCTGAAAATTAAGTACACATTTGTAGTATGGAGTTTAGATAGTTTGGTACTCACAGCACCGCAGAAGAGTTGCTGTCATCTAGTTCACTTGAGTCCGAGCTCAGGCTTGATGAACTTGTCCTAGAAAACATACAAAAATGCTTATTACAGTCGAACCTGTATTAAGCGGTCAACGTCGGGGAATGGCTAAGTGACCGCTTAATACAGGGTGACCGCTTAATACAGATTGCAAGAAATACAGTTCGAAGAATTAGATCTCCAGTGCTGATCAGATCAGACGTTTGACCTCAAATACAAACATTCATTTCCGGCGTTTTAATGATTTTCGAAAATAAACAAGGAAATCAATTGTTGTACCTCGTGTGTTACAATAATGTAATATTATTTGAAGCTGTATGAACAAGTAATTGACACCGTGTGACCGTTTAACACAGGTCAAGACAATAGAAGAAGTCTCGTTGGGACTTCGCAAATGGTGACCGCGACCGCTTAATAGAGGTCGAAATTTTAATAGAGGGTGACCGCTGAATACAGGTTCGACTGTAGTTGTTTTATGAGAGAGAAGTAACGTCGTCGGTACGTAGTCGCGTCAGAGGTAGAAACCTTACAAAACTATGACGGCAACGGCAACGAGAACTTCGGGAAAGAAAAACAAAATACGTCAAGTAGGCAAAAAAAAACCTACTCAGAGCGTGCATCACGCTAAATTTCTTTGCTGCACAACCACGATGAGAAATGATCAATTATTGCGTTGACTAGAACGGGAACGGCAAGGCGATGAATTACCTGTTACATTCATCTCTCCCAGTGAACTCGGACGCAGACCCCTTCAATTCCAACTAATTACCCTTCTTTAAACTACCTAAGTGACTTTGTACAAAGGTGAAAGTCTATTTTACAGCGACGTTTTAACTGGCGTTGCCGTTGTCGATCGCAGGGTCCCTAATGTTGCATTTTCTCGACCTAGGCGCAGGTTTTTTCGGCGTGTTCCCTTGGAGTTGTCTTAAACCAATCGCGCATAAATGCTCCATTTACTAATAATATTTCTGACAAAATCCGTGGTATTCAAAATTAAAAAAGCCTTTGACAACTTACTTAAAATTCACATGCTTTGTGCCGGACAATAATTGACTGGCCTGTCTCTTGGAATGATTTGAGGAAGAACCTAGAAGAAAACGTCACAAAAAAATGTTAAAACAGTTTGTCCAATTTACTTCAACGGAGACCCGGGGAATGAAACACTTCTTCGAAACGAACTTCACTGAACGCGTGAAAAACTGCTTTATTTCTTTCTTTCTTTTTTTTTAATGTCGAACCACAACTAATAATAATCACCCTTGAGAGCTAATAACAGTGGAAAGTCGAAGACGTCCCTTAGAGTAAAGACACGCCTTACAAACCAGTTTGCCTCCTCTCTTTGTAGAGTAGGCTTTTCTAAATCTGAATACTACTCCGTACGCCGCTGAAGCCTTCACCTACATGACAAAGAAAGTGCATTTACAGCAGTAAAAGGGATGTAAAACTCTAAACTTGGTATGTGAAAAGGGTATTATTTGTCAAAGTGAAAGGTATAAGCAAGGGTACCTTTTTTTTGTCAAAAATAGTATATAAAAGGATTAGGGGTTGCACCTCGATGCGGAGCCTCCCCGTATAAAACTCTATTGAGTACCCCCCGGGTTCTGAAACCATATTACTGTCAGTGTTTCCTCTTATATCTAGGTTTGCTTTAAGCCGATACAACCGGATTACATACCAACAGGGCTTTGGCTTCCCCCATTGCTGCCATGCATTTGCGAGTCGTGATATGGCTGAAAAACAAAAAGAACTCAAAACATCATCTACAAAACAAGGCGAAGTTTTGACAGCACAATTTGAATACAGCGCAAGAAAGCATTTCCAGCGACGACTGAGCTATGAGAACCCTTGCCAACGCGATGTCCATGACTGGGGCAAGTATGATACAGTTTATAGAGTCTGGTACTGTCTGTCTGTCTGCGTATCTGTCTGTAAGTTTGTCTGATGTATCAGTCAAATTAGCACTTACCACCAAGTTAACGAAGCGCTGAGCGAAGCGACTTGCGACTCAGTTGGTCAACGGTTTATTGACACTCATAGTGTCGTCCAAACGTCGGGGCGGTAGATAAATAAAACCAGCAAAAAAAAAGTGTAAAGGCAAACATTTGCAAACTCACGTCTTGTTATGCACAATTAAAGCTGGTTGTTGGTCGCTGTACATGTTAACCGATCTTTTTGTGTGCATTCTATTGGCCATGCAACTTCTTTGACAATGTCGGTACCGCACCTTTGCAAGCAAGCGGTCTGTACTGTACAGAGTTTAAGAGTCTGTCCCGTTTTTATGTCCGTCTACTGTTACATCTGTCAGTCAAAAGAGTAAGAGAGTTATTATGAAAGCGTATGAAAAGAAACTGTATGTTTGGTACACGTGTAGACTCATTGACATCCCAATATACCAGTGGCAACCAACGACTGAATGTTTCCAAATACGTCAGAAGTGTCTGAAATGGTTTTCTCGGTTAATTTTGAGCTGCCCTAAAAACTGCTCCCCCTGATGGCTTGAAAGTTTCAGGTGGCTTTTTCGTCTTAACCGAAACAGTTCGCTATACCCTCATGGGTTCGTTCGAAAGTTCAAAGACATGTACTAGTCTCACTTTTATTAGAAAACTCTTGGGGAAGTTTTGATGTTATACTGAAATTTTCAGACGACCTTTTAAAATAATAATCGCAATATCTTGGTAATAAAATGTGATGACCTCCGAAAATCGTGGGCAAGTTAGTAAAAAAACTCCTGGTATCATTATCATTATTGTTATTTCAAAGAGAAAAGTCGCTGGGTGTTCCTGATACATCCTTCATCTGCGTCTCAATGTTTTAAATCCTTGCCTTTCACTGTTAATACAGTAGTATTTAGGGTCTTAAGTTTAGTGGCTATAGTAAATCCAGTGTTTTTCGCCTCTCAGTGGTATTCTGTTCAGTGAGTCTCCGTTACTTACAATCGAGTCAGTCAGGTCGTTTCCATTAACCATACTGTGGTGATTTGCTGCAAAGGAAGAAACCGACAAGTACGTAAGTATCTTCAACACCTTAAACGCAGGGGCACCCAACGGGAAATTTTGAGAAAAAGACCTAAAAACAACAACAAAGCGTGAATAAAGTTTTCTGAAACTATTTTAAGCATTTTGGGAGATTGCTGGAAAAAAATTATCTGTTCCTCACTCCCAGCAAGACTGATGGAAGAGTTCCCAGTCAGCAAACTTACAACCTGCAACCTGACTTACTGGGAAGTTTCATAGGGCACAATTCAGATCTTGAGTGGTAAGTGTAGGTTTCAAAACGTTCTTCTTGTATCTGTTAAGTTTTTCCCGTCATTAGCCCGCGCGGGACTGGTAGAAGAACTACGTCATTTATATGTCGTTGTAATATTATGGTCTGGCGCATGTGCTCGCTCGAAAATCTTGAGGTAAAGTTCTAGTCGAGTTCTGTTCGTTTACACGGCCTAAAGTCTTTTCACGTTTCCTTCGAGCCTTCAAATCCTGTAAGTATGTTGTCGCTAAGTATTTTCATCTTTCTTCCTTTTATTCACACTCGTTTTGTTTTTCGTAGTCTAACCAGATCGTTGTAACGAATCTTTGGTCCGAATCTCCTTGGAATAAATTCATATGAACATTTAAGTCTACAGTAAGTAACCCATACAAATAACCCGTAGCAGCTGTTCTAGACTTCAAATCCCCTCTGACACCCTGAATTATCTTTTTCCCAGCAACACTTTCCTTCCAAGGACTATTACTTCTTCCGCATCTCCCAGCCAGCAAAAATGTGCCTGAAGAACAGATATTTTGAGGAACAGATCCATTGGGTGCCCCTGTAAACGCACGCTACCTTAAGATACACCGTTTTTGCCAATGGTTAGAGGTAGAGGAACATGTTTGCTAAGTAGTTATATACTATAAAAGGTAACATGAATTTCCTCGGCAGATGTGATAGTGGTATCATCTTTATATCAGGTAGCCTAGCCGTTTCTCCGGGGTAGAAAGCAATCTACCCGTATTTACGACTATCGATACGGTGGTTGTTTTATATCATTTACAAAAATTGGTCACTGATTTGCGGTCCGTAACTTGCTATGATACGGACGTAAATCCCAAATGAAGAAACTGTATCGAACTGTATCGAAGATTCACGAAGAATTCTAGGTCAGTGTGAAAAATTTATCGCAGAATCCACAGTTAAGAAGACGAAAATCGACTGGCAGAGATTCGAGACGTTTTGCCTAAGAGAAAACGAGTGATTCTTCGACAAATATGATAACAAACATACCTGCACCTGATCATCTTGACAAGCTTCTTTGCCATTTGCAGTGTACTTTTTTTTGCAGATCAACGAATTAAGAAAGATGGAAGCGACTTCGAGCCAGACAAAATGTCAAGTTTTCAAAAGACTCCATTGCACATTGGCGAGCGAATTACTTACGGCTTTGCGCTACCGAAAACTCGGCTATCTTTGAAGGCACAGAGTTTAGCCAATCAGCCCCCTGTGTTTCGGCGGGAAAATTGTGCGCGCAACGCACCAACCTTACAATTTTGATAAAATTTCTGCGAAGTCAAAATGGCCGAAGATGTAGAAAGATGCAAAAGGACTTTGCACAGGTAAGGAACGTTTTTTAATTGTCAACGCAACGTATGCGAGTAAATATTGTTTCAAGATCAAGCTATAAGGCAAAAAAGACGTAATGGAATAACCGAACGTCAGTCTCAGTTCATTTCGGTACTAATTTCACCAGTAGTGTTGTCATACAGACAAGCAAATAAAAAAAAGCCAAATAGGAGTTCAAAATCATAAAAACACATTTGCAGTACGGTATATTACTTCAATTTGACATCAATAATGAAAGGAGATACACTAAATTGGCCACTGTAAAGGTGTTTTCTGCTTATTTCTTTCGTCAAACCAGATCCCTTCCTGTAGTGTCAGAACGTGCCTAATTTAATGCCATTTTAATAGCATTTTTCAACTTGCACAACTTTAAGACTTATAAAGGAATTCATGCAGTATAACAACCCACTCAAGCATTTAAGGTTTTAACTGCAACTACAACCTTCTCGGCTCATTAAAGACGACAGTACAGTAAGGCTGATAATTATTATCTACCGTGTTTAAAACGTACCATCATCGTCAACAGTCAATGGGCTTGTACTCGTCTGACTCCTAGGACTTAAACTGCCTGACGAGCTACGTCTCAAGGGACTTCCATTGAGGCTTTGTCTGTCTATAGGCCGAAAGGTTCTTGATCCAGGACCTTGCCCGATGGTTCCAACGGGACTAGGAACTCTTTGGCCAAGGGGACTGCCATTTCTTTGGTTTAACTGACTTTGAGACTTGCTTAGACAACCTTGTGTTGAACCTGGTGAAACGAAAAGAAGTTGCTATCAGAGAATTTGGTGCGCTACCAAAACTTTGCATAAGCAATATACAAGGGAAATTAAAAACAAAGGTTATGAAATTTTTTTTGGAGGGGGGGGGGGGTGATTCGAGGAGCAAACCAGGTGTAATATGGGAGATGTGCAAATGGTGAATGTTACTGCCCCTAAAGAAAGCAACAAATTCTACTCCAAAATACCAAACAACCAGATCACGAACAGTTCAACATTCTTGACGTGGTTTATTTAAATATACAGGTCAAACGTTTGTAGCAAACACTTCCCTGTAACCAAACACATTAAACTTTTACAGTCCTAAATATTATTTTGCTGTGTGAAATGTTTGTTGAGAGGCACACAGGGTTGTCACTAAGATTTCAAGTTGCCGGGTAAATACAACAAGTAGGTGGGGAATCAAACGGCTAGGGATTTCTTTTGGTTCTATTTTCCTTCTATTTTCCAATAAAAGTAGCCGGGGGCCACTCTCTTAGTAGCCGGGGAAAATCCCCGGCCCCCGGCTCTTAATGACAACCCTGGGCACATTACAATATCACGGCACCAATGTGATCCATGTGAGTGTTGCATGTCAGCCTAGCCTGTGACTATGCATTCTCAATATCTCTATATTGCAGGTTAGTGTTAGCTCGTTTTAATTACCTGTACTTAAACTGTTAATGTATCCATCTGAGGTGGGTGTAGATCCAGTGTAATTCAAAAGATAACCACTTGGTAGATTATTAGCCATAGAGGTCAGTGTCACAGGGGGTCCTAGTCCTGGAGGAGGTGGAGGACTCGTTGGATAGCTTGTTACACAGTTTATGAGAGGATGTGCTGTAATCATGTTTGAAATAGTGGGTGATGTTGGAGAAACAGCACTAGTCAACCATGGATTTGGGTTGCTAGCTGAAGGGTCCACTGGGCTAAGGGTGGGGCTCGAATGTCCATTCAGATGACCTTGAATGTAGCGTTGTGGAGCAGAGGTAAGGTTAAGCATGCTGAAGTAATTTCTTGAGAGGTTATCTAGTGAGGCAGTGCATTGATCATGATTAACCAAGCCTGTTGTGGAAAATGCTGGCGAGGAAGCATGATTTTCGTTGCTGTCAAGTCCAAGGATGTCTAGTCTTGCAATGAACATGTTTTCAACATTTTTCTCCGCACTCTTTACAATCACAGACTGCAAATGAAAAGAAAGGACATAAACAGCTTTAAAAATATCCAAACCAGGAAAGCCAATAATATAGTGACTATTGTAACAATAGCCTTGTCTTAATTCCTTAAATATTGGACTGGAGTGTTAATAAATAATAATTCTCTTATGGTGAAATTAAGTTGCAAAAGAATATTGCTAATTTTCTCACCTTACTTGGTTGCTTAGGTTTGGGTTTTACACTCACAAAAACATCATATGCCTCCATTATTGTATTTAATTTTGCTGAAATTAAAAACGTACAAAAAAGTGACTATGACAGTACACTCAGTAAAACTCTGTTTGCCGAAAGCAGGCAACTGACCTTTCAGCTCATAAAAGCAAAACAGTCAACAATTACACAAGGATTATTTACATGGAATATTTTTTTAAATCAGCCACTATCTCACAAGAGCACAACCACAGCCTCAGTTTATGCCAGCGGAATTCAAACTTGCTAAATTTAGTCACTCACTAAAATCTTACTTTTTTTACCATTATTTATTTATTTATTTGCCAAACAAAAGTAAAAATAAAACAAAAAATACAAGATAAGTAGAAAAAGAAAAGTGGTGAGGTGCAGACCCAAGAAAAATTTTTTTTTTATGTCATTAGGCTTTACCATTCTTTTGACAATAACCTGAGGAGAGATCTTGGCATTGTTTTATATTGAAAAGAGACGTCACTGAACTCTAATATACTGCTGAAGTGTGCTGTTGACAAGATGGTGAACACCCAAAGACATGAAGCCATGTGGTTGTTCATACCATTAGATAATTGTTAGCACACTGCCATATATATTATAGGAGTGTTGGGAAGGCCCATGCAGAGCTGTCAAAAGTAGCTGGCTGCCGGCAAAAATCGTCACCTACTTCGTTAGTATTGGCAGGCTACTCTGCTTGGCATTTCTATAAGATTGCGTTTTTAAAATAAAATATGCCTGGACTGGCCGCTTACTCTGACAACTCAGCCATCTATACTTCAAAACTTTCTGACAACCCTGCCATGAGGCTTACTTGTTTGACATTAGCAGTCCCTTCTTGACAACATTGTGTCTTTAAAAAAATAAACATCAACACTGAAAATAGGGGGTGGCGGTTGGACCTCCTTGAACCCTTTCTTGAGTACACAACATCTCACTTGTAGAAAATAGTTACGATAAGTGTAACTAAGAGAAGGTTGAAAAATTGGGTGCAGGCATCAACAAATTTGCAGTTCTACCTTAGGTGGCTTAAAAACTTTGTGCATAGTTTGGTGTCTTAAAACTTACGTAATGACAAAGATGTTTAATAAAATACATGTAGGGTGCAAAGAAATCTTACTGTTATCTATATCTCCATCCTCCTCTCGTAGGTCAAACATCAGTACAAGGGGAAGGCATTCCTAAGGGATAGAGTAGAAACAGCAAGATTAATGCAATGCAACTAGCATTTATTTCATGTAAAGATCATAAGAGAAAAAAAAATAAAAAGTTATCATAATTAAGGACTTGGTCGTTTACTTACAATAAGCTGTGCTCTTGCATGAATAACTGACTCCACCGTCCCAGTGATAAAGACGGTGCCTTTTCGTTGTGTTCCATTAGGATCAGGAAATGAAATGCTATAATAACAAATAAGAATTATGTTTGGAGTGAATGTTCTAAAATGCAACTTGCAGTGCTTCTCTTTTTCTCTTTCAATTTGTAGAGCAAAAATTCTGCTGCATTTTTCAATAACATATGCTACCTCTCAAGTCAAAACATTAACCAATGGTTAAGTTGCTTGCTTCAATCAATCATATTACCATTATTACAACCACCAAGAGTTTTGTCAAGATGATTGATGGAACGAAAACCTAATTGTCGGTTAATTGCTAAGTACTTAAATCTTTACGTTGCCTCATCATTAATATTAATATTATTTATTTAATTTAAATTCCTTGTGGGCACAAAAATTTGGCTACAACTGACCTTGCCCCAGTTTGCTGCATGATTTGTTTGATGTTTACTCCATTTCTTCCAATAATAAATAAGTGATGCTGAGGAGCAATATCAATCTGCATGTTCACTGGAACTGAAGACTGAACAAACAATAAAACACTTGTTATTATAATTTTCATTATTATGGCTGAATCCACTAGCAGGCAAGGTGAAGCAAATCCTGTGTTCTGATTGGCTACCCAAGCATGTAAGATGAGCCTATCTTGCCTGCTTGGGATTTCCTGTGTCCTGCCGTCTTAAAAGTCAATTGTTCTTTATTGGGCAAATAATAGGCCAGTTGCACGATGACGTTATTTTACTACTAAGAACAGAATCTTTCAGGATTTTGCTTTCTTGTGCAAAAACAAACCTTAAACCTTGCTGGGATGACCAAATTTAAATATGAAAGGAACAATGAAAAGGATAGTGCCCTAAACGCTGACAAGGACCAACTGTCAATGGAACTACAAATAGGCACTATTGTATTGTAAACAAGATCACCCTTATAAAGTATTTCTGGTATAAAAATTTACTTAAGGATTAAAAAAATGTACTTTATTTGAGCATCAATGTATTTAGCACAAAAGTACTAAATGGGGACACTATTTTTACATCTCCTACTGGAGACGGGACCACCATTTTATGTGGTCATCTGAGCCACGCGACGGTCGAGCTATTTGTAGGGCAAAGGCATTACTTTCATTTCTCAGTCATTTTAAGACCCTGAGTGTTGTTCCAGTCCTGGGAACAGAAACTGGACCTCCCACTCTGCAGTCAAGCACTCTACCTCCTGAGCTAATCCTGCAGCAGTTAAAAAAGATACCTATCCATGGTAATGTCAATTTTTTGCATGGCAATTCGGTGTCATTTCTGTCAATGCCAAAAGCACCTGAAGCATCATGCTTAGGTAATGTTAACAACTACAAAAAAAACAACTTTTAAAAGGTACTTACAGCTATTTTTGCTGTGAAATGCTCAACTAGATGGGAAATGGCATCCTGAGGATTCAAAAACATTCAGTTAAAGACAATATTATATTGTTTTTAATCTTATCTAAAACAAAATTCTCCAGTATTACTGGTGAATGAGGAGCCCTGAATTTAGAAGCAACAATGACTGTGTCTTGCCTCAGCCTCTTTGATAGGACAGTACTTTCCACTATTATTGGACTGTTGATTTTTAATGGGCTCATCTATCTCAGATCTAGCAGAAAACTCTTGTGCTGTCCAATTTTGTCTGTATAATCCTAACTGGAATCAATCATGTATTTGGACTCCCACTTAACCTAGGAAAACAGCTGACATTTTGCAGCATCACTGGTTTCCTAGTGAAATGATGTCTGAGCAACAAGCACAGAACGTTCATTGGTTTTGCCACATGGGGAATTTTCTTTAACCAATCAAAAACGCTACCCAGATCTCTGTAGTAACATGTCATCAGTATAGAGCATTGTACGAACAAACAATAACACTTAACCTTCCTTTATATAATTACTTTCAAAATGAAAAATTCACAAACCTTAATACCAGCAACATGTTGCTGTGAACCTCTAATTATTGCTGTTTGACTGCCAGCTCTGGGTCTCTGTAAGACAACATAAGTACATGAAAAAAAAAACTCTCACAAAGAACATGTTATATCTTAAAGTAGTTAAGGTCAGCCCAAACTTACAGATAATCAGGGCTGACATTAAGGGCCAAAATGGCAAAGGGAGCGTGCCCGGCTATTGAAATGGGAGACCTGCATGGCCACTCTATTGGTATCAGGCACAAAATGACACACTGAAAACACAACAAAAGTGGAATCACCCAGTATTTTCTTCCTAAACCATTTCCCCACCTGCTTCAAAACAATTTGACTCACAGGCTTTGTTATTCATGTTACCATCACAGGAAAAATTCAATTTAAAAAATTTTAAGCTGATCTGAAAGGTCCAAAATTAACTTTTGATGTTGGTTGCCCACTGGACAACCTTTCAGGTCTAAGTGTCTGAGACAACATCTACATGTAGTCACCAGACAAAAGCACATGGTCGGTCAGATTTCCAGAGTTTTGTTGTGGCTTCAAGGCTAACTGGCTTTGTCTGAGTCTTCTTGATAGCAATTTTAAATCTTATATCATGAATTTATTCAGTTTCGCAAGTTGCAGTACAAGTTGTTCTTGTTGTTGTTATGTAATGTTCGTTAGACAATAGTAGATTTCAGATCCTGATCTGCACAGTATGTTACCAACAGCCACATGATTACACCAAGCAAACAGGAATCACAGAAAACTGATTTTCCACCAGCTAGCAGAAGTCATTAAATTTTTACTTATTTACCTGTTTAAAAGTGATGGTGACATTGCAGGCTTGTGCTATCTGCTGGATTGCTGGTGAACTGGAATCTGATGGCAGTCTTCCACTTAGTGGCAATTCAAAGGTAAGAACCAAGGGTTGTAAATCCTGATAATCATGAAAGAAAACACCAAACTACTATTAATATTGACTTGTTGAAATAACTGTCAGATGATACAGCAGACTCCTGATAACTTGATTTTTCAAGGAAAATAAAAAAAGTTTGTGTTATCGGGACTTTGAAGCAAATGTCTGAAAATAAGGAAAATAATAAGCAAATAAATGGGAAGGATTTTAAAAAGAAATTAAGCAACAAAGCTTGATTAATATACAGGGATGGACACAATTTGAATTGGAGTGAAAAAAGTTAAGACAAAGATTTGACACGCTTGTTTCGAACAAAAAATCCTATTCAATGTTTCAGACTTCTTCAGTGGACTGGTTTTTTTCTGATGTTTTTCCCAACTTGTCACATGCTTAAATCAATGGTAAAATTATATAAAAATGATCTGAAGGGAAACAAAAATTTACTTTGAGTTAGTGGGAGGTTCCAGTTATTGAGGGTTCAAGTTACCAAGGGTAAAATTACAGTACATGTATGAAGGAAATTTGGGAGAAATCAATTATATTTTTGGTTTGATTAGCGTGAGGTTCAAGTTTGCGAGGGTTTGTGTTGTGTCATAACTTATTAAAGGAATCTATGCTATCAAATGCAACAAAAACAACGTTGGTTTTGTAGAGGCAAAAAAATACATAAAATTAACTAAAGAACCTAATTTGCATGGACAAACTCTTGAATAGTGGAAGACAAACTATACATATTCATTATTAATGTTAAAATAGGAACATGCAGTTTGACATTTTCAATTCATTCTTTTTTTCTTTCACTTTCAAATTAAGGGAATTGTAATAATGATTAATTCTGAAAATAGTGGGCCAGTGGGGATCCTTGATAACAAGCAATAAAGAATTATACAATTTTATTTATTAAAGCTAGAATCAGTAATTTTGGAAATCTGAGATAAAAGTATTATAATATTACCCTGATTTGTCGTCTTGCACTTTCAACACCTAAAGGTTGACCAGCAATGGAAACCTGCAAGTTTATGAAAATTAAATAAATATCACTATAACCAATGAAACACTTAAAGAAATTACAACTGACATGTACTGTATAGTTACAGTGAAGGTTGACTAACTTGATTGCTCTTTTCACTAGTTGCTCCTCTATTTGAATCTGGGAAGTGAATGTGGCATCCAGTGTCGTGCATAACTGAAATATATTATTAAAGGAATGACATACATAAACTATTACTAAGCACCTTTAGGCATCAGGGGCGGATCTAGGGGGAGAGTGCAAGGGGTGTGCACCCCCCACCCCCCTGAGATGAACTGCGGTTTTCTAATACAACTGGTATTCTACCAAAAAAAAATTATATGGTTTATTGGTGTTGAAGTAGAGCAAGAGACGAGTGCACCCCCTCCTAAAAAAAATCCTGGATCCGCTGCTGGGCATAACGGGAATATAACTAGAAAAATATTTTTAATGTTAATTAATTGGCTTAAACAAATGAATGAAAATTAGAATTATTTGCATTTCCTTTGGTTATTGCTTATTTTGTTTGAGCTGTTGGATTACTGACACTCCAATCATATAAAGTAAAAAGTGGGATGAAATAATGGTAAAAAATTGTGTGCTGTAAGGACAAAAAAAGGCCCTTTTCTCTCATGATAGATGTTATTTTCACGTGTGAAAGTATCATGTTTTGGCACGAAAGATCACCTGGTATTTCATAGGTGTTTATATAATAATACTTAATTATTACCAGACCTTGCTTAATGTTTCCTCCTCCTTTTCCAATTATGTGTGAATGATCGGTATATGACACATCCATCTTTAGGGTCACTCTACTTGACTAAGAGACGAAGGACAACAACATTATCAACCTCATTTCCATAACAATAACAACTATGTAGAGTTTACTTTATTTAATTGCATACAGCGTCAGTTCAGAGTTCATTCTAGAATGCACGCACAATTTGTGCACTTTTGGTGTCGACCTGATGCCAAAGAAAATATCCCAGCCCATTAAATTATCTGTCTAGAATGAACTATGAAGTATATATATATATATATATATATATATATATATATTCGCTTCAACTATTGAAGCATTAAACATGCATGCAGAAATCAATCAAAATAATAAACCTTTGTATCCAAGACTGCCATGACTTTTTCCTTTGCCTGTCTTACAGACTCGGGTAGGCCTGCTACCTTGATATGAGGATCTGTAAAGTTAAATGAGCTGTTGTTTGGTGCCAGTTACTATATGCACTTCACATGTACGTACGTGAAAAAAGGACACCATCATTAACTTACAAACGAAGTTAAGGAAACCAATGAATTATATTGTTATAGTTTGATCCCTATTTAGGATCTTTCTGCAGGTACCAACATCACAAGAGAATCAAAGGAACCAAATAACAGAGTTCTCCTGGGGTTGTATTATCTCTTTTGTTGTAAGTAATCTGTGCCTTGGTACCTACCAAATAAACCCCTATTCAAGTAATAGATATGTTTTCCAATAAAATGAGAATGTGTCAAGTGCCATAATACAAAACTATATAACACCCTAAAGAACTATTTAAGCAGTCACAACTAAACTCTCTTGGGCCAACAAAACTCACTGCACTTGTACATGATCAGGCTATTGTTAAAATTGTACCTTAAAACTTTAGGAAATCTATCAGCCATATTTATGCCAAGCAAGTATTTTCTTTTCACCAAAAAAAGCAAGAAAAATTTTTTTGTTCTTTTCATATCTTTGAGTTAGCTAGCAAACTTTTATGGCTGGCCCTATGGAAAAAAGTGCATTTTGCAAGTTTCTGTTTTAAACAACAGGGACCTGGATAGAGATAGTTATATTATTTCATGAACTTCTGTGTTTTCAGTCCCTGAACTTCATGCACCTAGCTATCACAACATATTTCCTAAAGCTATCTTGGGGTGGACCCCTTACTTCACATATACATAAATTATTTCGAGAGTTTAAGGATTTAAAATCTTAATCTCATTAGTGGGGCTAGAAAACAATTTATTATTAAAGAAAATGCATATTTGTATGTCTTAATTACTTACTAGGTTTGTACATTGTGATTATACAGGAAAAAAACATATTTTCTCAACTCTAGAGGGAGTTTAAAATCAACCCTCTCTATGAAGCCCTCTTCTAATTCTAGGAGGCCGAAAAATAATAAGAAAGTGGTGAACAATAGTGCTCATACATGTACAGTTTAATCCAATTATAAATTTAGGTTTGGGACAGATAGCAGACAGTGAAATTATAATTGAACCTATTAAATGACTACATTAATGAGTAAAGTATTATGAGCTTAGCACTCATACTTTCTAGCAAAGACATGGAAACTCAGTTATACTGAATGTGTGCAAAACTTGAAAACTGTCCTGAAGTTTAATAACCTGTGATCAGGCACTTTTTTCCCCTTGTCTCCCAAAAAAAAGTGTTGAAGGACTGCTTGATGGCAGGTTAAAAGTTTAAAGGATAAATTAGCACACTGTTTATACTTCACAAACATCAAGGTCAAGGACGATGTTCATATGGTTGCAATAAAATCTGTCAGTTAGCATTGCCACAAGGACGAAAGACAACATGATAGAACTCCTTAGAAACAACAGAGGATCCTGTGGGGGGGAGGGGGAGTGGGAGGGGCGTGCTATGATACCTTACCTTTTGCAAATAATGAAATAGGAAAATGGATCGGATGAAAAGATAGCTGTTTCATGTCACGTTTCTTGTATGTGCTGAAATATATTTAGCACTTATTTTATTTTATGATCCATCATATATAATGGAGGTCATGGTTACGTGTCCATCTGTGCTTAACTACCAACCGCAAACAAACAACTCCTTTCCTCTCTCCATAGCAGCATGCCACGTTTATTAGACTGAAAGTAAGCAACGACCTTGATCATGTGGAGTGCTTTTGACACTAAAATTTCTAATTTTCGTGGAGAAAATCAATTATCAAAAAATACACATAGAACCAGAAAAATGCCAAAAGGAATGTGACGACTTAAGCGTAATTAAATATGTCATTATTGTTTGCCTGCAGATCATATTGTCTGATATTTCCTGAGTACTTGTCTGATATTATACATGCAGTAGAAACTTCTATCAGGGGATGTGGTTAGAGAAAAATTATTTTGATAAGCAAAAAGACATTTCCTTGGTACATGTAATGACCCTGACTCCCAATCAACACATGATTATGATGCAACAATGTAAAATCAGCCACAAGAGTCGGTAATGCTATGAAATCTTGTTAATCATCTAAACACCTTTTGTTTGAAGAAATCCGTTTTGCGAACCTAACTGGAAAAATTGGACTACTTTACATTTTAGAAGGCCTAAAATGATGTAATTAAACATTACCGACACGTTCCGATGTACAAGTATTGTACCTCGCTCCCTAATGCTGCTGCTTAGATTTATGGCTGAATTATACAAATAAACTAAAATAATTGTTGTTTATCACCGAAAGGTTTAAAAATGACATAAAGGACGTTATAAAACAATCCGCAGATCGATTCGGCTCTACTGACAGACCACGTTCATGCTTTCGCAAAATTTTCATCTGAAGTAAAATTATTACTGCATTAAAACGAAAGATGAAATAAAAAAGAACTGTTGTCGACTTTCAGCGAAAGTTTGCAGGCACATTAGGGAAATAAATGTTTATTACGTCTCTGCTGGAAAATGTAAGCAGTTAAGCTTGTTCATGCGAAAAGCACAAGGTCACAAGTGTGCGTGACTCGCTCTGGCAAGCGTGTCGTCTTCTCTCATTCACAGTTGAAACAAACATGCTTGATTGACTCGACTTAAAAGATATTGCAAGGATTATTCACTCTCACCATGCACGAGCTAATTACTCTGAGTGAATAAAAATTTTTCCAGTCTGCAATGGCTAATTCCTGCTGAATAAAGTAAACATGTATTATTCAAAGATAAACACGCTGGTGACTTGCAGTTCCAAAACAAAATCGAAACACTCGTCGATTTTAAAATAAATTTCGCAGAGCGTGTCATGACCGGTCTTGGAGAGTAAATACTATACGCTTTGACGAACAAAGATATTGGTAGGAACACATTTCGACTAAATCATCAGCCAGTCTTTATCTTCTCCACATGCTCGTTGGAGTACAATAACAGACTAGGGTTCAAATTAAAACAATGCTGGAACATGACCAAATCTTAAAGCAGCGGTTCAATTCGCTTTATACTTGTATCTAGGGAAAACGAAATCCAAAACAGACTCTTGCGATACAAAAGCCTTCCTATATTTCTTCCTTGAGTTATAGTTTGTATCTTTAAAATAATATGTACATTGCCCAAAACGCACGTTATATGAATACGTGTAGTTTTAACCCTAAACTTTCCGGAAATGTCAGTGTACGCGGGTCAAAACGCAGTCGAGAGGAGAAGAAGATTTTCGTCTCGCATCGTCAAATTCTCACAACGCCTGAAGATGTTGTTATTAGGCACAAATAGCTGCAGTAATTGTCTTTTCTTGTACGTAAATTGATAAAAGCTCAAGACAAAGAAAATTTATTACAAAAGAAAATTATTGTCGAAAAACAAAAGCGGTTGCTAGTATCATTATCAACGGAATAAGGCTCTTTGCGGAACAAGGAACTGTCAGAGAGGTTGCTTAAATAAATTTTTTAGCCGTGAAAATTTTATAGATACTTTAACTAGCCAATTTGAAGCTAATAGTTTATTATGTTCCCTGAGAAACAGCAGGCGAACCAGTCGAATGGATCAAAACAACCCCAGTTTCCACTTCAGTTTACAATAAATTGAGTATCTGACCCGTGCTAAAACACACTACTCTGTCAACCAAGCGCAACTACTCCGGTGCAGTGTCTTCAGGCCCACTGAAAAGACAAACTAAACCAAGTCATATAGAACTGTTCACTGACTTACCTTTCTTAGATTTGGCACCGATCTTGAGTTTTGATGGCCATGTTATAGTGGTTGCCGTTTCTTCCATGATCTACGAGAGGCATACCATCGCAAGACAATTTACAACTCAGCTGCAATTATGTCGAGAATTAAAAGATAATTTGACCTCCTCTAACCTTCTGGAAAAACTCCTCGCCAGTCTGGCCACATCCCTCCACAGCAGCTGAAATTCATAAATATCGATTTAGCATATAAAGTTCAAATGATTAGCGAAGTAAATAAACTCGTTCGATGGACCGATCGCGTCTCGTGTGCTACTGACCTTGGAGCATTTGCTCCAGTTTACGACGGTCCACGCGAAATCTTTCCTCCACAAAGTTAGGGTCCCGCTCTTCGTTAACGTCATCGCCGAGTAAATCTCCTTCATCCTCGCAGAACTCAAGGCCTGTCGCCATCTTCATGATCACAAGCTCAAAATCCAGAATAAGTGAGCGGGAGAAAATTTGCTCTGCATCATATTGCGGCGGTGTGCAGTGCCGTCTTTAACCAATCACGTGGGTCAAGGTGACGTCAGATACGCCCTATTTAACACCAAAGTATCAATTAGGAAAAAAAACGCGATCAGCCAATCGTAACGCCTCGTAATGAAAAAATTGATGTTTGATTGGTTTCTCAATGGGTAGCTTTGGCAAATTAATTGACATGATTAGAGACCGGTGACAATCAATACGCCAAACACAAAAGGTTCCGAGGAAACCCCCCCTTTCTCTTTGATACTCTATATTATCCTGGCTTGACCGGCGATGTAAAATTTACCTATTATTTGCGGCACATCATGTTTTGTTGTGGGCTAATTTCGCCTATTGTAAAATATTTATTAGTCTTTAGTCGGTTCACTGGACTCCCGCTTGGTCGATCACGCGCGAAGAACCACTGAGCCTATTGGAAGACAAAAGCAGCTAAACAACGAAAGATATTTCAATGAACTTTTCCCAAATATTTGGCTCAATGCTTCGTTAAGAAGGCAACGATATGGGTCAAAGAACAGTTCTTTTGTTCCGTGTATGGTATATATTGTTTAAAATTAGTTCTTCTCAGCATCAAATATCGCGTCAAAATCCGCAGGTATAGTGTAAGTCAGTTAAACAATAAGCGAAAAGATCACCATGGGAACAGGACCGACTAAAAATTTTAAGAACAAGATTTCAAGTTACATCTTCCAATAAATTGTCTACATTCAGCCGGTCAGAGTTATAAAAACGGTCTGAGCTGTCTAAAACACTCGTTAGTTTTCGCTTTTCCTACCGAGTATCAAGAACCTAGCCGGAACTTTATCCCCTCGTTTACCACACCTGTTCTTTGATTTTCATAGCATCTCAACAAGAAAACCGTAGGAAACAAAAATCCGAGTTATTTTCATAGCACCTGCCAAGAAAACACTGAAGAAAACAAAAATCCGAGTGGTTATTTAATGAAACAGCTTTGCCAGTTCGCAAACCAAATCAAATGGCCATAGTCATGTAGATAAAAATCCTTTTCACAGGCGAACGTGAAAATTTTTGAACAATTAAACTTCATAAACTGATTTGAGATTTTCTTAGCGATTGCAATTACTGTCGTATAGACTAATTAACTTTCGCTTATTGATGTTTTCTATTAATACCTCATTATCATCAAAACTAGTGGGTCAAGAACAGGAAGAATGAACAATATCTTTTAAAACGTCGTCGGAGTGTTTAGAGACACTGTTCACTTGCATGGCCTCCAGTTCTTAATGGTTGTACCGATGAACGTGAAGAGACCCGTTTGAAAAGCAAACAGTCTCTCTACAACGCGTTCTCAACATTCCATATCGCTTAGTTCAGTTACACAAATGAATATTTATAAAACATCAGCTGGTTGTAGACTCTCTTGCCCAGTGCACATCTGTGCACATGAATGCTCTTTTACATTCGCTTCAATGAAGACCTGTTCACCCGTTCAACTTTACAATAACGTAGTCATTGCGGGGTCAGTCCAGTAAGAGATAGAAAATATCATTGAACTTATTCGGTAACTTGGCTCCTGAGAAGCTAGGATTTAGAAATGGAAATGAACTGCGTCGACCGTGAGTGACTCCAGTAAACTCGGGTAGAGAGGTCAATGGTTTTCACACTAAACAGATAGAATATAATAGAATCAGTCAAATAACACTCCAAGTTCATAGTTGCTAGTATAAAATGGCGACTGCGTTTAATTAAATAGCTAAACAAGAAGAAACGAGCGGGTTCGTAATAACTACAACTGAACAAACTAATATGACAGGAGGAAAGATAGAGACAATCATCAAGGGCAATATAAGATACATCAAGAGCTTGGACGTGTTTTTATTTTTAGTTATCCTTCTCTTTCGGTTTAAATACAAGCTAAACAATAAAATATACAAAACAGTACGCTTGCCTGGTCTTGCATAACCTTTCATCTTTTAAGGTGATGGCTTAAATTATACTTTACACTTTATAACACTTAGCATTGCTGCCGGTTCATCTCAGTAAGCGGAGCTTTCCGCAACACTAAGAGGATAGATCCGACTCAGTATCGAAAAAGGAACTTTTTTCGCAAAGTCTGTTCAGCTGATGAAATCGGTTCCAGTTTTCCTGCTTGCTTTTCACTTTCTTGTATTCTCAGAGACTTTCTCTGTAGTCACTGATCACGAGACCTCTCGGAACTACCTTCGTTCTATTTTCTGTTACTGTGGCCCTCGGTACCGGCCGCTAAGAAATCAGTTACAATCAACTGATAAAACCTTTATTTTTTTTTCTCACCAAAAATACTGCCCTTGAACTGTCTCCGGTTTTTGCGGTTATGGGTATGACAGCTTCAGTCTACACTTCAGACCCTTTCAAGAGACATGGGTCAACGATCAAAAACGGCATTTTGCCAGTTCCCAAAGGTGTGTTTTGCAAGCTGCATGACGTATTATTTCACCGTCATTTCAACACCAGCTGATGTTACTTCTGATATTCATGTTATCTCCAGTTTACCTTGTTCATACTGCCTCTGCTTATTAGCAAAAATGACTGTCTGTGACTGTTGAACTGACATAAGACGGAACTACCCCTCTTTCTTATTTACTCTGTCAATATCTTCATTTTCATGATTAGTCACGTTTTCCTACTCCATGGCGACTTCTTTTTCAGGGACTCCCAAAACATCGAGTTTGGATTCGAGCTCCAGTTCGAGTTCGAGTAAGACTTCAAGTTGAAATTTTTAAAAATAATTATAATATTAGAGAGGTTTAGATTCAGGGACGACTACAAGTAGGAAATTTTCTCAATACCAAGTAGAGCGCGTGCAAACCATGAGCATTGTCGTCGTGGCGGGAACAAGTCATTCAGTATCATTAAGCTAACTTGTTCTTGAAAAAAAAAACAAAAAGAAATAAAATAAAGCTTTCCGGGGTGCCTTTCTTTTAGAACACGCGCAAAAACTTTAAGTTAAATCTCGCACTCATTCTCTTCTAAACTCGAACATGCCCTGCTCCCTCTTTTTCTCTTTTCGTAAATTAATAAACAAAGCAAAAACTGAACGAAATCTTTTCCATCCGGCTTAAAAGCAGCAGAAAGACCTAAAAATCAAGAATGTAACAGATAGTAAAACAGAGCTGTGTAATGTAGAAATCGACTAAATCAGCTGGGAAGATTATATGTACCGGCCGCGAGCCAGTTATAACGTAGTAAGCACGGTAGGGGGCCGTTTCTTACCAAGAAACATGCCTCTTACCACGTTGTGTGGACTAACGAATGAAACACAAAATTTTTGTGGGTTCTAGTTTTTCTATTCCATTAACCCCGGTGGAATTTTAATTCACGGTTACAGGCCGGAACAGATTAGAGTGTAAAGATGAAGTGGGGTATACCTATTTACCTGTTTGAATAAGAGTACAGTATTGAGTCGGCAGGTAAATCGGCTTCTCGTTTGCAAGGAAGACACCATCTAACAGGCACCGGTGATTCGTATTTGCCACTAGAACCACTGTTAAAACGTACAATTTCCCCAATTCCCAACCGACAGGCAAAGAAATCCTGTATCCCATGCCAAAATTATAGCTGTGAAATCCCGTTTGCAGTTCGTGAATCCCGCACCGAATTTTGGTCAATGCCGGATCCCGAAATACCCCTCCAGACCCTGAGCCCAAGAAAGAAGGCGGAACTCAGTATGAAAGGAAGGAGTCTACAATGTCCCGGTTTACCCAGATAAAATTAAAACCTCCTCGCCATTAGCAGAAAAGAGAGTCTATGCTAATAAGGTTAGCTTACTGGGTCGTTTTGCTTGTAGCTACACTGAAGTTTTAGTCCTAGAAAGACTTTGCATGTTTCAGTACTCAAAAACAAATAGAACAGTCAAGTTAAATAGAAGAGACGAAGTTATTTTTTCATGCCAAAATTAGGATGACCACTCCCCCCAACCCCCACACGGCTGCGAACAAAACAGTAACAATTTTGCTGCCGACTGGCTCTCCTCCAAAATCCCAGTAACCTCCCCTCGCCCCAATTAATTAAAAACGTACCTTCCCTTACAAATCTTTTTTTGTTAAATCTGGTTTTAATGTCAGGCGAAAGATGTACTTCATAATCCTTCACGAAATGCTGGGGTTGGGAAGGAGCAAATGAAAGGTTTCTTCGTTTGCACAGTCAGAAGTCAAATTGCCACAGGCCAAGCACGAGCATGTCATTAACTAGCTGAAAATAGTTGTGGCTGTCTCAAACAACAAATTCAAAACGTCAGACAAAAAATCCGGGGATAAAATTTTAAACACACTACTCATGTTGTGTATAGTTGTTAAGAAGATGGTGAAAGAGGAAAAGCATTTGACGCATACTCGAATCTATGATAAGCGCTCCCTTTATAGCTATTAAATGCATTTTCCTCTCTTTTGCTTTTTCGTTTGAGTAGCCGGAACTGAGCAGCGGAAGTTCAATTCCAAAAATGTTATCAAATTCTCCATCATTTTCTCCCATTATCGGGAGAATTGGAAACTGTAGGCGACGGAAATCCGAGTATAACTTAATACGAATATATACGCACGGCCGTGAATATAGTAAGGGTTAGGAGTCGATAGGGCCAGGACTTGAACGCTCTCTATGTATGTATTGTAATTATAAAATAATATTATATTTGGCCTTTTCTCCCAGATCACGCGCTGATATTTTCGCATGCCTTACACTTAACGCGTCATCCATACTATCTGGGAGCCTGAAACAGGCTATAATATTAGCTGTTAATGGTATTTTACAAATGAGGAAAATTGGTTTCCCCTCACTACCTACGCTTCAAAATCCCCATATAGAGACGTTACGCGACGTTACGTAAGTTGCAAAGGTACATCATCTTCATACGGACAGACACAGTAGAAGAATAATGAGAATGATCGCGTCATTAGGTCATGGAAAATGGAGATACCTTCTGTGCGATCAAAATCTTTGTTTTTTTCAGTTGTGAATTTACGAAAATGCAGCTCATTTTTCTTACCGAATCTTGAATCATTTCCCGAATTCCGTATCGTGAATTCGCCAATTCCCGTGTGTCGTCGCCTGTTGTAACAGTCAAGAACCTCGTTCACCCTTTTCTCTAAAAATTCCGAATTCTTACCTTCTAACACGTCAAGGAAGCCACATCCGAGTTCCCTACGACCCTCCTTTTTCGCCGCTGAGACAGGTACTTTTCAGAACTATTGGGGGCTTTCAAAACAGACTGTTGGTTAAATATGTTTTATCTATTATTCAACAACAAGGTTATCAAGTAGTATTATCCACTTTTAGCTTCCGTTTCCGGTCACGTATTCAAAACCGAAAGCGGAGAAACGAGAAGAAACGTGTCAGAAATTAAGGCGATTACTTATTTTAAGCAGTCTAACCTTTGATCAGTAACATCACGCAAATCAAAATCAGGCTGCATATGCAGAAACAGGGTTCGTACCCTTTTTTGAACAAAGAATTCAAGGACTTTCAAGCACACATTTCGCATTTCTCAAGGACTATATTTAGGGCAAAAAAAGAGCCTTGAGTCTATGTCTTGTTTTAGTTCTTCCACATATGGAGAATTTTATCCCGCGGGTCTTTGTGTTTGCTCCTTTTCCTTTGCAGTTCTCCTTAAACTATTAAGTTAGCATTGAAATTCAAGGACTTTCCAGTATACCGACTGCAATTTTCAAGGACTTTCAAGGCATATAAAATTCAAGGACTTTCCAGTACCGACTGCAATTTTCAAGGATTTTCAAGGCCTTGAATTTTTATTTAAAAATTCAAGGACTTTCAAGGATTTTCAAGGTGCGTGCGAATCCTGCAGAAAGTGTGAAAACTTGCAGCGCGCTAGCGGTCCGACCATCAATTTTTTACACACACTAGCTTCTGACAGCACACACCTCAAAAAGCCTCAGTTTCCACAAATTAATGTAAACTGCTGGCGACAAGAACATATTAGCTCACATTCATTTCCAAACGTAACGAATGAGAGATACGGAAATGAAACCTGTGATTGTTCTGCCCTGAAACTAAGACACTCAAAACCAAGAAATCTTATAGGTGACGATTCTGAAGGGCCACGCCCAATACGCTAAAAATTGTTCGACAATAACAACGACACACTACACTGAGCGGATAGCTTTTGCGTCGCCACGAAAATCATACCGGACAGGGTCTCTGTTCACACATATGAACGGTTGTGGCGGCGCGATTTCTGTGACGGAGTGAAGCTGCCCCGCGCCGATCTCCAAAGTGAAGTCATCGCTTTTCGGCGCGCCACGAAAAGCTATGCGTTATAGTGCGAAGACAGCCTAAAACTCTGATTACTTTTTCTGTTTACATTCAAGCGCCGTGCAAAGCTGTTACTTTACATATTTTAGACTTAAGTAGCTTTGAATGATCCTTTCAAGAGGGTAGGGAAAACTTCAAAGGGTAAAGATTTGTTGAACCGTGCACCACACCCCAACTGAGTTAGCCACAAAGAGAGACCCTTCCTCCTCCCCGCCCCCGTTACAGCCACAGAGCATACCCCCAATTAAAGTACTGCTTCACAATGTTATTTGGCTCTTGCACGTCCAAACAACAACCACCTAATTCTAAAAATGGAAGAAAAATCAACAACTAAAAAAATAAAAACGGAGGAGGATGGTGCTCATTTTATTTATTTATTTATTTAATATTTTTTTTCAGGTAAATACACGTCCTTTTTTTCGGTGAAGACGAATTAACTCAATGGAGATTGACTATTGACGTATTAAATCAATGATTGTTGACGCCCATTCGATCAAGGGTAAATAGCACTTGATCTGTAAAATACAAACCGGATATCATGGTCAGAAGGCTTGTCCTATGTTCTTGACCGCGACTTAAACCTATTCAGAATCCTTGACTGAGCGATAAACAATTGGTTTACCGCAAATTTAGTAAATGACAGGTGCCCCTGTATAGCATATTGTATTTCGTAATATGCTGTGCACGTCCAATCTTTCCTAAAACGCAAGCCACCATATCCAGTAATGACAAGGAACGAAAATTAGTATGCAGTCTTGAACAAGTAGCTCCCTGTTTGGCACTCATGATGCGGTGAGGAGGTGCTCAAAGTCAGGGGTACAGATCATGCGATGTTTTACGTGTCCAAGGCAAATCATCTCTGACCGGTTGTCTTCAGTGTGAACAGCTACAACATCCTACAGAAAAACAAACACACAAACACTTCCATATAGCCGGATACATTTACGATTCTAAGTACCGACAATTAGCGGGTCAAGTTCGCTGTTTTGCCCCAAGGGAGCTTGCAGGGATCGAATTAACTCCTCTAAACTCTAAAGGGGGAAATAATTTAAGAGAGTGAGATCGTGGGGCAATGAACTTGGAAAAGCGATTAACTCAATTATAACTTGCTAGAATTTGTATCAAGCAGCAGCTTCTTTTTATAACAAGCGCATTCAGAATTTCTTAATACTAGTTTACAAGAGTCTATTTTTTAACGAGTATCCAACCTATACAAGGAATATGTTTACTATTCGCCATACAACCTATAATTTGCGCGGTACCCATATGTTGACTCTAAACAAGCCTAAAACAACAACCTATGGACTACACTCTTTTTCTTATTTTTCCGCCCAGCAATGAAACGATCTTCCCGACGAATTAAGGAGCAGTACTTTTAATCATTTTGAGCGACGTGTGCAAAGTCTCAATACGCTTGATTAGTTTCCGCTATTAAATTTTTGTCTTATTTTGTGTGTGTATATATTTTTTTAGTTTAGAGATCTTAATTTGTTTTTCGAAGATATTAGCTATATAGTGTAGCTACTCTAAAATTCGAGTTAAAACTGATAAAGGTTATGAATGTATGTATATAAACAAGACAAAAGGACTAAGAGACGAGAAAGTAGGCGATTACAGAAGGGAAACATCTATCACACAAAGGAGGGGACCACCCAAGGAAAGCTACCTCTAAGGAGGGAAGAAGAGGGAGGGGCGATTTTGAGAGGGATAACTTGGATTAACAAAGGAAATACCGTAATCCCAGGGAAAGCAGTTAAGAAAGTCCGTCTCTATCAACCCTTCTCGGGAGCTAAGTCTATCATTACGCCAGAATGGCAAGAAAGAAAGTGTAAAATAAATTTTACAATAATACTAAACTGAACGATTCTCGCGCGCTAATAGGTCAAAAGCCACGGTCGATGATGGTGGTGGGTTTGTTTTCTCTTTCCATCGCGCGAGATTTTCCGAATAAACTTCAACGGAAATGGACGTCAAAAACTGTCAATGTTATTGTAAAAAACAAATCGACCACAATTTTCCATTGTATAATCCTCTTTACCATAGAAATGACGTCAAAATGTTCGAAAGTTTGCATGCAGTGAAACCACTCGCCGTTCCCCTTGAGTTTTGGAATTTTGACGTTATGTCTATGGAAGATGAGAGTAGCAAACATGCAGTTCTTAGTGAATCTGTAATGAGCACATAATTTTACACAACTTCAGAAACCCTGCACTAAAATTCCCTAACTTCACAGGCCCGAAAATGAAATTATTTACGATTTCTAGGTTTCAGTGACCGTAGAATGTGGTTAGTTTTTAAAAATATCGTAAAACAGGCTCTATTTTTCTTCCGCTTGAGTTAAATTTCAAAAAACCCTGTGGTACCGCGTCTAAGAAGTCACCCACAAAAACGAATTTGGTTTTATAAGCAAACTGGAATCAAGTAAAATAGGAGGCTGTTCAACTTCCACACTGGACACGATCCTCCTCTTTCTGTTTGTGCAGAACTGTTTACAGTAGACGTTACTTTTTAAACTGTAGAATGCAGTGATTTTGTTACAAATAGTTAAGGTAGGTGTTGGGACTCATCTTGTGAAATATCATGAGTATGTCCATAACAAATCAGTCCCAGTTCAAGAAGCAAGGAGTCCTAAACTGAAAATGTTTGGGCCTTTATGGAGACGGACGCCAAAACTCTTTATTACAGTTTACTGAAATTGAAATGTAGCACAAAGAAGACTAAAATAAATATGCATCTTTAAACAACAGCCACATAAAACATACAAACAGGATATTCTACCAAAAAATCTTCAAATCGATCGATCGTTCTTTGCGCCCGGTCCCACGGGACGCATTTCATGAATTATTTTGCGTCTTTGGAGATTTTTATGCGTCAGGGACGCAGGACGCAAAGGTGCCAGAATCACTGAGAATAATCTAAGGATCAATTCCCTTGTCTTAGGGGAGGGGTAGGTGGTCTGTTACCCAGAATCCTCAAGGGTTGATCCGACCTAAGTTACCTGTAAAAATCCGCATGGTGTTCCCGTGGTGACATCTAACGATACATCCCCCAGTAATAATCTGTAATAGCAAATCCTCGGCACAATCAGGGTAGGAAAGAAAAATGCTTTTCTTTGTTTACGCAAAATATACCCTTACATACAGGATTTACAAATTGCAAAACAAACCAAAGGTTCGGGAATCGTCGCGCGTCTTATTAGGTAAATTAGGGAGCTTTTCACAGACCGGCAAAAAAAGCAATAAGTTTGATTAGCAATACAACAACTTTGCACGTGCATCACGCTTTTTTGTACATTTCTTTGCCGTCAATGCTCGTCGGGACTAAAACGTGAAAATGCCTAATTTCACGTATTATGGAGAACGTAAACAAGCGACGAAGAATTTTTCTTTCTCTTTCTAAACTTGAGTCCGGTCCCCAAGAAATCAACTCCCGGGAAATTCGCCCACATTTCACATTTTCAGTGAAATGGAATAAACGCGACAAAGTTTGAAAAAATACGAATTCATTTTAAAAGTGACGCCGGTTTTCGCTGCCGTCGCTGTCGTCGATATTTAAGCTACCTGTGGAGGGGAGGAGGGAGGTGAGTTTTATATCTCATAGACGCGAGACTGGCAGCGATTTGAGGTAAGAAATGTCGGTTCTTCGTTGGAGTGCATGTCTAAAAATTTTTGCAACTACTTGTAGCAGGGGCTCAAAGAGAAATGGGAAAACTGTTACAAAAGTTGCATACCTTGCTTTACCAGACCTGAGCAATTGAAGTTTTCCTATATATCCTTCGGAAGCATCTTTGAGAGACAGCTTTTTTTGTTCTCTAGGCTAATAGAGGAAATTTACAAAAGAGACAATGCGTTAAGTTGGAAAAGTAAGGAAATATTAAACTAAGCTTCCAGATCAGTGTTTCTCAAGCAATGAAACTTATTGGTCGGAATAGAAAAAAAATTCGAAGATATTAAAAGTTTGATATATTGATCCTTTTACCTCCGGGATTCCCCCGAAATAATCCACAAGTTTTGATTTGTAACTTATAAAAATACTAAAAAAATGCGGTTGGTGTAATACAAATGAGGAGGTTCCATTTGACTGTACCCATCGACTGGTTTCATTCGCACCATCCTAAAATCATATTGTCGCCATAACTTACTCTTTGAATGAGAGGATACGGGGATAAAACGAATTAGTAAAATCCAACTAGTGGTCTATTATCAATGCTGCGTTCTGATTGGTTGAGCTACTACTGGGCTATATGTTGTAGCCTACTAGTAGCGAAAAGCAAGCGCTTTTCTGCGGCAAAAAGTAGCTAAATTTTTTTTATTCTCGATATTTTTGACCAAATACTTGGATTTTACTAAAACAATTATTCCTCTCGCCCTGGTGGCTTCTGAGTCAATAGCAGATTCGGCCTTCGGCCTCATGGGCTATTGACTCAGAGCCCATTCAGGCTCGAGGAATAATTGTTAATGATAAGTAAACGTGTGGCATATGAGCGCGTAATTGGAGTCGATTGTACTGAGATTTTACCCACTCAGCGAATGGGTAGCCTGTTTCAGGAGTTCCGATAGTGAAGTGCGGCACGAGGTAAGAGAGCGGGAGAAAAATAAGGAGGAAGAGAGGAGAGGGAAAGAGGAAGGAAACTTCGCTCTCACCCCTTACCCCACCCCTTCGCTGTTTTTTTTTTCTGCTCACATCTCTTTGCTCTGTCCCCACGATCTGACCGCCTCGAACAGGCTAGGGTACAGAAAAGGCGTGGTTGCATGGATGCGTGGTAACTCAGCGGGGAGACGCCATTTTGGGTTTTCTTAATTTGCGCTCTACGCATGGGCAGATGGTAAAACCTCTGATAAAATTCAAAATTCAACCTGGTTCGTCAGTTCTATGTGAACAAGGTGTCAAGTCAATTTTTTCTATCCCCTTCCCCTTTCATTTCAAACACCTGCCACCCGGGCTAGGTCGAAAATTGGTCCGGCGGTGCCGTGTGAAGGTAGCCTAAGTTACTTATGCAGTCACTACTAAAACCTTTTCCTCAGAAGCCGTCTGTTCAGCGGATGCTTCTTTATCTACAGGCATGGGCGACTCATCTGTCTTAACAGGCAGGACATCAGGAAACTGGAAGAATAATAACTGCTCTCCGGCCTACAAAAAGCGGGATAAAAGACATGCTCACTGGCATTGCTTTACTTTTGTTCTTGTAGGTGCCTGGTGATTATGCCAGTTTGTAATGTTGTTTGGCTGTTGAGGAACATGACGCTTACTGATTAAGGTTTCCAACTTTTTACTATCCACGCGAGTAAGACAAGCTCTTTAATCAACCCAAAAAATGCAAGCATTAGCACAAAAGAAGCAAGGCTGATTTTCTAACGTCTTACCTTAACCTTAGCATTGCATGTAAGACCCTGAAGAAGGAAGGCCGTGCCTTCCGAAATATCGGTAACAAAAATATATGTATTCCCGACCGTAAAATCACCCTTGTCTCTTTTGTTTCCTTTATTAGGATCCGATCCTTATTTTTTGTAACGTTGTTCCCTGCTTCCAAAATGAATTTAAAGCATTAGAACGCTTCATGTCACCATGTAAAAGACCTGATTGAAAGCACCAGAGCCAATTAACCCTTTTCTAGTGCTTGCGCATGTGCATGCGCTCAGGTTATGCCGTTGAAAACGGAAAGCAGCATTAGCACAAGGTGATTTATAATGCCTCGCCAATAAATCCTTAATTCTAGCCTAGAGTGTGCGTTCTACAGTTGGTTACAACTAGCAGCCGAAACAAGGGTTTTATAAAAGTGACGGCTTGGTGCATACAGATTGTTTAAAGGGGGCGGGTTACAAACAAAGGAAACAACTGAGCTTACATTTAAATGTGTTTCGACGCTGTGTATGAAAACGACAAAAACAGAGAATTTGCTTCAGCATCGCTAGCAAAAGATCTTGAGAATACCTGTTTGTGTCATTAGAAAGACTTTCCCGAGCCATTAATCCCTTTTAAAACACGATTTGTCTGCTAAAATGGCAACATTTTTATAACTTTTTACCTTCCCTTTTTGCGAGATTGAATGCCTATAAAACAACAATATACAACTTTTCGTAAGTTGTAAAAGTATAAACGAAACATATTACTAGTAGCAACACAACCAAGAATATGATTTACTTTAGGATTTTCATACATACCAGTGACTGCGTGGAAAGAAGATTGGAAAGCGTCTTTTCAACCATTACTTCTTTTTTCACAGCTTCTTGTTTTATTGGTTTCTTGATAGTTTCCGCTGACTTCACTTGTTCAGCGTCCACCAAGTCAATGTCCATGGGTTCACTTTTTACTATTAGGGTAACAAAAAAAATCGGGCTGCTCAGGTTTAAAAGCCATGAAATTTGTGGTCCAAGGACTTTTTTGGGTTAGACGTTGGAACATACATACATACATACTTTATTGAGACTCCCTTCAACAGGGCTTTTCAGTCACAGTGTTAATTATTACCTAATACTGGTAATTAAGAAAAAAAAAGAGAAAACTTATTTACAGTAGTTCAATTAAATTCAAAGTACATTCAAAATTATTCAAAATAATTATATTCAAAATTATTTCGTATGAAATAGCTTACTAAAAAGTCTCCGCTTAAAACTATCAATATCTTAAGTGTTCTTAATATTGTCAGGTAGCCCATTCCATTCCTTTGGACCACGAAAGTAAAATGCCCTTTGTCCCATTGATAGTCTACATCAGGGGACCACAAAATTGTTACATCCCCTTGTGTTCTTGTTGTGAACTGCTGAACGTTTAATAAAATATTTACATAAATAATCTGGAGCTAAGCCATTTACACATTTGAATACTAAAACTAAGTCATTAAATAGGAAGAACAGAAAGCAAAGATACGGTTCTCATTTTTATGTCAAAAAAAAAAGACCAACTACAAGCAAATGGCTCACAGACTTGTTTTTGAAAGCAGTTGATCTGTAGTTAAGAGGACTTTCTTTTGACCACAGTCTGAGCCGATGGAGTGTTTTGGAGGGTATAACAATTTGGCCTCATTCCAATCTTGAGGAAATTTATCTGAATATCCCCCTTTGAGCAGGACATGATATAAAAACCTTTTATATCAGCTTCCATTGAGGCAGATTCAGCTTGCTTTTCTTTAGCTTTTAGAGCAATATGAGAGAAAGGTAATTGAACTGGCATTATTCCAGTTTCATTTTCCATGTCATCATCTTCAATATCACCCTGTTATGAGAAGAATAAAAATCATAAAGACTGTTAGTCTCGAATGTGTGAAGCATTGGGATCATTACAGAGTAAGCTATCCTGAAAAACCATCAAATAATAGAAAAATTGTGAAGATGAAAAAACCAGCATGTCACAAGCGTGGGACAAAGAAAAAATCTGAGTCCCGACAGGGTTGGAACCTATGACCTCCCAAACACCGGAAGGGCACTCTATCCGCTGAGCTATGGAGAACTCATGGAGAGCGAGGCCATATGAACCCTATTAAACTAGGTTCACATTTGGCATGCATCCTGCATAATGCTAGGATCGGAAATGTCGAGATCGTACTGTATGTACAAAAATTTTTTATTAGCTTATTGAAATTTTATTTAATTTCAGAGCTTAACATATTGTTTGCATCTTTTTTTGGTAATTCTAAAGTCATTTAGCACATAAAACATGCCGGTAATGCTGTTGGTTGTTAATGTCTGAACCAAGAGTACGAGCTTAGTTAATAAAGTGGAGTGGTTACACAGCCTGACAGATCTCTTTGTTATATGTTTTTGTCAGCTCTTTTGGACTGGATGGTGTACAATATTCACTAGACGATTTATGAATTCCAAAAACCCTCACTTTCAAATCGAGGCCAATTTCAAAACCCTTATTATGAAAATGAGTTTGCATGAGAATAGAAAAACATTTTCATATCAATTACTTTGCACTTAGCCTTGCTTTGAAACAGACATTTGAGGCAACTCGAAAATGACCTATGGCATTCCTGTCATTTTGGTCTTTTCCAACAATAATAATGTAGCATAAGTAGTCAAAGTAGTAACAGCTGGAATATCTTACACTTGTTTGAAGCATTTTAAGAACTCTTTTAGATTCCTCATCATTATCCCCATCAGCACTGAAAATAAAATAATTCAAAACATACCCACTGTATGACAATAGATATCTAAAGTGTGACGTCATAAAAAATTAAATTTGTGAAATTACGGGATTTGTCAGGATATTCTAAAAGAACAACATCCAAGAGGTGTACTTGCAAAAAACTAGCATTGTGGGGCAAATTGCCTCTAAGATATTAGCCCTAGAAATTCTTCTAAATTTGGCTTGGGTCTAAATGTTTAGACCCAAGTCAAATTTAGAAGGATTTGTATGGAGTCATCAGAGCATTACTGGGCTAATATCTCAGTGATAACATAATTATCATAATTATTGTTATGATAATAATAATTATAACACAATTATTACAATTATTCAATAAAATAATAATAATTTTATTGCAATAATAATAATAATACAAACACAAAGAATTGGGGAAATATTTTGAATGAATAATAATGTTGGTTAACCTTATTTAGACGCAGTATTAATTAACAAAATTATTGCGATACCTTTCTTTTTTAACTGTGAAACTGGACACACTTCTCCCGCCTCCTGAAGATGAACCATAACTTGGAATGGATGATCCTGGGTGTTGGACATAAAGCAAATGTGTGTTAAGAAGTATGTTCCAAAAAGCTTTTTAATGGGCCTATCATTAAGAGCCATGGCCCTTTTCAGCTCACAGTCAGGTGACCTGCTTAATGCAAAACTTACATGGCAGATACAACTAAAACAGCACCAGGAAGTGTGTATAGTTTGGTTGTTGGGATCTGTTCCAACCAAAAACCTCTTTGTTTACTTGGAAAACATTCTGTTAAATTCTCTTACCAACTCTCTGCTTTTCCATAGGACCCACTCCCATAGAAAATATTGACGAGGACTGGACAATGGTTGGCTTGTTCCTCTCTCCCCTTCCTCTTCCTCGGCCCTCACCACGCCCTCTGCCTCTACCTTCACCTCTCTGCCGCCTTTGTCCTCCAGATCTCTGATGAGAAATATAACGGTCAGAAAAAGATCTCTTGGCAAATTGAAAAATTAGTGGCAGTAGAAACTACTAAGAACAAAAAACTTACTTCTGGGGTAAGGTGAGGTTCATCTCTTTGCCTAAAAAAGACAAAACAAAAGCAAATCATGTTGGATTAAAACATTCCTTACCCTAGAATGAGTAAACTCAGATATCAAGACAGTTGAACCGCACTTTATGGACACCCGCTTAATATTGTTATCACAGACCTCGTTATTAACCTGTATTAATTGGTTTTCCTAATACTTATCCACTGAATAGTGATCTATCCAGCGTTTGAACAACCAGGAATAAAGTAATTACTAGACTGAAATTGAAAAAAACAGCTTTAAATTTATATATGTTAACTGTGACTGGCTTACTCTTGTTTGATTCTCCTTGTTGGGATATTAGGAGTGAATGTTCTCTGTAAAAAAAAAACAAAAAACAAATGAAATCAACAAATTACCCATGTTTTCACTTTTAAACATGGAATACTATGCTTTGACACAGAAAAGGGAAATTATTAGGCTGAGAGAGGCAATGTGGCCGACCAGTCTGGACAAGTTCAACACCTGCTGTATTAGTTTTGCACCTCATTAGATTCAATTTCACTTGATAACATTTTCAACTAGCCATCTGATTCACTTAATGAAACTTATGATGGAATCTAATAGGAAATTGAGTAATTTTAATTCTCAGTGGACAAAAACCTTGTACCAGAATAATTTAAACAATATCGCATTCTTTTTTATATTTTTCAAGGGCTAAAATTCCTAAGAGGAACAGGGTGCAAAGAAAATCATTTTTATAGCTTGCCATGAAGGCAAGTTGAAGCTAGCATTTACTAGCCCAGACGTCATTTCAACTAGCCCCAAAAGCTTTTTGACTAGCAGAATAATTGATCTCAAAGTTCTTCTGTTATTCGAATTCCTCAAAAAACATCACTTGCCCATCGGGCAAATTAAAAACAGAATTTACTAGCCCGATTACAAAATCCACTCGCCCCGGGCTATCGGACACTACTTTCTTTGCATGCTGAGGAAAGAGGAAAATTAAGAAATTATTTCTTTAATAACAATAGAATTAATTGAAGTAGGCTGATGAAAACTGTCCAAGCAGTCATAGGATATATAATTATTTCTTCACTTAAGGATTCCACATCATGATCATTTTACTAAAGGACTTTTGTGATACACTTGAGCAAGGAACTTTGTCTGTAGTTCTATTAAATACCTTTGCTGGGGTTATACCACTTGCAGCACCAAGAGTCAAGTCTCTAGCTGGTCTTAATGATGGCAGTCTGCCAGGACTAAAAAAAAAAATTTAACACTGTAATACATACATAACAAAGAGCTGCAATGTGAGTGGATTGTAGTGGGTATTTAAGTCAAAATATAAGCCAAAGTAGGCTGTCATTCACAATACAATAGGGACCTTAAGATCCCACAAAGCTGACGGCAACCAGGAAGTCAAAGAAGCAATAGGTTTAACAACCAAAACAACAATTTTGCACATGCATCACGCTTTTTTGTACATTTCTTTGCCGTCACTGCACAACTATGACGTGAAAATGCCTAATTTCACATTTTACAGAGGAAGTACACAAGCAACGATGAAATTTTCTCTTTATTTCTGAACTCAAATATGGTTATCTTAGGAATTCAACTTTAGGAGGGTTTCACCTACATTTAACAAAGTTAGCGACTTGGAGTAATGACAATGAAGATTGAAAGAACATGAATTCACTTTTTCAGCGATGCTTTTGCTGCCCTTGCCGTCCTCAGATATTAAGGTCCCTAATACCTGCTGGAGTTCCAGGAGGGGGGTGGGGGTTGGGGCTCAGGTCTTAATTTAAACCCTTTTTTAAATTATATTTTGTCAAGATATAATAATGGGACAGGGAGGAAAATGCCCAGTCAAGCCCTTGGGATGCGTGAATGTCACCAACATTACCTGTAAAACTTAAACGCTTGAAACTAATGGGAAGTTGGTTTCCAGAGAGGTCTGCAAACTTTTATTCAGTGTTGTCAAGAGAGCATTCAACAGTCAACATTACAATACTCTGCATTTTTGCATTGAGGCAGTCAGGTATGGACTTGATGATATTTCAAACAAACGATTAAAATTTAAGGATGTTCCAGGAATAAAACAACCTCTAAAAATAACTAAAGTAAAATTCACATTATATCAGCCAATGCCCTTAGATTTCCTCTCTGTCCCAATAATATCTATTGAGTACCTGGGCGATGCACTTTGCAACTGTCTTGAGAACAAGGCTGAAAGTTAAATAAAGGAAATCAAGTCATTAGTGAAAATTACAAAATGTAAATCTATACCAGGGATCCATATTAGCAGTTGTCACAATGTATGAGAAAACATGAAATCTTAAAACCAGTATCAGGACACAAAAAATTAATTCAACCAAGAATACAAGGATGAACATCAAAAGCCAACATTTTTAATGCCTTGCCAGTAGTTGGGTATGGCAACTGGCATTACATTCTGTAGAGGTATACAAGAGAGTTCTGAACTTGACTGAAGTGTTCTGGAGGCCAGTTGCACTTCACATCATTGGTTCAAAACAATCAAGGTCCATTAAAAAATCCTCAGTTCACCTAAAAGTAAGTGTGAATCACACAGGCAAGTCTCAACACAGAAATGTTTCCATTTATTTTTTGGCTGCTTTCCATGCAGCCAATGGTCAAGCAAATCAAGCAAATATTATTATACAGTGTATGCTAGACAGCAAAACAACCGTTCTTTTTTTCTCAAAATCGGTTTTGCAAGGTTCGAAGCATCAGTGCCAATGTAATAATTTTGTGGAAAGCATGTAAGCACAATTTCTGCTGATCTACAAACACTCAAACTGAAATTCGCATTTATTGACTTGGTCGCCATCTTCGAAAGGCCTGTAATAAACTTTTCCAGAAGTAAAACGCAAAATACTGCCCAATATATGGTCATGATCATCCGTCATACTTGGCTGGCTATTTTTCCTGTGAAACCAAGGCGCAGGTATGAACAATGACACCTTTTGCTTCACAACGATGTCCTGGAGTGAGGTGCTGACAAGTTTGTTTCTGGTTTTCTAGAGTTCTATGCAGTACAAGGAAATCTTTGCCTTTCTATGGCAAGGAAAAGCTTTTGTGTCTATGACTAACGTTATGGCAACTGAACAAAGAAGAAAAACTGGCAGTTTTGGTGGCATGAAGTTGAAAACTTTACAATCCAACAGACAACAAGACCATGGATGTATTTAATTACATAGCAAGCGTGTTTTTTATAATGTGTTAGATAGAGGAATTTGTCAGACATTTATGGTCAAGGTGCTTTGATATGTTAGAAAAAAGTTGATAAATAGTATATTACTTCTAAATTAGCCCAAATATGAAGTAAATTGCTCGTATCACAGAAGAGTTTGTGACGTGTGACTGTTTGGCAATCACAACTGGACATAAATTTAAAACTGTCAAATTTGCCCGCTCCGGATACAATTTTTTTAGCTACAACTGTATTTATAGCTCTCAGTTTTCCCAGTTTTCCCCACGAAATTGGTCTTAGAAACAAAACTTTAGTTGCTTATATCTCACTTCAGTGAGATCACCCTGAACTTAAACTTCGCATACAATGTTAAGTACTGGCTAGCTTCAAGCTGGTCGAAAATCGCATGATTCTGACATCGTCACATTAGCCTCCGGTACCACCTTAAGGTTCTCTAGAAAATCAAAATGTTTTCTCCTTTCTCATCAAAACAGGAAATGTAACCCAATGATAAACCAATGATGTTTAAAGCAGTTTTGCATGTCATATATTTTCCTAAGGTGTGATTTTTTACTTACAGGGGCACAAATCATGAAAAAAAGGAAAACTGTTTCTTCCTGCCTTCAGAAAAGATTACAGTAACTTGGCAATGCTTTGATCACTTTGTAAACAAGGTAAGAGATTGTCTGATAATAAAAAAGCATGATGCTCCTAAACTACACCCGTAAACTTACATTTTCACTGAACAAACAGAACAGTAGATTTCAAATAGGCTTCGTGAGTAGTCCATTATTTTGCCTCTAAACTTACTTGGCAAATAATTATCACTATTATTAGGAAAGTGGGCTGTAGCATTCACGAGAACATGATGACGTGTAGTTTACCGCTGACAAGAGCAATAACAGCTCAATGAGAGAAAGAATCCCTTTGGATGTGCTTCGTGTGCTTTGAAAGGTAATAAGAACTTCACACTCCAAAATCAGTTGGCTTTGAAGGGTCAAAAGCTTGGGCTTTGTCTGCAGTCCCTCATTTTTCTCTCTCCCCACTGCTTCTTGCCTTTCTCATGTGGGGTGATTTTTATGGGTGCTCAAATTTCGCTTGCTCTACTATTCCTGAGGGAAGATGAGGGACTACTCATAGTCTAATCCTTTTTACAAAATAACTAAGATAGTGCGCACGCTCTGATTGGGTGAGAGGTGTATTTGCATGAGAGTAAGTAAACATGGTTGTGACATCAAGATGTTTTGCTTTTTACGCGCTAATCGCACAAGCACGAATTTAAAAAGTTTTTGAGTTGAAAACTCCACAAGTTTACTTATTTATCCATTCCCTCATTGACTGAAACTTAGAAAATCTTTACAAACATGTTGTGTCAATTTTTTTCCTCTTAAGCTGACATTTTAAGCGAGAAAAATCCGTATTTAAGAAGGCTAAATTTCAGAATACCCAGCCACTTCTTTGTATATCATTTCATAACAAAAGTGCCTTGTATTGTGTTATACCTCGTTCTTTAAAGCGTTCTGACAAATGTAAATGATGTGGCCAGGTATTCTGAAATATTGTTCCTTTTGGAAAGCATCTTTTTTGTAAAACAAAAACTGATTACGATTGCAAGACTTTGTGTACAAGACTTCGCGACTGGTGAGAATTTATCTTTCCATCAGTGCCATAACAAAAAGTTTTGCAGTTTTTCTCGGGGAATAGCATAGCCGGCCTGATACAAACAATCGAGGGGTTGGGAGAATTCTCGAAAGCTATGCAAACCCGAGAGGATAACTACCTCGAATTCTCCTAACCCCTCTCGTGTTTATTTCAGGCTATGCAAACATGGTAAACGTTTCCTATTGCTTAAATATAAGCTTAAATCTAGAATGAGCCGAACATGAGCCTACCTCGGCCTCTTGCCCCCAGTAGTGGAGTCTTTCTCGCAGAAAGAGGGACCTCCTTATTTTTGTTACTCTCATTTCCAGACATGAGTGCTCACTTAACTTATTATTTAGGAAGCACACACGCAAACTTATTCAATATATAATATATATATACCGCTTGAAATAACTTGAAATTGCTCAAGTCTGACAGCCATGTTGAAAACCTTGAGTAGCATATCACGTTGGTCAGTTAACACTCTAGTACAAGATACCACGTCATTTAAACGACACGGGTACTTCCCCTAGAAAACACCCCTTTCTCCCATGATGCTAGGCGGGTAGGTTAATCCAGACCGAGTGTAAAGTTCATTTTGCAGTGAGCAATTTTTCATGCACTTATGGTGAAACTAGGCCTCCGAAAATAGACACACGGTGCTGAAGGAGGTACTCTCCCTGGGAGATGTCCACAGAATCAAGTGCCACAAGAAGACGTGGTAAAGAAGGCCTAGCAGCGAATGGGTCCAGCGAAAATCTTTTGGAAGGAATGAAGGTTGGTGAAGCTAATAAATCGAGTCGTTCTTTTTAGTTTTTGCTTATTCATTGCGCTGTCATCCTTGATGCATTGTAGAAAATTCCGTCTTTGAGACGAGTTCACTAATTCTCGGAAATACCAGTTTTTTTAATTTATAGATGTATATATCAACAGATTGTTCAAATTTTGCGCGACTTTGTAAATGACAGGCGACTTCGAAGAACTGTCGTGATCAAGTGATCGATCTTTCCAGTTGTTTTTGTTCGCATGCACTTGACGTTTGTTCAAATTTTTTATTTAAAAATGGGCTATTTTATTTTTGCGTTCCTCCAGTCGTGTTGTTGTCTGTTGTAGACCACACATAATGGCATTGGTGATGCAACATTAAAGCTTAAAACTTTCAATTCGTGAAGCTGAATAATAAGTGCCACATGTAATACTGATTCTCAGAAAGCTGTTTTCCTTAACTCCAAGTTGATATTTTAGAAGAAACAAGTGAAACTGTTATTTCGCTACATGCAGCCGTCTTTATGTTTGTTGCAATGATAGAAAATGTTTCCTAGCTAATTAATGATATTGCATGGCCACCTCTGTATAATGTTGGTAACATTTAGACTTCTTGTTGTACCGGCCTTAGTAGGAAGCACAGGATAACCTCGAATGTCATGTGATTACTAAAAATATCCAAATATTCTCTTTAAAAGCTGTCTTAAAATTTCACAGCAGTACAATAATATTGTTCGTACAGCATTAGTAATATTTAAATGCTTAATTACATCTGCGATTTTGTTGCAAAAATTATGTATAAGCTGGAGCTTCTGGAGAATTGTGCACCTGCATGTTTCAATAATTGACATTGAGTGCTGCATTAGTTGTGGTACATGTAAATACAGAACATATCAAAGTTGATTGTCTTAATCCTTAAAGCCCCAAGGCCAGGGTGATCAACTTCAATTTTCTCTTCACAAAATCAAAACATCAAGAGGGAAAAAGGTCAGGAGAATATTTATTGACAAAGTCACCACCAAAAAGAAAATGCCTTGACGTATAACAAATTCTTCCAACTAATTCTTTAGGAAAGAGTGAAGATCACTTGGGAGAATATGTAAGTGGATATCGGGGCTTACATGTACAGGGTTAAATCTGTCATGCACAGTCTACATGTAACTTCGTGTGAACAAAATACTGTACATTTAGGGAAAGTTCATTTAATATCACAGGGGGGGGGGGGGATGAAGATATTGAAACTCGAAGCTTGAAATTTTAGCAGCCCCCCTCGCTAGCGGTTCAATTTTTTAGGAGCCCCCTCCTTGGTAGTCGAAAAAATTTCGGAGCCCCCCCCCCCTTCAATTCCTTTGCTCCCCTGAAAAAAGATCGCTAGACTGTATTAAATATATTTACCGTTATTGTCTTCAATGGTTTATACTATGACAAACTTGAGATACAGTTGTGATACAATTTTCTAAAGCATTTTTGGGATGAACAAGAGTGTAATAATTACTGAGACTACATTTGTTATATCTGTAAACCACGTGATATAGCTGAGTTGCACAGGTCATTAAATTGTTGAGTTGAAAACCATCCGATCTGTATGATGATGTCATGTGTTGGTTTTGAAGTATACAAATTTTCGGAGCCCCCCCTCCTAAGCGCAACAATTTTTTCAGAGCCCCCCTTCGGTGTCTAAAAATTTTCGACCCCCCTCAATATCTTCATCCCCCTTGTCATATTAAATGAACTTTCCCTTAGGACCGAACCTAATACATTGAAATAAGTACGTGAAAAGTTCGGCATCTGAATCAATTAGGAATGCTTATTTCAATGTGGAATGGCTCAGCCGTTTTTCCCGCCTAGCCCAGCCGGGAACTTCTCCTTTGGAGCAACTTTAGAACTGCTTCAATTCAGACACCAAACTTTTCCTGTGCCAGACCTGAAGCATAAATTACTATAAAGTATATTGCAAGTGCTTTAACTCCGAGAGCATTTTTCCCCTTTTGATTTTAGTTTGCCTGGAATTAAGATCGGCATGTGAATCAATTGAGCCGGTCTTAATTGTTTGGCTTGGCCTCACTTCGAATTTGGTTTGGCTCATGAAAAGTTTGGCATCTGAATTGTGCCTTACCATTCAAATGAAACCTCTTGTTGCCTCTTGATGTATTTGCAGGAAAATCAAGAAACGGATACCAGGGAAGAAACTAGTAGTCTTGCTGCAGCCACGTCAGAACAAGAAAGCATGCCTTTCCTGTCAAGCTTAAATCCCAAGTAATGAGCTGTTTTCAACATAAGTTTATTAATTTTATTATCCAATACTGTAAAATACAGTACCGTTCAAAAGTAAGTTGACAGTCCGTTACGAGTCTCAATTCTTGACTTGATTCTCGATTCCTGCATGAGAACAAGTTATCATGAATTGAGTCAAGGATCGAGTCTCGCGAGATATAAAGTAAAAGATTCACCCATGACTGATTTCTCAATAAATTTACAATGACATTCATGCCACACAACATGGCATGGTTTATATGGGCAAGTGACTATATGCGTAAGATAGTTGAGGTTTTGACATATCACTCAAGCCATGCAAACAAATGCAAATTTCCTGAAAAGCTGTCAACTGCTAGTGGATCTTGAATTTGTATAGTTCAAGCATTTCTTGAAGGAATTAAACACTGCAGAGAGTTTGTTATTTTATAGAGTAGAAAGAGCTGTCTGACATCAGAGAAGTTAGAAGATTACTCAAAACTTGAACAAAGGTTGTAGATTCTCTCAGCAATTGAGTATCGAGAGTAAGAGCAAATTACTCAATACTAAACCAAGACCATTCTAGTTTGATGAGACACGCAGGAATCGAATATCGAGAATCAAGTTGCAACAATCATGAAGAATTGAGTCTGGATTCTCGACTCAATTTTCACTTCTTGATTCTCGCGAGGATCAAGAATCGAGTGTCATCTTACTTTTATAATGGTACCACATTCCATATATGACCCTCACTGCCCCCTCCCCCATTCCAAATGCTAACAATTCACCATTTTCTTATTGCCCATAACATTTTCTTTATCCCCAAAATTTTGCAGAAGTATGGTTCCTTCTTTCTCTTGGGACAACTGTAACATCCAGGAGAAATTGCAAACTGTAGTTATGCAAAATTTTGGGGGATATGTAAACAAAAAGTGCAACTCTCTGTGTTTCTGCATGAGTCTCCCAGGTGAAATGGATCACAGATCTTCTGTTCTTCCCTATGGGTCACCAAATCTCCCAGATAAAATAGACTGTTGAGCTTATTTTAGCATGAACCGTCTATGCATTCACAGGATTCTGAAACAAAGGAAAATAGAACCCAAAAGAACAACGGTCCTAGTTGTTCAATTCACCACTAACTAATTGCATATACCTGGCAATGATAAATCTTAGTGATCGCCCTGTATGACTATGCGACGTAAGCCTGTCATATGTCACATATTCTATGGAGGACGTAAACAAGCCTGACAAAATTTTCTTTCTCTTTCTGAACCTGGGTGGCGGTCTTAGGAATTCAGACCCTGAAGAGTTTGCCTACACAGGGTGCAAAGAAAATCATTTTTACAGCTTGCCATTTGGGCAAGCTGAAGCTAGCATTTACTAGCCCAGATATCATTTGAACTAGCCCCAAAAGCTTTTTGATGAGCAGAATTGATTTCACAGTTCTTCCTTTATTTGAATTGCTCAAAAAACATCACTTGCCCATCGGGCAAGTTAAAAACAGAATTCACTAGCGCGATAGCAAAATCCACTAGCCCCGGGCTATCGGACACTACTTTCTTTGTACGCTGCTACATTTGACAAAATAAGCCAGTTGGAATAATCGTGATGAAAATTGAAAAACGGAATTCATTTTTTAATCAACGTTTTCACTGCCATTATCCTCTCATCTTAAGGCCCATATTATTTGCCCTGCCAAAAAGTCTACTTGCCCCGGAATACTGGACAGGTCTTTTTCGAGCCTTGGTGCAATCACAGGCTGAATTATGACCAAAAATTCAATTTCAAATCAACCTTTTTTGCCTCCTACTTTTATCATCAGTCAGGTATTCTAAAAATTATTTTACCTTAGAACAAAGTCCTGCTTTACTTGCAAAGCGAGCTGAACTTTCATAATAACTTTGTTCTTCTTGTAATTGTTTAGATGGAGAAACTGGTGGATTAGAGGAATGTTTACTCTGGTGATGTTTGTTGGTTTTGCTGTTATTATTTACTTTGGCCCTTTTGCCTTAATCTTGTTGGTGAGTTTATAGTTAGACTTTATCATTGAGAAGGACTTAGAACTACCAGGTTTCTCCGTAGTAGTATATTTAATCACTCAAGATTTTAATCCTTGTGTTTTTAAGTATACTGTTACAGGTCAAATTTGATTTTAGGGGAGATTTTTTTTAACCATGTTGATTCGTAATTTCCTTTGTCTTCTAGGACTAGGAGACAATAGAAATTGAGAATCAACCTAGGTTAAATGAAAATTAACCTGAAATCAAATTTGACTTGTTACAGATATAACAGGGTTTGCACAGTCCTTTTTCCCTTGAAAAGTCCTTAAATTTCTGTGCAAGTCCTTGAAAAGTCCTTTAATTTTCTTCAGCTTTGAATTGAGGGGCGTGGAAAGTGTTTTTTGAAACTTTTTGGTTGTCCAAGAAAGAATACAAATCATAGCTCAGAGAATTTAAAGGTTATTTACATAAATTGCTCTATGTTTTTGTATGCAATAATAATTATTGATAGTTAATTATTAACTACCAATTTACAATGTAAGTCAAGTGAACTGAAAAGTGTTGGTGAAGCAAACAGTTCAAGCCTTAAAGTCTTATTAGAGTAGACTGGGAATGTGCATTTTTATACAATCTGTGAAATTATATTCCTAGTAGGTGGTCCTTGAAAATCTAATGTGGTCTTTGAAAAGTCCTTGAAAAATGGTTGCATTTTTTTGTATGAACCTTGTATAATGCTAGTTATCTAAGGAAGGGGTTGGAATGAAAAGAATATGTAATTACATAGTGTGCAGTGTATAATCATTTGAAAGATCTCCTTGCAGGAGTAGATGAGAGCAATGAAGAATCCCCCCCGCCCCTTTTGTAGGCATGTGATTGAAAACATGTACTTTCAAATACTGAGCTTAAGGAAGAAGAAGAGCATTTTTCTTCAGTTTGATTAGACTTCAAAGTTTTTCTTTCTTTTGATTTGTTCAGATTCAGTGTATTCAAATCAAGTGTTACCATGAAATAATTTCCATTGGACATAAAAAGTATCAAAAGCACAATCTTCCTTGGTTTAGATCGCTAAGTTGGTAAGTAAATTCTGTCGAAATAACTGCTACCACAAAGGTTTAATACTGAATTGCTTCTGTAATAGTACCTGTTGCCAGTGGAAGATTATTGATAATAAAGCTTTAGACTGAGTGTGAGAGGCATACACAGTATGTTGTGGTCCAATTTTATCTGTGGTGTTAATTTATTTTCTTTTGTTTCAAATTCACTATTATACATTATTGTTACCCCAAACCAAAGGAAAATACATTTATAATTTAAACCAAGGGCAAAATTGAACCACAAGTAATGTACAATCATTGTGTCAAAGAAATGATGGGGCCATATAGCAAGTACAGGGAATGATAAGAAGCTCCACTTTCATAAGTACACTTTGTACGGCCAACTCTTACCTTGCAGACACCTCGCTAATATGGACACCCTAATAATATGGACAAAAGATGAATCCTTAACAAAAATTTCAGACCTCTAACAATTGCAAAAATACCCCACTGCTGCAAACACTTTTTCGATCCTGGCATCACAGTGTTATTGTTCTAAATCAAAATGTAATTCTTGTTTTGACAGACATCAAGACAGTGTTGTCTTTCAAAATTGATGTTAGGACACCAATAAAATCTATTTCATTTGTATTTTACGGTGTATCATCATCTTGTCTTTCCTATTCAATATTTTGCTTTTTCTGTAGCATATCATCCACAGCTGTTCTAATGTTTTCTATAAAGAAATTCTTCTTGTACTCTGCTGTTATGGACTTCTGTTATCATGTACACTAACTTGCAGTCTTAAGGATTTCTGCAATAATAGGAGTTAGCTGTATAAGCCTATAAAGGACTGGGTTATGAGCTCTTTAAGGCCTAATATTCCCATACAAATTCTCCAGAATGATCTCCTTACATTTCTTTAAAGAAATAGTTGAGAGAATTCGCTTAGAGATCAGAGAGCATTTAACCTTTTTTCTTGATTATGTATGGATATTGTTGAGAGAAAATTCATATTGGTCATCGTTGGGACTTAAAGGGTTAAGAACAGCAGGTTGCTGAAAACTGGCTGCAAACTGTTGGTAAAGAAAGTGTAGGGAGTACAGGAAAATATCTCAGAACTTCCTGGGCTCAAAAAAGGTGATATGCAGGTCTCAGAACCTGGCACAGATGCTTAGTTTGATGCACATATACAATAGCTAAATCAGGAATTTTCACCAAAATTAATACTATGGGCTGCAAACCATTGGTAACTAGAAAGTGTAGGAAATACAGGAAAAAATCTCAGAACTTTCCAGGCTCAAAAAGGTGATTTGCTGGTCTCAAAATTCAGCATGATGCTTAGTTTGATGCACGTATACAATAGTTAAATCAGGAATTGTCATCAAGTACTGTGGGGAAATCCCTGTTTAATAAATAACCCATTTTTCTCAGCATTAGGGAAAGTTCATTTAATATGACAAGGGGGGGGGATGAAGATATTGAGGGGGGGCTCCGAAAATTTTTAGACACCCGAAGGGGGGGCTCTGAAAAAATTGTTGCGCTAGGAGGGGGGGGCTCCGAAAATTTGTATACTTCAAAACCAACACATGACATCATCATACAGATCGGATGGTTTTCAACTCAACAATTTAATGACCTGTGCAACTCAACTATATCACGTGGTTTACAGATATAACAAATGTAGTCTCAGTAATTATTACACTCTTGTTCATCCTAAAAATGCTTTACAAAATTGTATCACAACTGTATCTCAAGTTTGTCATAGTATAAACCATTGAAGACAATAACGGTAAATATATTTAATACAGTCTAGCGATCTTTTTTCAGGGGAGCAAAGGAATTGAAGGAGGAGGGGGGGCTCTGAAATTTTTTCGACTACCAAGGAGGGGGCTCCTAAAAAATTGAACCGCTAGCGAGGGAGGCTGCTAAAATTTCAAGTTTCGAGTTTCAATATCTTCATCCCCCCCCCCTTGTCATATTAAATGAACTTTCCCTTAGTGAGCTGAAATGATTGCCTTTCATCTCTTATTAGGTATTTCCTTGGTTGTGCAAACTTCTTCTTCTACGGTGAAAGCATAACTGATTATTTCAACGGAAACCCAAACCCACCAGTGGATGATGAATCAGAGGTAAATTCCAGCCTCTTTTAGCCCTGTACATTTTAAAGTTTTTGGCCACATTTATAATGGAGAATACTTGTCCCCAGAAGGAGCACATACCTACCTGAGCTATACTGTACCCTGGGCAAACCAACATTTCCTATTACCTTACAAAAATTGCTAAACTGTTTGCATGAGAAACAAAACGTTGTCTCCACTAGAAGGGTGACCTGCCATGTCAACTTAGTCAAGGCAAGACTATTGGAGCATGTGCAAACGCTGATGGCTCAGCAAAGGGGTCAACCTTTTTCGCCTTTAAACACTCACTTGAGTTGACTGAGCTCGCAGGGTGACCTTCTTTCCCAGGACCATTTTCCTACATATAAACTGGATTTAGTCTGCAAAGTTTGTGCCTGACTATCAGGACTAGAGAATATGAGTGTGTTTTGAGTTTTAGTTAGATATGTTTGTGCCAAGAGTTTTCGTAACATTTTCTTCTTTCTTTGGTAGGAAGTGGTTAAAACATACATCCCATATCACAGACTGATTTCATATGCACTCTACCTTATTGGTAAGAATACCTTATTGCAAACATGCAAAATTGTAAAAAAAAAAAAAAAAACAGGTTTACATTCTCAATGCATTGTAAAATGTACCGTCCACTCCCGATAACTCGAACCCTCGCTAACTCAAACCTCATGCAATCTTGAACCAAAATCTATTTCCCCTGAATTTCCTTCATACATTTACTGCAACTTTACCCTCGGTAACTCGAACCATTGATAACTTGAACCTCCCGCTAACTCAAAGTAAATTAGTTTTGTTTCTTTGCAGTTTCTTTGCACTCCTGATAACTTGAACTCAAGCCAACTTGAACGTTTTTCGATTTCCCTTGAAGGTTTGAGTTATTGGGATTCAACTGTATTGTCAATTGATTAATGTAAAAAATCATTAACCTGAAATAAAGGGCTTGGAAAATCTGATTGCCTTACTACCAGGGCAAGCAAAACTCTAGCAAGCTACCAGAAAATCGATTCACATTGAATAACTTATGTTTTGTCTATAGGATAATGATTTAAATTTGAGCTGGAAAAAAACTGCTTGTAATTAATGGTCTCACTCGACAAACTGCATAAAACATGCAACTAAAAATATCAGCAAGGTTGGCAACCAGAGCCGGTGGACTTAACATGCTCAAGTTATACTTGGAATTTTTGGAACTTGTCATGAGTCACCAAAATGTTGGGCTAAGGAGAAAGTGGTGCTGTAGATCAGGAACAATTGTGTCTTTGGGCCTGTCTTATGAAAGTCCCCAATGGGCCAGGAGAGCTGTTTTTTTGTTATGCATTCACGATCATTGAGGCTTCAACAGTTTTTCAGATAAACAAATAATGTCCGTTAGTAAAACATAATGGACTGGTTTCTTAAGTAGGATCTGCGGGCTTATTCTTTAGATATTTTTGATTTCAATAATTATTTGAGTCTGGGCCCAAAAAGTTGCCATGACTTTCGAGAAATAGGCCCCTGGGCAAGAACTCAGGGGACTTCCTCCTCCTATAATATCCAACCCCAAGACACAGTTGTGCCCAAGAAAGTCCTGCCTTTAGATATTATTAGTTGCCTCTTTCAGCTGTGCATGAAGTTTTTCCCCTTCTTTAAATTTTCTGAAGAACCCGGCCAGGTTATCCCAATTGACCTACGGCTTGCGAGATGTGTGAAACATTTGTGGTTAGCTGCTTTATGATGGTTACGAGACCATATACGACTCTTTGTAGTTCTTTGATAGTTGTCATGACTTTAGATTCTCTACCACTTGTAGACGTACGACTCTACGAGAGGATTTGTACTAAACTCACTTTTAATAAAGAAACGACACAACACGATTTACATTCTGATCACCCTGTGTTCGCTTTCCAAATCAAGTGATCATGTTTCCCAGAGTTCCACTACAAAGCCAGACCTTAGCAGGGTTTAATTTACAGGACTTTTCCTGGCTTCAATTTTCTGGAGAACATTCAAAGGCTCAGAAACACTGGCCCGGCCATTCATGCCAGACAAACTAGTGCTAGGGTTTTGAACACACTTTCTATGTGGAGAGCCCTTGGATAGGCATCCAGAATGGGCCTGAGTGTCCTGTTCGTACCTTTTCCTTTTGGGCATTAATCCTATCTTTTTTTTACTTTTCCATTTTTCTCATGTATGCATATTTCATTTAATTTAGTCTTGCCCAATAAAGTATGGACTAAAAATCTCACTTGGCCCATGGTACTGAAAGGATTTATGAGCATAGTTTTACCACACTTGTATTTAACTTATTGATTCTGGGATATATATTGATTTTGGTAAAAAAAAAAAAACTGGATTTTTGCTTTGCAGGTTTTATTTTATTTGTTTTTAGCTTAAAAAAGGACTACTACAAAGTACAGTTCTCACTGGTAAGAAAAAACACTTCAAATTTCTACTTTGTGAACTAGCTAACTGACAGTTCTTTACTGTTCTGGATAATCTGAAGACTGAAGAGAAATCAATATAATTATACTTGGAACAGTTATCCCAGAGGTAACATCACAAATTGATTTCCTTGGCTCATTTACACCTGCGACACCTGAAACTGTCCTAGCTTATGTAGCTATAATCATTCCAACGCTTGTGATGCCTCCATTTCAATGGCTCAAAGACTACTTTGTTGCACAACCTCTGTTGAACACAGAAATGTTTTGGAGCATAAAAGCCGTAATTTGGTAAAGGAGCCAAGATATGCAGTGCACACAGTGTCATGTAGAATTGACTGTTAGAGTAAATTGGAATGAAAATTTTAGTAAAAGATATTGCATGCACCTTTTTGTTGCTTTTCAGTTTGGCTGGACCCATGTGACACTGTTGATTGTAGTTACTCAGTCACACCTCATCATGCAAACATTGTTTGAGGGACTTATTTGGTAAGTCAAACTGAAGTCCTTTGTGTGGATCTACAGTGCAAGGGCATTAGTTCATACATTACATACATCCAGACATTTTTTGTTTGTGAAATACAATAATTTTGACATCATACCGGGGGGTATCAAATTAAGGCTATTATAGGCTGGTCATGTTTTCAGGAAATAAAATAATACAGTTCATGAATGCGGGAACGTGAAGCAAGGGTCCGCTCAGTGTTCAGTGTCCCAGATCACCATCAGTGTTTGTTGATTTATCAGATAAAAGTTAAAGTAAAGAATAAGTTAAAGGCAGACTGTTTTAATCCAGGTGTTGTACCAGTAACTGATAATGTCTGTTTTAATTCTATACTCTAACATGTATGGCCAGAGAGTGCTTGAAAGAGAGCTCTCCCCTTCGAAGAACAGTTTTTAGAAGTGAGCTGTCTGGTACAAATTTATTATCCTTGTCTCCAACACTTTAATTTGAATTCATTTTTCCTCAGTTAAACTAATTGTTAGTTGTAGCTTTTTAGGACCATTTTTGTGAGCATCCAGTCCAATAGTTTGTACTACTAGTTTATCAAATTTTGTCTTTTTACTGCTGAGTCAGATTTCTTTCCTAGTCTTCTCATCAGTGTTTTGTGGAATAATATTGTTTTGCAGGTTCTTTCTCCCTGTCAGTATGGTGATTTGTAATGACATCTTTGCCTACATTTTTGGTACGTGAATATAGTATTGTTTTGTTTTTCATAAATTTCCACATAACTGTACTTAGATCTGGGTACGAGATTAAGTACAGGTGTATGTACTTCATCTATATAGATGTAGACAATGTATGTACAATGCTGCATTGGGCGTGGAAACCTTTGCATACAAAGAAAAGTCTGTGGATTTCTTGTAGAAATTAATTATGATCTTAACTTTCAGTATTGTTGCTTCTTTCTATAATTTTTTGCGCTTACAATCATGTTTGATGTTTTGATTGCTATTTCAGGGTTCTTTTTTGGCCGGACACCTCTTATCAAGGTATGTTCACCTGTTTTTAAGTTTTGAAGCAAACATGATTGACTGGTTACCAGAATGAAACGTTACATAAATAATTATTAATGATAATGTTATTAATTAATTTACAGTAACAGGGTGTTCATTAGGCATCGGAGAATTCTCCGGCTACTACGCAGATTTCTCCGGCTAAATTTCGATGGACTGTAGCTATCTTTACTCAGACGTGGAGCCGTTATGTAGTAGGAAAATATATTCGGGGAAAATAGTGTCCTTGTTAAGATAAAAACAGAACATGTTGAACAAATAATTTTTCGTTGACATTTGCACGTGGTTGAAAATTGTTAAAATATATGTAGAAATGAGCATGTCACGGACATTGTAAAGTAATGCGTAATTTTAACGTCATGCCCACGTGAATTTAGCTACTGAAGTCATACCTAAATAAATAACGAAAGAATATAAATAACCAGCCAGTGTGCCAGCCAAAAAAGCTTATTGGAACACCTAAAATAAATAGAAAAAATTGTCGACGGCTTGCTTTAGCGTGGAGAGTTTCCTGTTTGCTAGAGCCGTTCTTTTTATTTACTAGTGAAAAGTCTTGAAAACAGTACACGGCGAACAAATAAAATCGGCAAAGTCACGAAATGAAAACTTGGCCAAATTTAAGCGCAAATAGTGAACTACATTTGTGAAAAAACGATTTTGCTATGCCAAAAAAATCTGGCGATGATTACCGTATATTTAATTTGAGTATCAAATTACTTCCAAGCAAATGCAAATTTCGACAGAGGCGGGAAGAGTTTTCTCACGTCTCGTGCTATTTATAGAAGAGTGTTTATTATTACGGTATATTTCCGTCCTAAAAAGTAAAATTTAGCAGAGGTCACCATTTGCCGGTCACTATGTCAAAAATTACAAATTTTTTCACGCCCAGAACGAGCAGTGGTGGTGGGAAGCGCTCAAATGCGAGTTCAAACAGCGACAACAACAACGACAACAAAAAAGATGAAGACGAACCGCCACCTAAACGGAGTCTGAAGTCAACTTCTTCTGAGGCAATTGGAGCGAGGTGTGCTTCTTCAAAAAAATCTTCGGTCAGTTCTGAGGATGTAGAGAGTATAATCAACGATCTTTTTACGGAAGATCAAAAGAAAGTATTGCACCACTACCACCGCTGCCGGAAAGAAATTGTTCTGGCCTTCGAACAGACGAAAAACAAAGGCTGTCAAGCAAGAAAGACAAGTTCCAACACGAGTGGCTCTTCGAAGCAAACGTATTTTGTGAAAAGACAGGTTTGAGATGGCTCGTGTTTGTTGAAGGTGAGGGTATGTATTGCTTGATTTGCAAAAAATACAAATGTACGAATCAACAAAACAAATCCGACATTTTTAACGAGAAGCCTTCTGTAAGATACAAAACGACAGCAATCAACAAACATGCACAGTCGCAGAAACATTCAGCGGCAATTTCATGCGAGATGATGAACCGAGTTTCTGTTTTCCAAAAAGAATTGGATGAGCGGCAGAAAGTGAACGACGACATTCTTTACAAAGTATTTTATTCAATTTACTGGCTAGCTAAGGAGGGAATCGCAAACAGAAAAGCAGCGGGCTTGTTCACCCTTCTTGAGAAGCTAGGAGTAAGTGATCTGAAGTACTTTGATCATCGATCACCAGCATCAGTGCGAGAAATGTTTAGTACCCTGGGCTGTGCACTGAAAGAGAAAGTTGTGAAGAGAGCAAAAACGGCAGGATGTTTTGGACTTCTCGTGGATGACGTGTCAGATATATCAGTCATGGAGCAGATGATTACATTTATCCAGTTTTACGATGAAGACAGCAGTGAAGTCACTGTTGAGTTTCTTTCGGTGGACAATCTTTTAGAGAAAAATGACTCTGCAAATGCCACAGCCATGTTTGAAACAATCACGTCCAATTTGCAAGCATGTGCTCTCTCTACTAAAAAACTTATTGGGTTGGCTACAGATGGGGCTTCAGTTATGGTGGGAAGAAAGAATGGGCTAGCTGCTAAACTGAAAGAGGTCAACCACCGTTTGGTTTCAGTACACTGCATATGTCACAATTTAGCCTTGGCATGCACTGATGCCAAAGATGACGCAAATTTGAAGTTCATCAAAGAGGTTGAAACTGTGGTAACTCAACTATGGAAACTCTTTGAAAACTCGCCAAAGCGACTTGCTTGCTACCTGAAGGTCCAACAGCAAATGAAAAATCTTAAACTGAGTAATGAGTCAAGAAAGATGGTAACAAAGAAATTAAAAAAGGCCTGCGATACCAGATGGCTATCATTCAATAGCGCAGTCCAGTCCTTGTACACTGATCTTGTTGCTGTAGTTCAAACCCTCAAGCAGTTGAAACAGGACCCAAATCAACCTGCAGCGTATGGCTTATTGAAAAAGATCAACAAAGTGAAATTCATTGGTGTAGTATACATTTTGAAGTGGATTCTTCCTATATTGGCGACCCTCAGCAAATCCTTTCAGAAAGGCGCTATCAATTACGCCTCAATAAAGCCCTCCATCGACCACAGCAAAGACAAGCTAAATGAGGTCAAGAGCAGAGAAGAAGCCATCAAGCAACTTAAGCAAGATCTTTCTAGTGGTGGTCGTCTTGAGACCCTGGAGCTTGTGTGCACTGAAAGCAATGTTAAAGAACTACAGGGACTTCTCCAGAAATACATCAAAGCCCTTGTGAAGAACATTGACAAGAGGTTTAAGTCATCTCTGCCGGTGCTCAGTGCATTTTCAGCATTTGATCCCATGCTGATACCAAACAGGCAAAGTCCTGCATTCCATAGCCACGGAGATGCAGAAGTTAAGGTTCTAGCTGACCATTTCTTTGATGGTGATGACAGCGAGGCAGACGAATTTAAAACAGAGTGGAAGAAGCTGAAGTACGATCTGCTTTCATGGAAAGAACACATCCCAAAAGACACAGTGGAAGGCAAGAAAGGCACACCTACCGAGTGGTCACTTAAAAGAGTCATGGCCATGAAGTCAACATTTGGGCAGTTCTATCCAAGATCTGTTCACCCTTGTAGAATCAGACACTATGTAGAATCTATGCAAATGCTATGTCACAAAGCTATGCAAAACCTATGTTAATCAGTCATACATTGCTTTAACCAGATCCTATGTTGTTTCTATGCCAGGACTATGTTTTTTGTATCGAAAATGCTATGTTTTCGCTAGTCAAACGGAACCTACTTAAAAGCTATGCAGTTTTTAAAGGTAGGAATAAAGGAAGAAATGACATAGTTTCCACATAGCCTATACATACAGTTTACTTAGCTTGTGGAAAGAGATTTTAGACTTCATAGTCAACCTCATAGAAAAATCATAGAAAATAAATAGCCTTCACATAGGACTGAAATAGAGTTTACATAGTAAAATGGAACAGGGAACAGTTGATTAAATAGCTTTTGAATAGGGTTTGCTTAGAATTTAGATAGCCTTGAAATAGAAAAAACATATGAAAAACATAGCCTTTTTAAAGGTGACATATACTTTGCATAGCATTAAAATAGGGAAAACACAGAACAAAATAGTCTTTGCATAGGTTTGAAATAGGATTTTAATAGTATTTGAATAGGTAAAACATATCACATACACAAGCTTTAACTAGAGTTCAAACAGAAATTACATAGAATTGACAGTCTCTTATGTATGTAGGTTTCGATCTGCTTAAGCAAATGTAGTGTTTAAAATACGTTCGAAAAAATCACCAAAATAGTAAAAATAGTATAAACATATGAATTAGAATACCTCTTACGTTGGTAAGAAATAGGTTTTGAAACAAAACATTGAAAAACTATGGCAATATAATACCACGAACATAGTAACACAAATGCAGTATTTTCATGGAGGTTTTAGAATCGAAACCCCAAGTTTAAGTTTGCTGATCGTGTAGACTTTTTGCTGATGTCGTGCTCTTCAGTGCCATACAGTTTCCTTTTGACTGCAACGAATAAGTATCTGCAAACAGAAAAGTGGAGATTTTAAGGCAAATGAACATAAAAACAACCCGACGTTTTAGAATTGAAACGAAGGAGTATCAAAGCGTGATCGACCGATCCTTGTTCAGATACGCGAAAAGGGGAGACAACACAAGCAAATCGAAACTTAATTGAGAAAAACATCACTTACCAACGTTAGGAATACTTTTTGTTGAACCTGGCAGGAAAAAGACTGGAAATTGAAGTAAAAAGAAGCGTCTTCTTGTAAAAACGCACGCTTACAGCTCGTCTTCTTTGACTTGAAAGCGCCCGCGTGGAAACAGACAATTTTCACACCTTTTCATTGGTTGAAAAGGCCCACGTGACGATAAAACGCAAAATACGCATGTGTTGAACTCACGGGCTTCCCTGGGAACTAGTGGAAACAAAATGGCGGACAAACAGCCACCGAGGCAGGTAGCGTTCCGCAGTTTTGACCATGCAGTTATATTCAGGAGACGTCCACAATCAAGACGAAGGATCGAACCCAATGTAAAAGAAGAAAATGATGCATGGCAGTATCATTTCAAGTGTAGAAACTCTAGGGAAAAGCTAGAAAGGAAAGTTAAGACAGGGATGATGGATGTAGCGATTCAATGCTTAACAAAAATCTTCTCACTAAGAAACTATCTGCAAGCACAAAAAAAGATTATAGTACATGATTTTTCAGCGTTTTAGTTTAAAACACTGCTTTTTACTTTGAAAGTATGCTTAGCCTTCTGTAAGCGCTACCATCAACATGCCTAGTCACTTAAAAGCTATGTTGGAATATCACAAAGGAAACGCATAGACTACATATATTTTTCATATGAGTGACATAGGAAAAAAGATGTTTATGTAAAAGCTATGTAGCCTTTATCTCACGATAAAGCTAATTGAAAATGTCACATAGTGAATACATAGGCTGCAAATATGTTTCATCACATAGCATAGAATATACATAGCACTATGTAAAAGCTAAGAAACTTGTTGGAAATAAAAGTGAAGATCGAAATGCTATGTAAAAGCTATTTTACTTTGATGCATAGTGAATACATAGGATGCTGATCGGAAGGAAAAGCAGAACTTTCTATTGCATAGTAAATACATAGCTATGTCAAGACTATGAAAAGATTTTGAATAGTATTTGCATAGGTATTCAAAAGCTATGTGCTTTTCAAATAGCGTAAACATAGTTTCAACATAGATTTTGCATACTTTGGACTATGTTGTTTGGTGTGTTACATAGTTAATACATAGGCAGTAGTGAACATAACATAGCTGAAACATAGTCCAACATAGTAAACAAATAGCATGAGCATAGGTTTTGCATATGTCTGGTTCTACAAGGGCAGGTAGCGGAGGCAGCACTTGCAATCCCAGTTTCCAATGCTTGGCCCGAAAGGGGCGCTAGTCAGTTGAAATTGATCAAGAGCAGGATAAGAAGTCAGATCAAGAACGACTTACTTGCATCTCTCCTTCATATCACCATCAATGGCCCTGTCCCACATACAGAAGCCTGTGATTCCCTGGTCAGCAAAGCTGTGGACATGTGGAAAACTGCAAAGAAGAGGAGAAAGCTCCCATACCACAAACCAAGCACGCAGCGAGAACCCAACAGTGAAACAGAAGCTGCCACTCCCAGCACCGTCGTACAAGATATGGGGACACAGACAGATGCAACATCGACCACCGAGTTGCAGAACATCCGAGAGGAGTATAAAGAAGCACTTCATGTTCTTTGCCTTGATGACATGGTTGAGGAAGAGCTAGATTCTCTGGAAGCTTTTGCTAAAAGCCTTGAGAGTGATGACAGTGGAGACAGTGGAGTTGATGAATAGAGTTAACCCTTTTACTACTGATAGCATCCAAGGAAAATATTGAATTTCAGCTTTCATTTGCAATGTTCACACTTTGGTTTATTATTTGGTATTTAGTAAGATAGATAATAGGGCCAATTGACTCATTTGACAAGACTCTTGGAGTAAAAGGGTTAGAGCTCTTGATTTAACTTTACTTGCTTGTAAAATTCAAAGAACAAAACATCCGTTTGGCACCATTTTAAGGTATACATTGCTTTTTGTTTGCCAGCTAGAAAGAAATGAAATTTGCTGTCAGATAACAGGAAATGGCATCTCAGAGGGTTAAAAAATCCAAAATTTCCTGGGGGAGCATGCCCCCAGACCCCCCTAGGGTGGAGCGAGCGCTGCTCGCTCCTCGAAAGAGCTTCACTCTTTCGCAACATTCTCCTGTTACTTTAACCTACTCTCCTGCTACTGTAATTCTTAATGAAAACCCTGCAGTAAGAACCCATGTGTAAGAACCTAGTGGTTTAAGAACCCTCAGACAGAAATTTGCCATTTAAATACCCAAAAATATAAGAACCTGTTTAGTAAAACAAGATCGCACAGGTTCTTATGTCTGAATTACAGTTAAATTGTGATAAACATTTTGACCAATTCAAGGAGTTTGACCTTGAGATTTTAAAATTTTTACTACCAGAAAAATAATATTGTATCAATTTAGCATGTATTATACAAATATAAGTACTCCATTTTACAACAAAAATAGATCTAAATAAAGTAAAGACTCTTTCATTAAAAAAGATGTTTGCAATGTACAGTTGTGATTAATTCCAAACACAAGTTTATGCATTTTTCTTAACTTAACCCTAACCCTGCCAATAATTGTAGGTTCTTACACACAGGTATTTACTGTATCTGTTAAATGAAAGATGAGATCATTGGTATGGCTCTTCGACTAGCTTCCAACACTTAATCTACACCTTTGTATACTGAGAATGATTTGTTTATTTGATAGCTGTCACCAAAGAAAACATGGGAAGGTTTCATTGGTGGAGGAGTTGCAACAGTCATCTATGGCTGGTTGGTAAGTGTGATTTGATACTTAATAGGGTTCCCTAGTGTTACATTGAAACCACAAATTCTCTTAGGCTAGCATGATTTTGTTGTAGTGTTAGCACTTTAATTTTATTTAAAAAAATGGTAACCCTCTGTGTTGACATTGTGCAGTAATATTTCGTGGTTGCTAAGTAACACTAAGGACATGTGCAGTTGGACTTTTTAACACTTAAACATGTGCTCTTGCCAAATGACTGTCTTTGTACATCAAGTTTGATTGTTCGTAAATAAATCCTATTGAGATTTCAAGACACCTTCCTTTATCCTTGATAGATTCTGGTTTAGTGAAGACTATTTGAATTTTTATTGAAACAATTGAAAAAAAATTATCCTTATCATTTATGGTCTATAAAAATGTAGACATTGATTAAATACTTCTTGTTACTAACATTGTCTGTGATGCAGGCCAGATTAATTTCTGTATTTTGAAATTTTAGTTCTAAATTTCCTCACGGTCCGTTGTCTGCTGTCTTATTTATTGTTGTTTGCAGGTATCTCATTTCATGTGCCAGTACCAGTACTTTATCTGCCCTCTTGAGGTGAGGTCATGATCGTTTGTCCACTTTACATGTGTAAATAAATTTGATTGACTGGCATTTTTTTAAAATGTACACAAAAGACTATGCATCATTTACCATCAACTTCTAAACTGAACTCTGTCAACCCATACTTGCCACTAACTCAAACTAATTACTCGGGACGATGTAATCAGCCAGCATCATAAATTTTGGTTGATCTTTATCATGAGAGTCACAAATTGCTTTTGTTTTTTTTTAACTTTTCCGTATCCCGTGGCAATTCTGAAAAATTGTGCGATTATTTTTGCAACTTCAAATCACCTGCAAGTCAGGTTGAACACAAACAGACAAAAGCTCTGCTTAGAAAGGTAAAGTACAAATTGATGGAAGGGGAAGCCGGCGTGTGTGATTTTGACTGGATAATTGGGTCAAGTTACTTCATTTTGAAGTTGTGTGTTTATAAGCCGTGAATAGCTGCACAGAATGTGATTTTTAGCCTGTGTTTAGTTTTCCACAGAGCCAATGAGTGCGCAGTTGTCGAACAATAGGTTCACAATAACAAATTGAACTAACGAGTCCATGATAATATTTATAATAATATTTATAATCAAACCAGTGAGCTCACTTGTAGACTTATCGAAGGAAGACTTGTTTCATTGCAAAAAACTATTTAAATATGAAATAAATATTGAAGCAATTTTCACAGCATAACAACCATTCCCTTAAATTCACAAACTGATTTCAGTGCAATCATGCAATATAGAATTGGTGGACTGCGGACTTGATGTAAAATGCGAACTATGGACCATGTTGTAAAAAACCAGGCTTAATAAATTTGTGCATAAGGTAGAAATAACATTAAAATATCTCTGAAAAGCACAACATGCAGGTTCAATTTTTGCATGAATGCCCCTCTATACCTTCCATTAAGGCATTGAAATCAGTGCAGTTGTGGCAAGTCTATCTCTATGACTTGATTACAGAGTAAAAACTCCTAGAATTATTTTCATCTTAACTCGTCAAACAATATTATCTTAATATTCCTGTTATCTGTGTTCGTTAAATAAGGGCTGGTTTAAAGCATCAACCTGTATCGCCAGTATACAACTCAACTTGCTGATTCAGTGCTTCTTAGTTTCATATCTTTTATTGACTGAAAGCAGTAAATTGAATTCTATAGTCTTTTTTATCAAAATTCATTCTGAATTTCAATTTCATTGTTTTCATTTTTTGTGAACTTACATAATTTTGCCATTTTTAAGAACTGCTCAAACTTTATTGACCATTATGAGTTTTTTTTCAAAAATTATTTGAGATGTGCTTGTAGTTAGAAAACTTTGGTATAAAGACAGATGTGAATATTACGGTAGTTCGGTAACCTGTTCAGCTCATTAAGGACAACATCGCACTTCATTTGCATCCATATCTGCAAATCTCAACCCATGTACCCAACTGTCCAATTCCATTCAAATAGTCCTTAGGTACACCAGCACATCCTGCATAAGCACCTTCACATGTACTTTCCCTCTGGCTTAATACATGTATCGTTGTTGAGTTTTACTGAGATATACAGACCTTAAAATTGCACACGCTATGACAAAAAAGGCTGAGTTTATCGCTAATTAATTAGCTGACATAAATGAATTTTGCTTGAAGGTTATTAAAATAATTTTACTGAAACTGCAGCAGGATTATTATAATTAAAAGAGGGGAAGTCCTTTTCACACTTCTCACTTGTCTAAAAAGTTATAAGAAAGCATGTTCCTTGATAATGTTTTTCATGTGCTTGTTGAGCTTTTTTGAGGTTAAAAGTGAACTTGAGTAATTCCATCACTTGATTGCAATCTTTTTTCAAAAACTGCTACTTTAATGTTTAAATTTTTATTGATGTCCCTCAAAAACTGCTCACAATCTTTCATGTTTTCAGTTCAGTGGCTCAATAACAGACTTCAAGACCAGTTGTGAACCCTCGTCACTGTACAGACTCACTGCCTTCAATATCCCAGCACCAGTCAAGTATCTTCTGGGATTTGTAAGTACTTTTAAAATAATGTTACAATGTTTCTGACTTAAGTTATTCAGGCTACAAAACATGTAATACTGGTAATTTGGATTTGTAAGTACTTTTAAAATAATGTTACAATGTTTCTGACTCAAGTTATTCAGGCTGCAAAACATGTAATACTGGTAATTTGGATTTGTAAGTACTTTTAAAATAATGTTACAATGTTTCTGACTCAAGTTATTCAGGCTGCTAAACATGTAATACTGGTAATCTTCAACTTTGTTGCCATTATTTTAGGACTTTCAGTAGTTCACAATGAGAAGACTTGCTGCTAGAACCTTATGGGTGGTGCAAATCTTTTTAGCATGCATGAGTTGTTAAATCTGAAGAAAACTCGCACTTAATGGAACTGCACTGCCTATAGTTACTTTACTGTTACCATGACAACATTATTTTGAATTACCAGGCATTTCAATAAAAATTAAAGTAGCCAGCAGGTTTAAATAGAGTAACCAACAGTATCAACAAGGGGCTGATAGTCTACTTTTTCAAGGGGTGTCTGGGGGCTAGTCTGCTACACAGCCATTTTTAATGTCGTCATTCACGCTCCTCCCCACAAACCGCTGCTGAGAATCGAACCACATTCCTTTAGATCATTGCCAGAGGTAAAAAACGTGATAAGGACATGGCGTGTCATTTCAATCATTGCCAAAATTAAACTGCATGCTCATCACAAAACTCATTTGCTGAAGTTTTGCTAATAAAGATAATTCTTCTTTTTTTCTTTTTGAGCACTGAAGTGTTCACTTGTTCCAAAGTAATCAACGCTTTCAAGCGATAGAATTCGTGGACTGACCCGTTGCGGAAAAGCTCTAAATTTAATCTTTCCTAGGCTTTGTTAGCACAACGTGCTTGGCTTTGGTCACACAACGTTTCTTATTGCCAGTTTCCACGGTCTCCGCTAGGAACGCCTGGGAGCATGACCCCCCTTTTTTGTCCTAAATACGAAGAAAAACAACTTGCAGATTATGAATCACGCTGCTTACGCAAGGCAGACTAAAGAGCAATTTAGGTCTCTTTTCATGATCTTTTTTTGTCATCTCAGATAAATTTAACACTTTTTGTAAGTTAAGGTACTTGTAAGGTTGATGAATCTCTTTAGGGCTGATCCCTCAGGTGCTAACTACTTTAGGTAATTTTAAATTTTTAAAGAAGTAAATTTTTGTCTCTTAACTGAGCATGCTCATGTGTTATTGAAATTGATTGTAGGGTGGTTTGTCACAAGATGATGTCTGGCTCTACCCCATGCAGTTCCATTCTATTGCACTCTCGTTATTCTGCTCATTGATTGCTCCATTTGGAGGATTTTTTGCCAGTGGATTCAAGAGAGCATTTAAAGTGAAGGTAAAACAATCAAGCCACTCTGGAATAATAATAATAATTGGATGTCTTGTGCATGCAAAGCAGCTTTAAATTTAAAATGTTCCAAAGAACAGGTAGTTTTTAAGTTAGCAATTAATATCAATTAATTACTATTTTCCTTGGTAAAAATTTGCTCTGCTCTGTCATGTGCTGTGTAACCCTTTAACTCTTGGAGGTAATGATGGGGTTATAAGATCTAGCTATATTCTTTGTGGGTAGAGTTTTATAGTAAGAGTAATCATTTGTAGGTGAAACCTGTGTAACAGTATTTTCCCATAGTTACTGCACAGTATACACGAGTGAGGCACATATTATCCCACTGGATCCTATCATGCTTTCCATAATTATTATTGTGAAGTAACTGGGGGAGTTGCTTCAGTCTGCGTCCTGCAAGGGATGCTTGTCTACCACTGTCTTACCCTCTTTAGTCATAGCAGGGCTGTCAATGAGGGCCGGTAGCGAGCCAAAACCACTGGTTAGTTAGCCATTCTTAGCCAGCTACTTTCATCTCCTACTATAATATTGCGATGAAAAAATAAGCACCGTCGAATAAAATTGTAAAGCATCCGTTTCCCAGTTTTGAATGACATTGAACACATATTTAAACAGGTTTAGATCGATGTGAAACGTTTGAACTGTGCAATGTTCTGGAACACCTGGGACATTTCGACGGCATTGTTCCCAGTCTTGCATGTATTCTGACGAAACAGCATGACGTCCACAGTAGAAAATACCTCCTGAAAACCGCTGGAAAAACCATTTCAAGACTCAAAATTTCACTATGTCCCTTGATGCCTTGACCCTCAAGAACTTGTGCCTTTGGTGCGAGTTCCAAGGCCACCTACTACTCATTATCAGCCTGCTTCTTAAAACTTTTTGACAGCCCTGCATAGCATGTACACATTATACTCTGGTGATGAGAAACAAAGCATCTTGTCTATTAAGGTTTGAAGGCCTGCAAGGCCTACAGCTGTACATGTTAACCACCAACCCCTCCTCTGCATCTTTCTATGGTAACATTTTGTTTTTTTATTAGTTGACCAACAAATTTCTGATTATTTCCTTGTTTTGATCAAAAAGTTAAATGCTAAAAGATTTTTAAAATACATTTAAAAGACATTTAAAAAAGTGAACAAATGTTTTTAAAATGTGAACGAATGTTTTTTAAATGTTTTTTAAATGTATTTTAAACATCTTTTAGCGTTTAACTTTTTGATCAAATCATTTTAAAAATCTCTCCTATTTCCTTGTTAGAATGGTTTAGAAGCCTCACTCAGTCATACATTACTTACTTTTTGTCAGGATTTTGGAGACACTATTCCTGGTCATGGAGGACTAGTGGACAGGTTCGATTGTCAGTTCCTTATGGCAACGTTTGTGTATGTCTATCACTCCACATTCATAAGGTATGTATTAAGTTATTAATAATATATTTACATATGTACCTCCTTCTTTAAAAAGATAATTTAATAATTATTATATTGATTAAATAATATCCAGCTAATTACTTTTTTCCTACTATTACGCATCAGGGCACCTCAACCTCACAAAGTATTACAGCAAGTTTTATCACTGCTACCAGAACAACAGTTGAAAGTCTACACGGAGCTTCGGTCCAACCTGATAAGAAGAGGAATGCTGTGACCTTTATAACATTCACTTAACTACTAACAAACCTGCCAAAAAACACCTATGTCCTGTACAATTATCATGTGGTCTCCTATTTTAACTTAGATTTGACATAGGCTAAAAAAAATGGATTCCAGCTCTTGATGAATCATGTCTACTTGTTGCAAATGACCAAAAAGGACTCTTCTCAAGTCCTTAAAAGATAATATGTTGTATAAAACATAATAATTATAATTGTTTTACTTAATGAACATACATGTATAACTTGGTCAGCAAAGAAGCACATTTCTTGCTCTTCATTACTTCAAACCTTTTCAAGAGGGCAATTGGCTATTATGTCCACACTTGGTATTAAATCACTAGTGCGCAGGTACCAGTACAAATGGTGTTGTGTTCAGACACACCTCTTTGTACCAGATTCATGTATCTAACTTCAAAGGAGGATTCAGTTCTATGCCTGTTGCATTACTTTTTGCTTCTTGGGGCTGCAAAATGACCACTCAGGTATCATAAAATATCTAGGGAAAACATTGTGAGAAATTTTGTATTGAAGAACTATTTATCACCAATATTGCACTGAAGGGTGCCATATTTCATCTATGAATGATAAGTGAGTTGAAGTTCATCAAGTTTGCTTTTAGCTGAAGACATGATCGATTCATTAGCTGGCATGCACTCTATTTACCTGTCGAGAAATGAGACAGTGGAAATCATTCGAGTCCCCGACTAGAATTAATTAACTACTGTTTTCTTAGGGCATTCACCAGAAGTCAGAAGTGTCTGGCCATAGCAGCTATTTTGAAAAAAATAGTTTTCACTAAAAATTCACCACTTTCATGCATACTATTATTTTAAAAGTAGACTGATCTAGCTGTATAACTCTGATTACCGGTAATAGTGAAATTCTCATTAAGATTGGACTGGTCTGGCCAGCCAGTCTTGAGTAGTGGTGAGTGCTTTGAAACATTTGTGTAGGAGTTGAGCCTGGTTGAGGTTCTTGGTGCTACCTGATTATAATGATTGGATATTAATATCAGTACAGTAGCAAATTCCCGCAGCAAATTTGGCCAATTCAGCTCATGTATCTGATTAGAAGATGCTGTATTGTCGGACCTTAATGAGTGGTAAAAATAACAGCAGCAGCAGTCAATTTAGGGCGGCCTTGTCATATCAGAAATGATATATTTAAGAGACTTGGATGTACGATTCTGAGTGTCTTTACAGCACATCAAAATGTATAACTTGGTGAATTTCTCAACTGATAATATACATTTTGTACTTAAGTAAACAGACTTTTATTACCATCACCTACCATGTACTGAGAGCCCAGGGGAGGTAATCCGAATTTCATATGACGGAGATGACTGAAATACATTTTTTTGTTTGAAATTTTTGTTTCCAGGATTTTTTAAGGTCGGAAAATTTGGCAAGTATTTTTTTGGGCATCTTGATTAAGTAGGGATTTTTGGGGGTATTTTTCATGTTATATCAGTTTTCTGGAAAATTTCGATGCTTGGAAATTCCATTTGGGATTTTTTGGGGGTTAATTTTTTGGTCAAGGGATTTTTTGAGGTTTTGATTTTTTCCACCGTTCGATCATCCCCGTCACTTGAAATCCGAAGTACTCCCCCTGGGACAGGGAGCACCCAGTGCAGGTATTGTGGTGGGATATTGTAAAAATAACTCTGCTTTAATATTACATCCAAAATTATATCTACAGTAGTCAAGCCTATATTGTTTTTCAGTTGTATTTTTGTTAGTTTTTATTCATGTGGGACCATGAAATGTTTTCAGCACCTACTTGGGAGTCATCCATTAAGGGATAGACCATTAGAAATGTTCTTTTTTGGGGGGGAGGGGGGTTAGGGGCATAGTGCACAATAATATATATTCATGCATGGGAAATTTAACTATTGAAATATGGCATTGTTTGTCATGTAACTAAAACAAAATACCACCTCTGCCAAAACGTTTCTAACGGTCCACACGAATCTGCTGGGGAGGCAAACATCTCTTTTATTTATTCTTAAAATAATATTATTCTCATGTCACTAATTAGTAATAATAATTAATTATTATTAGTTTTAGTGGGTATTATTTTATATTGGCCTTTAAATGTGATGTAATTAATATTCAGCAAGGTGACTGTGAATAAAAATCTATGTATACTCTGAGTGTTGATTGTTCCAATAAATATTTATTGTTGTGAGTTAGTTGTTGGTGGAGCTCTTGCATGCATGAATCGCACACAGTAGAGCACCATGGGTTATCATGTGACCATTTGTCCATCCACCTCCTACATGTAAGCCAATGTCTAATGTCACATTTACTACTTGAGGACATCCATATGGTGAACTGACAGATGTCGAAATCAGGCATCTGCTGACATATCACATGACCCTCTTGCGGGGCTATTTTGTACACACAGCAAGACAATGCAAAATGTCACGCTTACCAACAGAAATAGTGCATCTTGCCATTTACATGAGACTATTGTGGGCTCATTTTTCTACCCATCATCCAGATGAGCGTAGTCCTGAATAGGACTGTGACTGTAACATGGGACACAAACACATTGCTGGAGTGCACAAGATGCAGTAAGGCAAGAAATGCAACACAAACACACCATTAAAACATTTAATTTCCTCTCAAGACTCTACTGCATTGTTTGCTCTCCAGTGAGGTGTTTTTGTATCATGTGACTTTTTAGCTGCAAAGGACCCAGTTTTCCCCTCTTAATGGGAAAAACTCAGGGTATTAAGGGAAAACCCAAGGAATATTACATTAAGCCAGTATTTTTCCCCTGGTTGACGCAGAGTTTCTAGGGCAGAGGGGTACAGACAGGAATTTCAATGATGAAGAAATACCACAATGTAGTTTATCAATTTTCATATTCTAAGTCCTGTAAAAAGTGCACACTATAGATGAAAAATGTGACAATTCAGGGCCGCTCAACTTTTATACAAAATGCCATGTCAGTGTAAATGGGTCCTTTTGCGGCTAGTCATTCACAAGTTGGAATTATGAAAAGATGGGATTATGAATATCTTATACCTATATTGGAATGGCCGAATAAAGAAATAAATGCAAAGGTTACAGCAGTTATAGACACAACTGACACACTTCCATAAAGAAGAGTTTTTATCATGTTTTAAAAGGTGAAAAATGTTAAGCCAACCAAAAACACCGTTGATGGTCAAAATAGCTATCCTTGTACCAGAACATGCCTTTAAAAATGTTAAGTTTATAAGAGATTTTCCCTATTGCCATGAACCAAAGGATATTCAGCAGGTGTCACCAAACCCAAGCATGGTATGCACATCCCCTAGCAGGTCATTAAAAAATGACAACACTTTTAACAGACGCTTTTTATTCCATTTCAGTTAAATATGCACTTAAATTTGGCTGTTTGAATATACTATTGTTATTTTAAGAAAGAAATCTTCAGAAGGTGTTAAACACAGAAAATACCATAGTGCAATCCAAAAATCTTGCTAACACGTCTCTTTTTTATGTACATTTTGATGGCAGTAAAAGGTTAATTCCACGATAAAGAAAGTTAACACTTAAATCTATAATCAATTAATCTTCATTTGTCATGGGCTCATCTTCGTCAATCTTTGGAGCAAGATAGTATCTAAAAAAGAGAAAAAGTTTGTATAATGCACTGCAATGTTAAACCAAAGCAAACACTCATTCCATTTATGAGGACACCAAAAGAACAGAGACATCAGAGTCAAGCTGTGACTTTTTGTTATTTTCACGACCAATATTTTTTACTTATCTTTACTTTCCACTCATATCTTTCTTATACTAATGTAAGATTGCAAAACATATCTAGTAGGTCAAAGACCTCTGCAAGCTTGCTACAGATTTTCTTAGATTTCCCTTTTATCATGTCTGCATTATTAACTTGTTGATACCCACACCAATAATTGATGTCAATCAGTTTCAGATATTCCTGGGTTAGTTTGCTTTTGCTTCACAAAACTCTCAGAAAATCCCCAGTCTGGGATCTTTTGTTCTTGATACCAAAGCAAGCTTGTGAATGTGATTTACCGTGAAATTATGCTCGAGTATCATAAGCATTAAAAACGTCAGCTTACTTGAGGTTGCCCATTTCTCCAATGCGGTAGTCAAGAACAAGAGGAACATCATCCTTCAGTGACATGGTTACAGTGCTTGACAGGGGAGATGCCTAGGGAAATGTAAGGGAAAATCTGTCAAATTATTTAATACATGTACAACACAACTATAAATTTAACTCCTATAGCCTTACAAATTCTAATAAGCTTGCTGTTCTTTTGCCAAAAACCAATTACTATAAAAACAGCTTCTGCTACAGCGGGACTGTTCTGTGTAACAGTTAACCCTCTGATAAAAGACAAGCAAAAATTTTTGACTTGCTTTGGACAACTGTTAACTTCTAACTCAAACACAGCATTTATGAAAAACAGGCTTTAATTTAATTTTTTCAACATAACTTTATTGTTAGTGCTTTGTTTGTATTCAATATATATTGTAACATTTTCAGTATTTTAAAAGTATATATGTAATGTTGTGGTTCAATTTCATCCTTGGTTTAAATTATATTTTCCTTTGTTTTGGGCTATGGTAATGTATAATGAGTTTGAAACAAAAGAAAATAAAATTTAAAGCAATAATAAAATTGAACTACAACATACGTATTTAGCTACATTTGCATGTTAGCTTGAAGTTTACCCCTGTATAAATACGTGATGATGATGGTGATGATGATAATAATGATGATTTAAATAAAAAATTAATGTGAGCATGCAACATGTTACACAGAGCTCCAAGCAGCAACAGTTTTGGTTTTATTGTGAGAAGGAAATACCATGGCAAGCAAAACAACTGCCACAAGAGTTCCAAATTTGCTGATATGTGCCTTAGGCAGTGATGTGTTTAGCAGACAAAGAAGTCTAACTGTCTTAGATTTTTGCAATAAATTTTTATGCTGGGCATCCCTATGGATTTTCTTAAGATCACAGTCTTGTCAACTACAGTATTTTTTGGCTGTCTACAAGAGTTATATGCTTAAGAAATAAGGTGCTCGAAGTACTATGAGTATAATTTGGCAGGTTGGATGCTGTACATACCTTTGTGAAAAAGTTTAGATATCTGAGGGCAAATGTAAGTTCCACTGGTTCATTTAGTTCAATTGAAACCTGCAATTGTGGGTTTAAGCACATGTCAATATTTTTCTCAATAAATGCTGGGTTTGTTCATTTCACCACCCTCCCACCCCATCCTTCTGGGAATCTAGGTATAGGGGTCACACTTTCATATCAAAAAAGGTAAATTATGGAAGATGCAAAAGAAGTTGTATGTGTTGATTTTAACACAAACATTTTTTTTAAACACATTTTCTTGGGCTGATATAATATATCCTCATCTTACAGGTATGTTGTTAGCCATGACCACAACATGAATGGTACTATATATAACTACAGTAGTGATTGCAAATTAATGAGTGCATTTGAAATTAGAGTTTGTTTTGGTTAAATGTGTTTGTTTCGTGATGAACTCAAACACAATGAAATTAATACATGTTCTACCATAGAGGGAATGTTCAAATGGTAAAAGCCCAATAGATAAAGCCACCTACATAAACCTTATATGTGCATATGTGGACAGACAGACAGACAAACTCTACTTTAACACAATGATATTAAATGTTATGCAGCTTATGGGGTCATCCATATAAAACTAAACCTAAGAATGAAATATATACATAATAACATAACACAAAATCGGACTATCTAAAAGCTAATTGTTAAAAACTCTGACTAAACTATATATGGAAACTTTCTTGTGGCCACTTAACTGTTGCATGACACAACAGTCTTTTAAAAATTCAAGATGGCAGTTATGAAAAGTTGCAAGCACAATGAAAAGATCAGCACTTAGTAGCACAGGACCCCCAAGAATATGAACTGCACTTGAAATTTACATTATTACTAGTATCCTACCTGCTCTTCTTCCTTGTCAACACTTGCACTTTGTTTAAGGAGAATGTTTCCCTCTCCTAGATCACCAGAAGCCGAAAACTTTACACCCTCTTTTGTGCAGTTAATTTTTACAGAGTCACCAATCTGTGTCAGGTCACGACATATTCTCTGGAACTCAGAGGAAGGCATGTGAACAACAGCATCATACTCTTGGTCCTATCATCCACAAAAAAAAAATTATTAAAGCTAATGACTTCAAAAAGTGAAAACAAGTTAGTTTTGACCCTCCTTATACCTTTTCAAGCTAAACTCTCAGAATAAGTTCAAGCCCCAGTTTCCATACACAAATTCTCCAGAATTGGGCTGGCCCCTGGCACTTAACTTTTGCTCTTAGATGACTAGGAAATCATAGTTTTTCACAGAAATCATATGGTCACAGGTTTAGAGCAATGGGCTCCCTTACATTTTTCTTAGATTACACACGACAGCCTTGAGGCTGATCTCCATACATTTCCTTTAACAATTAGCTAAGAAAATTTGACAAAAGATCAAAGCATTATTTTTGCCTTCGGTGATCATTTTACTAATTCTCATAACCTTTCTGTTGACGATGTTAGGAGAAAAGAGATTTTGGCCCCCACTCTGAGGACTTAAAGAGTTAACCTAAAAAATTTGTCGGTAAATGGAACATTTAAGGAATCTTTATGACCTACCGGGATTCCTAAATGTTCACTATCAATGTCCATAAGTTTTATACTGTAATCACATACTCTTTCTTGGTCTGAAATAAAGATATGAATAAACATAAATGTAAGAATAAAAATGTACACAGATAATTTTAGGTCAAGATGGGGATTTTGCCAGGCTATTAGAAATTGAAAGCACTAGTTACCTTGGCAAAAACAGTTTCTAATATATAAATATTAGCAAAGGTGAAGCTCCCGTTAGAAAGTGTGGCATTTCACATTGGTTCCTCTGTAATGCAGACAATCACATGACTACCAAAATTTCTGCAATGGGTAGATAAACAAATTTTCTTGGCTATGGGGCTCTGCTGACACATGCTTAAAGCACATATGGAGCTTCACCATCATCAAAAGACCATAAAAATTCTTGACTGTGATGGAAAGTCCATGACATACAATTATTCAATACTGGGCATTGCTTCTCATATACATTGCCCAAATAAAGCAAAATGTGCTATGAAATTTGCTAAAAATCACAAAGCTTAATTCCAACAAGAAAATACAGTTTTCATAAAAAATATTGCCTATCTGCCAAATTAAAACTCTGAGCAAATTTAATGCCATATGGTAGTAATTTTGGACAACAAAATTGACAGTGTCAACATAAATAGTAATTAATTGAAATAAATTACTTACTTCGACTTTCAAAGACAAATGAAACTGTATCGCTTGAGTCTTCAGCTTTAATAGTAATGCTATCATCATTGCTTGCACACTTAAGAACTTTTGAGAGTGTAGGAGTATCCATGCCAAGGGTGATGTTTCTGTCGCACCTGTATGGCTGCTCAAATCCATCGTGACTCAATGACAGAGACACCAGGCTGACGTGACTACTGTCCATGGCTTGTACAGATATGCCAGTATCAGAACAGTCCCAGTTTGCATGGGGAACCAGGTCTTTAATGGCTTCAAGGATCTTTTTGAGTACACTGCCTTGAGCAAGTCTTGCTTCAAACATTTTGACAAATGAAGTTGAGATGAATGTATTGATGAATAAAAGCAGTCTGATCTGACAAGAAGGTCAAAATTTTCTGAGTTAGTGCACTCTTAAACTCCACTACAAGAAAGAGCCTACTGTCCCCTGGTGGATACTCTCAAATTACTTTATTCCTGCTGCCTACTTCCATTTTTATTGAAACCCCTGATAAACCATTTTTGAAATTTGGGTTTTTCCATATGCAAATCACTCTGGTGTCCCAGGCATCAGACTCGCATATTCCCGAGGAGCAGGAGTTATTTTTCAGATGTTAAGTGCAACTTTGTTGCCTTGCTTGTAATTAGCCAATTGGTTGCTCCTTGCCAAAAGGAATTTACAAATTCATTTCTGTTGCCACAACATTTAGAAAATAATTTATAAAACTTAATGATAGATTCACCAATTACTTCATGGCATAAGTTCATCGAACTCTTCAGTATTAGATTGGAATGAATGGAAGACTTGAAATTCGATCGAGCATGCAGCTAATTCTAATCAATATAAATCTAACTATATATATAATTTGATGGGAAACACAAAAATTTTCTATCAACAAGAAACCGAGACCTGCTCGTTTTTTACTGCTGTGAGCCGAAAAAACGGAAAGCTAAAGCTTTCAAAGAGTCAAGATATAAGCTAAACGCTCGAGGCTCGTCGGAGGACAACAAGATCGATAAACTCAAAATGGCGGGAAAGCAATACATGGTTCCCGCGTTCAACGATCAGTGTGGATCAGAGATAATACGGAGCATTAAATGTCCGTAATTTGCTCTGTAGTACAACTCTGCTATGAGCATGAATGATCCGATGTACACAACCGCAACAAACGTAGACTAAGATTAACCTAAATATCGCATTGGACGAATCGAGTCGATCAAGTAAGAGAATTATTTCAGCGTGTCTCCCATAAATTCCCTATAATTGGTATGATTTCGTTGTAACCTGTCTTTACTACTTGTCAAAAGAACTAAGAAATGAAATTTAAAGTAATCGACCGGCGAAATAACACGCAAAACTACGACATTTCTTCGTTTAAAAATCAACTATTAAGATGGCCGCCTAGAGTCGAAGAGCGAACTTCACAATCGACATCGACTCCTCAAAATCGCGTCAAATGTCTCAATATTACAGGATCTTCTCCTTTACAAATACCTGATTGACTGTGTAGCGAGACATTTTGAGTAACTTTCCACAATTTTTCCTTTCTAAAGCAGCACACAAACTAACAACTGTACATACCTCTCGTCCCGGCGATGGCGAAGCAACTTATGAATTACGCGCCAAGATTTCAAGCAGGAAAAGTGCGGGAAATTCAATTAGGGGTGTCTGATTGGTTTGTGCTTAGCACGTGATCCATCACGAGAACATTTTTAGCGGGAAGCTGGGAAGACACATGGAGCCATGAATGCTGGGAAATCTTTCCTCACCGGGCAAGTTTAAACAAGCTCAAGTCTCTGATAAAGACCCACGGCAGGTGTGATTATTTGAATAGAACGCGGAACGAGACGTTCGAAAGAACTTTGTGTGCGAAATTATATACTGATGTTTTTTGGCGTGTTTTCATCGCTTACAGCTTAGCCCGCGTAGCAAGCGTTTCCTTGTGCTTTCGGAGCAAAGGAAGACAGCGCGAAAAATGTGGCGAGTAAAAGAGGGGGGAGGGGGAGGGCTCTCGTTCCTTAAAGTACAAACATTAACCACAAGGGACTGCAAAGGACCGCAAACGAATATGTATGTGTAATCAAATGGTGACGAGTGAAATTAGGGAATAATTTCACTTGCGTTTTGTCCAAATCCTTATAATTTCCCTAACCTAAAGGCTCGGGAAATTAGTAGGCTTTGGACAAAACGCAAGTGAAATTATTCCCTAATTTCACGAGTGTACCATTTGATTACCTATTAATATTATGGGTGACGAATTACGTTAGCAATCGAGGATTTTTGACTTATTTATGCTGGATCGTATCGATCGATCGTGACTCCACTCTCTCAAACGTTTAGAGCTGAAATTTGGCTTAAGTTTTCAGAATTTTTCGACAACATACCTCTAAGAATCCTTCTTGATGTGCTCTTTCGTGTGTTCAGGTTTTCTAAAGCGTCTTTTTATGCCCTGACATCTTCATTCATGACATTTTAAAACTTCGTCGCCATCTTGACACTGAGACGTACGGCAGGTTCCCATGGCAATTTAGTAATTTCACATGTGAAATTAAATTAACGATGAAATTTCGCGCCAAAATTAAGGAGTAATTCGTCACCTATGATATTAGAATATGAATATTTCGCGCTGCCATCCCGTTCCTCGGTCTTTCTGAAACTGCACGGAAACTCTTACTACGCAGGCTACGCTTAGCTTTGTTACGTAATCACTGTTACTTTTCGCGTTCATTATTGCTGTATTACAGTGAGTTTGGGTGTCCTGTGAACTCAGTCATGTAAAACCTCCAGTTTGGCTTTCGCATGGCTTGTCAACCACAAACGAAAAGGACCCCCCCAAAAAAACACTTGTCACATAGGCTACGAAATCAGCGCTGCTAATATTAACTATCAAAAAATGTTAGCGCGGGGATCATCCTTTATCACTACACATAATCTTTCAGTTTCAGTTTAGTTATGGCCAGAACAGGGGCCCAGAAAGCGAAATATCACTCATTTAAAACATTGCACACATGAAAAAAAAGTTGACGTAAATTATCCTATTCTTCTGGCGAGGAAGCTCAAATTGAGAAATCATGTTGTCCTCCAGACTTTTCTCTTGTTACTAATGTGGTGATAGATTATATTGACAAATTCTTTCTTCCTTTCATCGGGGATCGTTTCCTTTATTTCTTCTGAAGGTTCTTCTGTAGTTTCTTTGATAAGAAAGTAAAGTTAATTGTGTTAATAGAGACCTTTAGATTCTAAAACAAGTACGACTACGAGTACGAGATTTCTCAATGCTAAGTGGTGTACGCGCGTGAGCCAGCGTCATTTTGGCGGGAAAAAGTGGTAGCCGTCATCACTCCACTACGAGTTTTAGCGAGAATGTCGAAGTGGCGGAAACAAGTTATCAAATGCAAGAAGTTTTATCATTTTGCGTTCAGTAGAGGATGTAACCTCCTTCACTAAAGGTAACAGTGCCGACCTTTCTGGTGAAAAAATGGTAAAATGAAGCTTTCCGGGGAGTCTATTTTTTGAGAATACGCGAAAAAGCGTAAAGTCAAATCTCGTTCTCGTTCGCCCCATGTAAGGGAATCCGGATTCCGGAATCCAGGAATTTTTTGCTCGTGGAATCCGGAATCCTGGGCTTTGGAATCCGGAATCCAGCACCAAGAATCCGGAATCCTACTAAAGATTGGAATCCGGAATCCAACTTACTAAAGATCCACTCCAGATTAAATTGAGCTACTCGCTCGTAAGAAAAACCATCCGTGGGGGAGAAATGAATGCAGGGGAAATGAATATGTTATTTACATATTTACATATTTATTGTTTACATGAAGCTATGTTATCATTCTTAGACAATTATGTGACACAGCCAACTTTAATTTAGTCACTTTAGGGCCGCGCTGACCGGGACACCACTTTTGTCAGCTTGAAGTCCAATTTAATCTTCTGTAGTGCTCTTTTTGATTGTCAGTCTTTCACTGAGTATATATGCTTATCCCGTCCTAGGAGAAGTGTATGTTTTTGTATTAGGCTAAAATTCGTGTCTTACGAGCCATACGAGAAAGTGTGAAAGCAATTCAGTTAAGAAGTGATATCTAATGCGCGTGTTCTACAGCTTACTGTGTCTCTATAAATGAAAGTTTTACAAAAGAGCGGTAAACGAATTTAGTTTTTTGCGCTATGACAATGATTCCAATAAAAAGTAGAAAAAGAACGAAAAACAATGTCCTAAAACATGTTAAGAACCGAGCTTTTCTTCGTCATAGTTTGAAGGTGATTAGCAATTGGCGGCTTTTAACGTTTTGTTCAGTTCTATATTACTACTTCGAAATACTGTTTTAATGTTCCAAAAGAATTTGCAAACATGATTCGATGGAGCCTTTTCCAGGCGTTCGGACAGAACATAGTTAATTGAGTGGAATGGTTATGAAACCCGTCAGACTCCTTTGTTATATGTTTTTGTGGACCTGAAAGTGCACAACGTTTAAAAGAATTCCTATCATTTTGATTGTATTGACTAATAAAAACGTTGCGTTCATTATTCCGTAACAATTTGCCAACAGAAAACAAAGGATTGTGCACTTTCACGGTTCTTCCAACATAAACTGCAGCACTGTTGTTTTTATCATTGATGTTTGCCGCTTCTCATAACCAGTCTCCTCTAATAACTATGGACAGGACAAGGAAAACTACGAATGTAACGACATACAAACAAAATGAACCTTCTATTATATTATTGCAGGGGCACCCAACGAGAATATAGTTCAAAACCACATAAACATAGCATTGTTGAACGTACTTTAGTATTTAAGCGGCAGATAAAGCCTTATTTTTATCCCCTAAAAATTTTTCATCCGTTCGGATTTCCTAGCTGAAAGTATATTGATCCGAAAATTATAGGGATCAAAATTTACCTTTTCGAAAATTTCAGCCAGAAAAAAGGCTCCCGAAAATTCTAGGTGACCTTTCTAGGGTAAAAATCCGTTAAAAATGGGCAATTATACCATTTTTTTGAAGTTCGAAAATCCTAGGAGAGGTAGGCAAGCAAGAAATTTTTCAGAAAATGATCCGAAATTTTTAGACCTCAAATCGTCTTCCGAACAGATAATTTTCCGAAAATTGTCGTTGGGTGCCCCTGTTATTGGTGGATAGCAAGACTTGATTAACCTTCGCTGGTTTATGATATGGCACGGATAGGAAAAATTGATTTGGAGTTACACACGAACTTTGTTAGGCCGTTTTCTTGCAAACTGCAGCTCGATTTTCCCTGGCAATGACTGTACCTTTTCCCTATACTTTATTATGTAGCAATCAAATGAATAAACGTGAATATTTAGGAATGATTTGCAAGAGTTCTTTTGTTTCTGCTAATTAAGCATTTTTCTATCTGCATAACTGAAAATAGAGTAGTTCGAAAAAATAGAGTAAGTGAAAAATAGAGTCTTGAGGTCAGTCTCACTCTCTTAACTAATCGCTAAACCAGATCCGAGATCCCTAATCATATGGAGATTTGGACTACATTAATCGAAGGACAAAATTTATAATTGTGATGTCGGTGTTTCGCCACGTTTTTTTGCGGTGGTGCGATGTTTGTTATTTTTTTCCGCGGTGTTGCGGTGTGGACAGTCCACCAATGTCCCCCTCATTATTATACCTTAAACCCTTACGGAACAGTAATACATTTCTTCACGTAATTTATATTATAAATCGAAAAAGAAAACAAACTTGTTGTGCATTCTAATCAACATCTTTCAATATAGCAAGATTCGAACTCGAAAACGAAATGCGAAGAAGAGAATTAAAACAGAAAAAAATTTTGAATCCAGCCCTTTTTGGAATCCGGAATCCACTGAGCTGGAATCCGGAATCCAGTACTCGGAATCCGGAATCCACAGGGTGGAATCCAGAATCCAAGACTGTCATGGATTCCCTTACATGGGGCGATTGTCGTTGTCGTACTCGTCTTAGAATCTAAAGGTCTCTAATACCAGAAAGTCCTGCACTGTATTGGTAACTGCAGTGGCGGATCCAGACCTTCAGAAAAGGGAGGGGTCCGGTCATCCAGATCCTGAGATAGATGGTGGAGGGGGGGGGGGCGGTCTTCAAAAAAAATTTTCGGCTCTTAGGGCCTCAGTTTGGTCTAATAGGGAGCTTAAGCAACGACGACACGGACGGCAGCGAGAACGGCAAAAAAGCAATAGGTTTGATTAGCAAAACAACAACTTTGCACGTGCATCACGCTTTTTTTGTACATTTCTTTGCCGTCGTTGCCCGACTACAACGTGAAAGTGCCTGAATTCACGTTTTGTCGAGGACGGGAACACAAGACAACAACTTTCTTTTCTTTTCCTGAACTTTAATACAGTCCTTCAGAATTCAACTCCAAAAACATTTGCCAACATTTGATGAAGTAAACGAGATGGAATAAGCGCGATAAAGTTTGAAGCGGTGTGAATTCCCTTTTAAAGTGACGTTTTTGTAGCCGTCGCCGTCGTTGTTGCTTAAGCTCCCTAATATAAGAGGGGAGCGGACCCCCCAGCCCCTCCCCTGGATCCGCCACTAAGCTATACCCCTCATTAACGGAGGTATAGTTTCGGGGGGGCGGGGAGAGGGGTGAAGGGAACGACGGGGTGTTCATCCATTATTCCCGCTCGAAATTTTAGTTATTACATGCAGTAAAAAAATTATTCTTTACTTCGAAAAAATCTACTTTTTTTCGTTATGGCATTATTCCACCAAAAGGACATAATTCACTGATTATTCCAAGAACAAAACGATCATGAACTGCGGAAACTTCAAATTAGGATCTTCAAGCAATTGGCTCTTAACTACATGATACAAAATTTATCGATTACTTTTAAAACTATCCTTAGTATTTTTATTGCTTATTTAACAAGTCGCTCACAAAATCAGCTCGCACAGCATTAGATAAATAACGCTGACAATTTTTTTCCGAGGAATCAAGCCATTTGTCCATCAGTGACACGAATATACGCAGCATTCCTAAGGCAGCCTGTAGATCCCAATTTATAGTGTCTGTAGAAAATGTATTTAATGAAGATCGGACTTTCTCAACAAGGCTCTCCTCCTCCCAACAGCTGGAAACACGCTTTAGATGTTTTTCCTTGACGACAGCAACCACGCTTAACTCACCCTTGCACCGCCAAAATACAGGAGCACCTGAACTGCCACAATCTAGTGGAATATTTAAAGTAATCAAAGGATGCGGCCTTCCATGACGTTCGCCAGTTTCACCGGCAACGCATCCATTTAGAAACAGAGCGGTTTTACCTGTATGACTGACTGGATATCCAAGGGTAAAGACTGACATTCCTTGCAAAGGAGCTTCCGTAGACAACTGTAATGGAGAGATTCCAATTTCCTTTACATCCAGTTCTTCACATTTAAGTAATGCTAAGTCATTCTGTTCATCACATTTAACAACTTGACATTTCAACCCATTAATTCGTGCATTAGAAACACGAATTTCCATTTCGACCGCACTGTTCTCAGTGGCATCTGCGACAACGTGATATGCAGTAATGATTAATTTATTACGTATGATGAGGCCAGAACCATAATCAACCTCCTCATAATCACCCTCACTCCTATCTTCAGCAACAGGAATTTTGAAAGGGCACTTATCGTTGGGAATTTGGTCTAGATCGTTCGGAATCTCTCGCCCTCTTCCGTTCATGAACTCGCTAACAGCTTGGTGAAAAGTCCGAGGTTTTTTCTTTAAAACAGACACTTTGATAACAGCAAATACGGCTTCCCTTCCATCGTCACCAAGAATATCGCTGCTATCCATGAGGAAGTAAAGCAAAAGCACTCAGCAGCGTCTAATTTAGTCTCCCACCCAGAACCATATTTACCCCAAGCAGTCATTTTGCCGTGACCAATCACGTATCAGCAAATTGAGAGTGACGTAGGCCTAGCCGCAAAGCAGAGACAAAAGCGACTCGAGTTTTGCCTACGCTATTTTGTTCCTAGAATATAAATTAAAAATTGCTACGGCTGCCGAAAATTTAAAGATTTTTTTACGGGAAGACAGGCTCCTGCCACCCAGGCAGGCGTCAGTGGTTTTCGATACAGACGCTTGTAAACTGTGAAATGTTTTACCTCCCTAAAATTTGTGTTTTGACTAATGCTTTTATATTATTCCTAGTCTTCCTTAAATAAAAATAAAAATCGCCCTTTCCTTTTGAGAGAGGTTAACAAGAGAACTCCATACATAAAGAATTTAGCTAGTGCTCATCAAAACTGCGTTCCATGTCATTTTGCTAAATAAAACGTTTTGATGAGCATGTAAACGTTTTTATGGAAACTATATTTAACCACTAAGAAACAAATTTGGAGGTTTATTGATAGTCTTAAGCCACTGTCTAAGCTAAACGTTGTTTAAGTAACCAGCTCATAAAATCAATTTTTAAAAAAACCGTCCGCTCTAATAACCTAGTAGTGTGCCGATCATCGATTCAACTCTTTAAGCAATGAGATAATTGATTATAGAAATATTTAATCAATTACCATAGGAAAAGAATAAAATTTCTCGTTGGCAAATAAATACTTGTATGTTGTCTTTTTAATGGTGTCGTAATTAAAAAAGAAAGAAAACTTGATTACCCGGAAGCATAGAAAAAAATTCTGAGCTTAGTGGTTCTTCACAGTCGAAAGACTTTAAAAAATTTGTACCACATCTACTTTGATTGGCAGATAGGTGAAAAACAAATGGAATTTCTGTGGAAAGGTTTTTCCGACTACAATCAATGATCGGTCAGGTTCAAAGGTTGGCCAATCCAATTGTTTGGGATGAGTGACTATAAAATCTCAGCCAACTCCCAACACTACAATAACAAGTGAGAGACCAGGTCTTTATCTCCTGAGCTTCCCTTTGACTAAAAAAGATAGGCTTTTCAATCAGTCACCAGACAGTGTTTCAGTAGACAAGACAAGATGCACAGTCGGTTCTGAACTCTGAGGTGAGGTGGTTAGTTATTCAGCCTCTGACTCTTCTTTTCCATTTCATATGGTAACACAGGTCTTTCCTTTGCACTTCTGACTGACAATCAAGGATCTTGTCATCTGTGGAAATCTGTATTTGACTTTGATTTCTCAACAGCTACTATGAAGTCATTCATTTGAATTGGTCGCAGATGTGACTTGACACTTTCATCACCTAGTTTAACACCCCTGTAAAAAAGAGATAAATTTAGTAGGAAAAATACATTGAGTAATTTCTGAAACTAAACATCATTTTTTCATTCCTTTAAAAAAAGAGAGAAAGAAAAACTGCACTGAGGGAAAGTAATCTTGTTAGTGAGGGAGGACAGGGTGGTGGCAGCCCAATATAAAAGGGGGTGGGAGGGGTTGGTAAGAGGGGGGGGCAGGAGATGAGAGATTGAGAAGTGGGAGATGTAAGAGGGTGGGAAGTGGGGGAAATAGAGGGAAATTATGCAATCAAAAAACGACTAAAGCGAGGTAGCAATGAAAAACCTATGCCTTATATATGTTACAAATGGGTTAGAAAATCCTCTAAGACTGACATGTTTCCTTTGTCTATGTCTTAACAGACTGAACATCACAATGTTCTCTGTAACTATGGTACCTAGAGAATGTTAATTTGCAAATGGTTTCAGACTCTAATTGCGTCATTTAACACCATTTTAAAACAAGCTGCATGCATCGGTACTAAAAACCCTCTTCAAGGAGAAGAGAAGTACCCTCATTCTCCAGAGGATTCGTGGCAAAGCCTTGATAAAAAGTTCCTTTCAGTGAAACCTTTTTGTAAACTTCCCTGGTACAGAACTAGTAACTTTGGAAAGAAACTTCCCTTCTAGATCAGAACTTTTATACAATGAACATCAATAGAAGTGCCATGAAATAGCCTTACAGTGTAATTACAAGTCCCTTATTTCTGTTTCAAAATAGAACACAAAACACAACTTACGATGATTGAGAATTGTTTCTGGCTTTCATGAAGTCTCTTACACATGACATAGCTGCAACCCGACCTGAAAAACCAAACAAGGTGTGTTAAGAACAAAGTTACTGAATTGTTGCATTAATTTTTTTTTAAAAGCATGTATTCTAGTCTTTCTGTCAGACGAAGTTAACGTTTTTGTGGGGGGGGGTTCCATTGCTTCTCATCTTACTTTCTAGGGAAATTTTTCACCTCGGAAACTTGTTAGCCTTGTCAAAAAACTCTTTAAACGGCGATAATTATCACTAATTTTAATACTGTTAGTTAGGAGTTCATTGAAACACTGATGAAGTGCTTGTGGATGTACTTAAACTAAAACTCACATATCTCCTTCAAACCACTACCAGAGAATCCTTCAGTTATTGCTGCTAATTCATCAAAATCAACATCCTCTTCAACCTAAGAATGACAAGTTGCAAAAAACAAAGAAAAAGTGAACTTTAGAAAATACATGTAGTTTTTGACTGAGTTAAATCTGAGATATAAAGTATTCAATTTTTACTTTGATAGAGCTGTCCAAGTGAAATACAGTGAAACCTTCCGTAAGCAACCACCTAAAATGCAAAGATGTAGTGGTCGCTTACATTGAGTGGCCACTTACGAGAATTGATCCACAGGGTCAGGGGTCTTTTCTTAGGAAATGTTTGAATACGTCTTCATTTTGAAAGAGTTCATTGCATGCAATTTCTAAGTCACAATCTGGTAGTTTCATGTTGACACTAAAATTACTCTTTTTTTGCGTACTATGAGTAGCGTATGCAGGGGGCAAAAAAGGTCATTTTTACAGCTTGCCAGTCAGGCAAGCTGAAGCTAGCATTTACCAGCCCAAACATCATTTCAACTAGCCCCCCCCCCCCCCCCAAATTTTGTGATGAGCAGAATTGATTTCACACTTCTTCTGTAAGTTGAATCCCTCAAAATATTTCAATTGCCCGTCGGGCAAGTTAAGAACAGAATTCACCAGCCCGAAACCAAAATCCACCAGCCCCGGCCTATTGGACACTTCCTTCCTATCGCATACTTTCTTTGCATGCTGGTATGTAGTACAGTCAGTGAACATTAGAGTTAAAATGATAGGGCGAATGCTCTCTTACCAGGGTAAAAAATGGAAAATTGTACAAACCGTCATCCAAAAAAGTGCTGGAGGTCTCTTACAAGGGGTGGAGGATAACAAGAGTTTCTAACTGTAGTGATTTGACTTAGAAAATTTTATTAGTGTTTGGACTGGAGGTTTCTTATGGAAGGTGGTTGCTTTACAAGAGGTGGTCGCACATAGAGGTTCAACTGTATTACATTCATCAACACTACCATTAATACTGTCGAGTCAAGTAGTATTCTCTTTGATATATTAAGAGCCTTTGGTTAGAGAAAAGATGCCAAACTTAAGTCAGCAAGTTATTCAGACACCTTAAAGTGGCCTACATGTTGGACATTTCCATTGTACTTTTTATTAATTACCTTTTCCCCCTGGAGAATTATGTTCAAGATTTCTTTGCGTTGTTCTAAATTCTGATGAAAAAAAATTGTCAGTACATAAATATACCGGTACATCTGTTAAAAATTGATAGCTGTAGTTAATTGAATTCAGTTAATTTTACCCTAAAATGCAAAGGACTAGAATACAAGATTACACCAAAGCAAAGGAATTGGGTGAGGAAGCCCAAAAAGAAACTACATGTATAAAAGGAATGTTTAACTGTAACATGGTAAACTAACCGGTAATCCCACATGAAAAGTACTTGGCATTCTTCGGAGGATTGCTCTATCGACATCTTGAGGTCTGTTAGTGGCACCCATAACAATAACCTGACATGATGAATCAGTCATCAGACCTGTAAAACAATCAAACAGATTCACGCCATGGATTTAAATTATTTATTTACGACCTAAAAAACCAAAAACTCAGCCCACGTTATTATTACTGTTATTTATTATTAAACATCGATTTCTGTGTTACAAAACTTTGTTTTCTCCTACTTTGCAAAATTCCTTACACACAAAAAGATTTTTTGAACATGAAGAGTTGCAAAGAATGAATTGCACAAACCATTTTGATGTGCGCATATACAAATCAGTTTACATGCACGAAAGGATTGTGGCCCTAAAAAAAAACCAGGAAAGGGAAAGCGTTTTTATTAAATTAGTCCTTTTAAATTTTGATTGCTTTTAGGAAAACATTTTTTTTGTCAGTTAGTTCTATTATATTTAATTTGTTTCTATGTGATGTAATTTCACAATGTAATATCATAGGTGACGAATTACTCCTTAATTATTTTGGCACGAAATTTCAGCGGTAATTTGTAATTTCACACGTGAAATTACAAAATTGCCATGGCAACCTTCCGTACGTCTCAGTGTCAAGATGGTGATGAAGTTTTAAAATGTCATGAATGAAGATGCGAGAGCATAAAAAGACGCTTTAGAAAACCTGAACACACGAAAGAGCACGTTAAGAGGGATTTTAACAGGTATTTTGTCGAAAAATTCTGAACTTAAGCCAAATTTAAGCTCTAAATGTTCGAGAGAGTGGAGTTTTCGATCGATACGATCCAGGATAAACATGTCAAAAATCCAAGATTGTAATTCGTGACCTATGACATTAATAGGTAATCAAATGGTATAATCGTGAAATTAGGAAATAATTTCACTTGCGTTTTGTCCAAATCCTAATAATTTAAAAGGATTTGGACAAAACGCACGTGAAATTATTCCCTAATTTCACTCTTCACCATTTGATTACACATACTAATACTCTTATGAACAATATTTGTCATATTTTAAACATTTATTGTAAAGCCCCATTGGACATCACTGGAAATGGCACTATATAAAATAATAAAATATTATTATTATATATGAGATACACTAGTGTAATTGCGAGTGATTTTCTCTATCAACATCGGAGTCCAAACCATGGACTTTGGGAGGCAAAGACTTTTTATTATCATTATTATTATCATTGTCCTTATCATCATTATTATTTCTAATTTAGTTTCTCCATGCTACTATCCTGCCATCTATTTATTACCCTTTAGATTTTTATTTTTGTACGGATGGTAAAGTATGAATAACCTTAAACTGATAGAAATTATGTGCAAATGACAACACTCATGCCACTTCTTCACCCTACTCTCTTGGCAGTTTAAGTACAGGAAATTAAAAAAAAAAGAATTTTCTTTCTTGACCAGATCCGGCCTGGGTACGAGATTAAACAAAATGCTTACCATCCCATAGACTCATAAACTGTGCCTTCATCATTGCTGTAGCTTCATGATCAGTTTTGTCTCGCATTCTAAGAAAAGAGTCTGAAACATACATGTACACAGATCAATATCATATCTTCAGACATATTGCACTGTAAATACTACACATAAATGCAAGCACAAAATGAATAGGAAAAGAAAGAACAACTTAAGCATTTATAGAGTCATTCGCATCGCTGTTTGCTGCATAATAGGTTTGTTTCAAGCCTCAAGAGAAAACATACCAACTACCTGACTGACAGCAATGTAAGTGACTTCATAAGTGATGCCAGAAAGATGCTAGCAACAAACCTCTGTTTGCATGGTAGTACCGAAGCATTGCATTAACTGATGAAGAAAACCTTTATGCTTACCTATTTCATCAATAAATATTATACAAGGTTGAAGTTTAACTGCCTGGAAAAATAAGAAGAATAAGTTATCACAAAATTTAGAATAATAATAACAGTAATAATAACAACGCACCGGCAATGCGGAGGTCATGGGTTCGAATCCCGTTGAAGCCCTGATTTTTTTTTTTTTTCATGCTTCTTCTTTCCAATTGCTTAAATTGGAAAATTTACTGCGATGATCATTCTTCACTTTCAGTAATAATAATAATAATATTAAGAGCCATTATCTGAGAAAATCGAGAATCGCACGACACTCGTCAAAAAATCGATTTTTTTTTTATTTTGCCAAAACATCCCTTTTAGTGACCTTATTTAAGGAAAAATAGTTTTGGGTTCAAACGATTCATTTTAAAGGAGAAATTAGGAAAAGTTTGAAAAATCGATTTTATGCTCGTTTTTCACACAAAACACGGCAGGATGCAATGGCAACTTCGAGAGAAGGGTGAACGCGTAAGAAACATTCCCTGACATTGAAACTTCACTGAATTATTATTTTGTTCTTACTCTTGAAAACCTTAAAAGAAAATTTGATAAACAATGCTTTACATTTTTATAATCGACAAGTGTAAAGAGGTTATATTTGTGACGTTAGACGTGCTAGAAAATGAAGGCCAACTTTGACTATTAAAAAAGGCCTCTGGTATATGCCGCTTGATCATAAAATCAATATAAAATGGAACCTTGGCTTTTGTAATAACTTACTGGAAAGTTTTAGCTCTGGAAATCAAATATCATCCTGACACCAAAGCAAGCGGTGAGAGCAATTGAATTGGGAAATTTATGCAAATTAGACGGCTTGTGGACGGTTGTCAAACTAAAAAGAAAGGTTTTACATGAAAGAATTACTCACCATTGCTTGTAACACGGCAAGGAAAGTTATTTCCAACTTCTTTTGCGTCATTTTGAGTCACAAAATAAATAATTTTTAGCCAAAAGACAAACGTACGTTTGCTCAGCAACTGCGTCCGAATCCGGTCGTGAATCGAAAGTCCCAACACGTCGAAGCAAGAGTTACAAGAGTTTTTACTTCAGTCAGGAGGCAAAAGGAATAAAATTCATCGCAAACTAATGACTTCGATTTTGAAAACCTTTCATCACTTCAATCGTTCGTCGGCTGATAATAAACATCGCACAAGATCGTATGACCTTTGGCGTGTGACCGGAAATTGGTCACACGCTTTTAGTCACGCCAGCATGCTGTCACGAAATTTTCGTAGCTGTTGTCAGCAATTTCAATACAGTTTTCACATTTTTTGACAAGAACTCCCCTCATCGCCAGAGAAACAGCCCTGCATATTTATTTTTCTTTTATTTACCTACTAGGTTTTGAAACAGCTTTTTTTTGCCTTCAAGTACCAAACAGGAGGGTACCTCGGATTCCAAGTGTCGTGAGTGACCCGTGGAAGCGAAAATCAAGACCAAAAAAAAGAACGAATATTTTGAATACTTAAGTGAAGCCACAGCTAAAAAAAAAAAACTTGTTCAAAATATTTTCAAAACAAGAAAAAAACATACTTGATCATCCCCGTGACTTGGAATCTGGCCAGGGTACCCCCTCCCCTCCCTCCTCCCCTATGCCGGGTCAAAATACTAAGTTCCCCCGGCCCAATGTCCCATAGTCAAGGGAGTATACTCTCTTGCTGTAGTAAAGAACTTGCAGAATAATACCAATTCTCCGTGGCCAACGGATTCAACGCTATAGTTTACTTTGGTTTTCGCTATTTGCTCACGATCAGGAGCCTATAACCCCAACCGCGACCAAATTATGAAACCTGTTATTACCAGAAAAAAAAAAAAACACAAAGAAACAGTCAGTCAGATAGACAGTACATAATAAAAAAGACCTCGACTAAGATTTAAAAAAAGTCAAGACATGACACTGTCGAATACGAAAACCCAGAAACCATTTTGTGGAAAAAAGGTTCGTATACAGCTATCAGCAGCTTTTGTCCACAACTCGCCTGTAGAGTGGCGCGGAAACTAGTGATTGTGAAATGGCTTCAAACTATGATCCTATAATGTTGGAATATTACTTATCACAGAAAGCTACATCTGATTTCTTCTAGCAGACACAATCCTCTTGGTTCGTGTGGACAAAGTAGCTCATCCCGGCTATTTGCACCATGCTACCATAGTCTCCCTAGATTCCCAAGCCTCGCACGCAGACTTTCCTGTCCCACGAACGTTGGGTAGGATTATAGGACGAGCCAAAAGAAAGTGAAGGCTATAGGCTCTCGCGATGATGCAAGGAAGGTCGAGTATTATATTCCCCTATCCAGGTCGCCCAGGGTAAGTCTTCGGAGGAGAGTGACTTAGGGGCAGTATGTTAGAAAAGTTGACTAACGCCCCCGGAACTAACGCTTTCCCCTGGATAAATCTACATCCAATAAGTAACGCAATTGCTTCATCTTATTCACTTGATAGTGATTTCCTGTTGTTCAACGTTTCAACAACAGGGCCCTAAGTATTGTGTTTCGCCTTGCACTAAAAACCCATAAACCTTATAAATTTCACTATGGGACTTCAGCACCTCCCTTGAATGATCCATTTCGCTAAACGGGACCTCAAAACAACGATTCTGTGCATCCTAAGGGAGTGTATACTATACGTTCCTGGCTCACAGTGAGGTGATGGTGGCTCATACTCTAATAGACCTAACACAGTCGAACCTCCATGTGCGACCGCCAATCCAAAAGACCAAATTTTCCCATTCAAAGCCTTATATTTGGATTAACCTCCAGTAAACGACCTTCTGCAAGTGACTGCGATCACTTTTTGGGTTAATTGTTTTCCATAAGCGACCAGTTGACGCATTCTCTGCTCTCTATTTTTGCTGTGTGCACTATGTTCCTTGGAAAATATGGAAGACCTTTAGTGACATCGTGGAACTACACATATCCTAACTTAGTAGATGTAGCCAACAAAGTGAAGATTCTGTTGTGATTCTAGACTATTCTATATCTCACTCACCTGAATCCCTCTTTAAATTGAGCATGATTTAAAAGCTGTATTTTTCAAAAGAGGTAAAAGATAATATTTTGCCAGGAATTTGTTACACCGCCATTTAATAGAATGTGCCCGGACCTCTTCTCGGAATACACCCCATGTGGTCCGATTCTTCTAAACGGCCACCTCCCGTTAGAGACCATTAAGTCTTTGCATTTTTGGTGGTCGCTTACTGGAGGTACGACTGTATTACTTTGACCTATCAGAGGCTTACCGATAATAAAGGGGATCTGGAAGGGGGCATGGATGCGACAATCACATGCCAGGTCGCTTACTTAAAATAGTGGACATCTAACTGACAATCAAAGTTTGTGCTTATTATTGGGGTTATCTGGTGTTTACTCACCTCCCAAGCTACCCTGGGTGAGCCAACTTTTCCTCCATTTCCTTACAAAACTTGGTAATTAAACCATTTACATGAGAAACAAAAGGTTGGTTCGGATAGACGCCTTACTACCAGTAGTGGGCGGGGTTGAGAGCTTCCGGAAGTCAGCCCTCCACTGAGCCGGTAGTGGTAGCCTCACCCTTCTAGCCCGGCTAATATTTCTTCACTTTGGTCAAGGCTAGACAAAGACAGCATGCGCAAGCACTGTTGACTCGGACAAAGTGGTCAGTTTTTTCCTCATACAAACGCTCGCAAACGTTGGCTCGGCTGGGAGGTTGACCTTCTCTCCGGCACAGCTTTTCTCCATCCATGGGTTCCAAACAGTCTTTTAGCAGTCACGTTTGAAATTTATAGGAAAATGATGTAGCACTTCAAAAAATAAAAATAATAAAAAAAAAATACACTTTTTTCACAGACTGTCAATGCCTAGAAGGTGTCTATAAAAGAAATCAACTGCAGAACAGGAGTCAATTTCAGTTTTTTGCGCTTTTCATGCTAGCACTGCGAAGCGGACTGGGGGTGCGAGACACGCGCGATGTATGGGGAACAAGTTCTGCAGGCTATAAAAGAAATTAAAAAAACAAACAAACAAATAAAGCAGGCCTGATTTTATTTCGATGAGTCTATTTTTTGTCGAAAGCAAACGTGAAAAATGGTATTAAAATTTGTGACAGTATGCTAACGTGACTTAAGCGTGTGACCGATTTCCGGTCACACTCCAAAGGTCATACGATCTTGTGCGATGTTTATTATCAGCCGACGAACGATTGAAGTGATGAAAGGTTTTCAAAATCGAAGTCATTAGTTCGCGATGAATTTTCAATCTTTTGGCCTCCTGACTGAAGTAAAAACTCTTGCAACTCTTGCAACTCTTGCTTCCAAAGGACCGCAGTGACGTGTTGTGACTTTATTTCGATTCACGGCCGGATTCTGGCGCAGTCGCTGAGCAAACGTACGTTTGTCTTTTGGACCTTTTGGCTTAAAATTATGGATTTTGTGACTCAAAGAAGTTGGAAATAACTTTCCTTGCCGTAAAAACGTGTTACAAGCAATGGTGAGTAATCCTTTCATGTAAAACCTTTCTTTTTAGTTTGACAACCGTCCGCAAGCCATCTAATTTGCATAAATTTCCCAATTCAATTGCTCTCACCGCTTGCTTTGGTGTCAGGATGGTATTTGATTTCCAGAGCTAAAACGTTCCAGTAAGTTAGTACAAAAGCCAAGGTTCCATTTTACATTGATTTTATGATCAAGCGGCATATACCAGAGGCCTTTTTTAATAGTCAAAGTTGGCCTTCGTTTTCTAGCATGTCTAACGTCACAAATATGACCTCTTTAGACTTGTCGATTATAAAAATATAAGACATTGTTTTTCAAATTTTCTTTTAAGGTTTTCAAGAGTAAGAACAAAATAATAATTCGGTGAAGTTTCAGTGTCAGGGAATGTTTCTTACACGTTCACCCTTCTCTCGAAGTTGCCATTGCATCCTGCCGTGTTTTGTTCGAAAAACAGGAATAAAATCGATTTTTCAAACTTTTTTTAATTTCTCCTTTAAAATGAATCGTTTGAACCCAAAACTATTTTTCCTTAAATTAGGTCACTAAAAGGGATGTTTTGGCAAAATAATAAAAAATTCGATTTTTTGACGAGTGTCTTGCGATTCTCGATTTTCTCAGAAAATGGCACTGAATAAGGTAACTCTGGAGATACAAATGGATGAACAGAATTAGTTTTACAATAAAATTGCCCGTAGTTTTTCTTTTTCTTTGTTGAATTAAAAAACAAACTCATTATCATACGATACTATTCCCCAAAAACAAAAGGAAATAAAATGGAAACCAAGGATAAAATTGAACCACAACATATATTTGAAAAATAAATCAATGCTTACCAGAGAAAAAACGGCAGCAGCAAGCTTTTGTGATTCACCATACCATTTGTCAGTTAAAGATGACACTTGTAAATTAATAAAACGACAACCTGAAATCAAGGGAGAAGGTACAGAAGGAAAATCTAAGATCGGACATTTATATCAAAGTAAAAAATAACCCACAAACATTCTTACCGGCTTCTTTTGCTGTGGCCTTGGCAATCATAGTTTTTCCACAGCCAGGAGGACCATACAGTAGTACACCTTAAAAATTTAAAACAAGAAAGAAAGGGTCTAGCAGGTTAAACAACATGCCGTTTAAGTGAGGGTAACATTGTCTTTTGTGGTTTCAGCAAATTGCAAGCTATAGTGCTGTGATATTGTATGTTTCACAAGTGTCTCTTGATATGTTACATCTGAAGTACAAATCCTAGACTTTCATGTTGCATGAATGAACACTTAAAAATTTATGGCCATCTCATCTAAAGAAGAGAACTCCAAAATTGTTTCCTCAGTTTAAGCATATATATATATTTGTGCAAAATAATTATACTGATACTTAGAATGAAGTCTTTTTTACTGCCTCAGTGGTAAAGGAACAGAAAAAAAAAACAAAAGAAAACAGGGTTCAAAAGCTTTTGTTTAGCCCTTGTATTTGTCCATGTCATTATAATAATAAATACTTTAAAAAAAAATACCTTTAGGTGCACTAAGAAGAGAGGAACTTTGAAAAATTTCTTTTTGTTGTATGGGTAAAATCACTGTTTCCTAAATGAGGATAAAAAGCAGAACAGTGTAAGTATGACTAATCACATGCATATACACCATTTATATTATGAAATGAGTCTAAATTATACAGCAAAAGAAGGCTGAAGCATTTGAAAGCCAGCCACACACAGTTCAAGATTTGATCATCAACAATATTATTGTTTCAGCTCTCATTTGTTTAGCAAATTGTAACTTGTTGAATACAACAGAGCCTATATAATGTTCAACAAGTTAAATAGCTACTTCAGCCTTCATTGTGGCATGATGCACTATTAAGTTATTTTGAATTACAACATTCATTTGTTGATCAACAAAAAAAATTATTAGTTAAACCATCTAATCTCTGTTTCGAAAAAAGTACCCAGTGTTCAACCTAGGCTGCCTTTTTGCATCATTGACATAGAATGTTCTTTTCTGAACCAAAATGAAATTATCATGGAGTCATGCGGACACAAAAAAGGTTGCTTCCTGAAATATATATAAGTACTTCCAACGCAGCAGGTAATAATAAAAGTAAATTTTAAGAAAAGGTGTGCTTGCTAGTCTGAAATGAGCATACGGAATGACTGTCATTTAATTTCAGACTGCGTGCTTACAAGTAGTTTTTATGTCAGGTATTCCACCCAATTCTGAGAGAGACCAGAGCGTACATATGAACTCTCTGCATACAGTGCTTTGCCGATCGATTCACCCTTTATTTGCTGACTTTGTTCTTTTGTTTTTGTTCCATTATGAAATGGCAACAAAAGCTACAGTGTAAGTTCATTTTTTACAAGAAAGAGAATGGCAGTTGAGTATCAAAAGCTTTAAGATGTCCATAAGAGTTGTTCAAAGATTCAATATCACAGTTTGACCAACTCCATTTTTTAAATGACCCTTGAATTTAAAATGCCGTGTGGGACATATGACCCACTTTGACCAATTTCTAGATTGAACACTGAGTACCTAACCAAGGCTTTGTTAGATAGGAAAAATAATAACTGATTCTTTAAACCCATGAATCTAGGGTGTCCAACATTAAATTTTATGACATGTGCTGAAACTGTAAGGGGCACTTTCCAAAAGTCAGAACTGGCCAGCTAGACTAGTCATTTTGAAAATGAAAGAGGCTCTTTAAGGAGTTTTCACAACAAAAGCCATCAACCCCATGCATATATTGATTTAATTAATTGACTGATCTGGCTGGACAGTTTTGATAAAAGGTGAAATTCTCATTACAGCAGGAATGGTCTGGCCAGCCAGTTTTGACAAATGGAAAGCACACTAAGAGTTCTTCGTCACCCAAACTCAAGACTAAGTTGCCAAGGGTCACAGGTACAACAATGTTTCACAATCATGTTTGTTGAAAATCAGAGAAATCCAAGACAAGAAATGCACTTTTTCCTGGTTAAAGCCCTAACATTCAAATGGAGCATAAGTGCTTAGTCTTACTTTGACTTCATCAATTGTTTCTCGGAGTCCTCCTATATCCTTCCAAGTGATTGGCAGAGTTAATGGATCCACAATATCAGCTGCTACTGTCAGCTCATATTCACTTAACTACAAGGTAGGTGGAAAAAACTACAAATTAATGTTATTTTTATTTTAGCATCAATGTTTACAACCAAAACATAAATAGACTTCAGGCAACCCCCCCGGGCATCTGAACTATTAAAGTCATCCATGTTCCAATAATTCCTGTCCATATGTTTGGCCTAGGGGCTCATATGTCCTACCATTGTACAGCTGTACCTAGATTTGATGAAATGCCCTCAACTTGCAATTTAAATTATGATTGGCTTAAATGGTTTACAAATCCAACTTTAATGTTTTGTTGTTGTTCAGTAGTGAGACAGTGAGCTCCTTTCAACCACACTAGATTAAATTAGCAGTTAACAGCAAATCATGCCGATGCAATATTGGAAGTTTTTAAAACTAACCAATATTAACAACGTCTATATAATATTATTTATTTTACTAAACATGCTTTAGTTTACAAAACCACCTTTTCATTGAATGTTTCAAGTTGCCGGCAAAATACAAGATTTAGGTGAGGAATCAAACAGCTATTGATTTCGGCTTTTGGATCTAGTTTTCCTCTGTTTTCCTATAGAAGCAGCCGGGGATGATGTTTATAGCAGCCAGGAGAAATCCCCGGCCTTTAAAAAACAGCCCTGATACTGGGCTGTACCCTACCTTGACTCCTTGAACACCAATTTTCTTTAACAGTTGTTCACCCTAAAAAATATCACAAAGAAAGGCCAAAACAGATTATTTGTCTAGAAAATTACAACATCTCCTTACTGATGCACCTTGTTTTTCTACTTGGTAACATGACTTCAGTTTGAAAATTAAGCTTCGGTTTTAGGCTGAAGCTGTTGGTTTAGTTTGACGTACGTACGCTCACCTGTTTTTGAGCAGCCAAGCGACTCTTTTTTGTCGGATCTAGCACATCTACTAACCATTTTACACCGTAATATGTCACAGCACCAAGAAGGATAACCTGTATTGCTGTGGCTATATATCTAGCTCGATTATCGGGCATATTTATATTTGAGACACAACAAAATAAGTACTGTATAAAGCATTTGCCTTTGCCAGAAAAATTTCCTTCTCAATGCCGTCTGCGGTTTTCGCCAAAAGAGCAGGCGCTCGATAAAATTTTGGGCGCAAAGCATCCTGGGTTGTGATCACTTCCTTGGGAGCTTGAATCCGTCGAAAGGGTCGAAAGGCCCTCTTATCTTCGGTCGGATTTCGAAAACTTATGACGTCGCGCTCGCCTCGAAGTTTTTAATAATAATTGACCCGCCACATGTTACCTCACCTATCTGGGGTCTCCCACCTCCATGTAAACAATCCCTAATCTTGTTACTTCATGCTGTGTCAGTATCGTTCATCATGCTTATAAAAAGTAAGGTACTGGAAAACCGCATTTTAACATTGTTTGTTTGTTTTTTCTGAAAGGTTACCTACGATTTACAGTCAGCTACCGCAAAGCTACCCGTGCAAACTTTAAAAAGAGAACTCTATAGCATATAAAAAAAACACAAGCACAAACTTATTAAAGAAAGTTTCTTACTACGCTTTTCAAAGACACGCGAATTCTGAAGTTCAGAAAGCCGCCTTCACAATTTCGTTTTTCCCTGCCTTCAATCACAATTACGATCACAAGCAACGAACCTTGAAACACAGAAGCACATAAAACGGATCGAAATCCACCAGATGTAAGCCTCGGTTTCCTACGAGGTCGCTAAGATGACTGACGGCAACGAAAAGCGCAAACGTCAGTTGGCTTTTGAACTTTAGAATTCGCGTGTTTATTAGCCTGGGACCAGGCTCCGCATTGTGGGAAAAAGGAGAAAAAATCGGCGTTGGCGAAAAAAAAAAAACAAATCGGCCAGCGAAGCGAGTCGAGAGGTAGTATGGGATGTGGAAAGGGTGGTCCTTTCCCCCTTCCCAGGATACCGCTCGGCTCGCTTCTATTGCCGTTATTTTTCCTATTTGACCCCGTTTTCTGCCTTTTTTTTGCCTACTGCGGAGCCTGGTCCCAGGCTACGTGTTTATGAAAAGCGCAGTAAAGGTACGCGTAAAACGGGCAACAAAAAACTTGCAACTTGTTTTGCAACATTGCTGCAAAACGAGTTGAATAACGATTTTGCGCGTTTTACCACCCACGAAAAAAACCATGCAACCTCATTATCTGCAAGACAGGTTCGAACGCCCTGGCTCAGTCTTGCGCTGAAATAAAGGTTGCTACAACTTGCGTGAATACCGACTTCTGGTTGGATAGAATTTAAAGTACGCGGTAATCACGCCAATAGCATGAAGCGCATGTTTTTTTATGATGCAACTCTGGAATGATGTTACCAGCGATAGAGACTTTGTCTGTTTTTTAACTGCAAAACATTTTAGGAGAAGTTACTTTGATTTAATAATGTTTAAATTTACGCCTGACACTTTCAGGATTGACAAAGTTTTTTAGCTTATTTGGTGATATTTTTATTCTCTAGTTATATAGTATTTAACTACTTCTTAATTAGTATTTTAGCATTTTACATTCTAGTATTTTAGTATTGTAATAGTTTAGTACCTTAATATTTTAGTATTTGAGTAATTTCTCAATTTAGTATTTTGTTATTGGTATTTAGTTTAACAGGGCCATAAGGGAGAGTACAGTTTTTGTATAGGTAATAGCATGATTAGTAATGATATTTGGCATAAATACCACGAGTGATATTTCAAAATTGTTATACGTAATTTCACGAGCCGTTAGGCGAGTGAAATTTGAGACAATTTTGAAATATCACGATTGGTATTTATGCCAAATATCACGAACAAATCATGCTATTATTTGTTTATATTACTACCCACAAAAGGTTTGTAATTTTCACATGTAGGTATTTCAAATTAAGCTGAAATACCAGTGCTCTTAGCCAATCAAATTGCAGAAATTTCTCATGTAGTAGTATAACTACTGTAATTATGCACCCTATAAATAAAGTGTTCAAAGTGTTCAAAATTCACCATCTCCTTTACTATAATCGCGAGACCCAAAACTGATTGCAAGGATAGTCGTTTTTGGCCAAACACGAGATCTCACTGGAAAAGCCGGCAAAAAGTATTTGTGCGGGAAATTCCATTGGGACTATTCAGAGATAAGTGTGCTTGGAAAAATCGGAAAGCAGATTCCCACCCCTTGATAAAGGACAATCTGGAAATCCATGGGGAAAAAAAATGGAGAATGTGGTGGAGATAACTAGGTATAAACTCCAAAGGAAAATGCATGTATGACATCACGCATTTGATCACCGCCGCCTTGAAGTGCTTCAGCAGTAATGTCACAGTCCAAAGCTGTTGATTTGTTTGTTTTCATGGCTGCAATTGCTTCAGTAGTCTTATCTCGAGTTGGGGGATCAGTGTTTATCGGAAGGTCTTCTGTTGCGGGAGGGGGTAGCTCTTAGGGTGTGATCCCATTGTCATCGTTGAGCAATGAGCCAAGAACTCCTCCACTCTTCTAGTAGCTCTTGTTCACTATAGGCAGCCAAACCATCTCACTTTTTGACTTTCACATTTGCCTGGTGTTCTTTCCTGAGAGTTTATGGATGATGCTCCAAGTGGCCGTGTGTCTCCCAGTCTCATCAGCTAATTTCAGATCTTCTATCTGCCTGCTGAGAGTGGCAGATTCATCAGTTTGTAGGAATCATTGAGACTGGCATTTAATTTCCCGCATCTTTCTCTTGATTGTAGTGTCTTGGATTGAGCAAATTGCTTCTTGACCTTATCTCTCTCCTTCTTCAGGTGGATTGTCTTGTCGGATACCCATCTTGGTAGTCCACACGGCTCTCTTTCACCGACTACTTTTCCAGTGACTTCCCTTTCCGTTGTTTCAAAGGACTTGTATCTTTCTGTGATGTGTACAGATACATCAGTCAGATGGAGTGCTTGGAATCGATTGGACAGTTCCAACTGAAATTCCTCTCTAGTCCTTTGGTCCTGCAGCTTCCTCTAGTTGATTCTTGGTCTCTTGCATGGGTTTACCTTGCTAGCTCTCGAGCTAGTGACTAGAAGGATGGTAACAATGCGGTGATCAGAGCCTAGTTCAACTGTGTTGTAAGCACGGGCCGTTCCTGAGAGAGTTTACCCACTTGCTGTTGATCAGTATACGATCCAATTGATGTTTAGAACCGGCTGGATGGATCCAGCCTGTTCTAAAGATCAATAAAAGTAAAATAAAACATCACAGTAATGTAGAACATAACATAAAAGAAACACAACGAGGCCAAAGAAGTGCATCTATGGACAGGAAAGGACAAGATTGAAACGGACTGCATTAAGGTAATCGTGAAAAAAATTCGGGCCAACTTTTTTCAAGTTTCATCAGTATATGATTTACCTAGATCAGTAATGGTCATTTTGCTCAGAATCATCTTGTTTGTCATGAAATAATGATCATACAAGTGAAGGAATTTCATTTTTGCATTTTCGAGTCTAAGACTCGTAATGAACTCAGTAAAGATTTCTCCAAATCACTCCAAAATAAGGTTACATAGCCCCTTTAACTGAACTGGCTGCGTAAAGGACCAGCAGGATCCTAGCAACTAGGATCAACCGCAGTACGGGAATGGTGTTCTACTGGATTAGTTTATGGTACTAGTATTCTCGGTTATTTTCTATTTCCTTTGCTCACCAAGGCGGTGTTTAATTTCACTTCATAGGTGAGCTCGGAATATTCCGGAAGCAGGCTCTCTTGGGACCTACTCGAAACGACCGGAATACTATTTCACCGATTCGCTTAGTCATAAAGCGGAATAGGAATAAACAGGTGAGTCCTCATTTTTGTGTCCATAGTTTTAGAGCGTGCTCGATTGACCCTATCCTGGAATAAGAATAAATGAAATAACCATAAGGTTATTCTTTCATTGGACGTAAATTGAGAAAGATATCTTTGTAACATCGTTTTGCGGAGAAAATATGATGAAAAACTGTTCTGCGATCCGATAACCTTAAATTTCTCCTAGAAGAAAATATTAAAAGCAAACTTTTTTATTGTAATTCCGTAATAAGGCCAATCGACAGCACGGCCAGGTTTATTGTTGCTTTTCTACATAAATGTGTTTCTTCAGAGCGTTAGGGGCTGTTTGCATGGAGGGAGGAAGATCCTAGCACTAGGAAGATTCTAGAAAGCGAAACAATTTTCCTTTTGATTTACAAGCAGAAATTTCGTTTGCAGTTACTGTTCATAATCTTTGTCCCTGGTGCTAGGATCTTCCGAGTGAACGCAGTTTACATGGTGTTAACATCTTCCTAGTGCTAGGATCTTCCTATCTCTCAGCTAGGAAGATCCCAGCGCCAGGGCCTAGTACGAGTTTTTGCATGTAAACCGAATCCAGAAAACATATGGCGCTAGGATGATCCGCCTCCTAGGATCTTTCTGGTGCTAGGATGTTCCTCCCTCCATGTTAACAGCCCCTTAAAAGGGTTTGCAAAAAATATAAATTAGAAAGACTAAAAGAAAAGGGAGTGTTAGAGCTAGGTGGGCCCTATATGAAACTGACTTCCCTGAAACAATTGGCTCAATCTTTTGAGAAGAGTTTTATCATCAAAGGCTTTTCCATCCGTATATAACGGGCTCATCTCGTCATCCTCGATACGATTTGTTGAAAGCGACCTCTTACGTGCTTGGCATTCCAGCAAGTTTCGATCAAAGATGGTCGGAGAGACTGACCGATATAGTTTTCGTAAAATTCGCGCGTCCTCCACGCCCTGCTTTAGTTTTTCATCTGCAAAACTGTGCATTCGAGAGTAAATTAAAGTTTTGGCCGAGAATAACAGCTACCGGTAAAGAAAGCGAACTTTTCGTCGAAGCCATAGTTAATTGAGTGGAATGATTATGAAACCCGTCAGACTCCTTTGTTATATGTTTTTGTGGACCTGAAAGTGCACAACGTTCAAAAGAATTCCTATCATTTTGATTGTATTGACCAATAAAAAGGTTGCATTAATTTATTCCGTAACAATTTGCCAACAGAAAACAAAGGATTGTGCACTTTCAGGGTGCTTCCAACATAAACTGCAGCACTGTTGTTTTTATCATTGATGTTTGCCGCTTTTCATAACCAGTCTCCTCTAATAACTATGTCGAAGCGGAGCACACGTTTTCGTACGCACAGTGCATGCCTGCGGTACAACGCTTGACGATTGGGTCTCTCGAACTCTCGAAACGTTTTTCTGATTTTTATGACGTCAGCCTTCTGAAAATAGCAAAAATAATGGATCTTCTCGCGTTTCCTTCGGTGGATTTTCTCAAACGTTTACATAAATTGAGACAGAAGCCGTGCATTTTTTACCAAAACTCTCGCAGCAAATTCAGTGCAAGTGCAAACTGAAATAACAAATTCCCTATTACTGTACTGGCGAAACTATCAGCTGAATGTCACCGAACATATTTCCAACGTAATAGCAAAGTTTTAGAAAAAAATTCGCGAAGGAAAGTCTGTGGCTGGTGCAAGATAATCGAGAAATAATGGGTAGGTACTCGTTCACTTTCCAGGAATTTTGTTTCCATGGAAACACTTTCAATCAAAGAAGTGACAATCGACAAATAAGGGGCACCATCTTGCCTATCTTTCCCGGAAATGGCATTGGAAAATCTTGCAAAACATAAAAACTACTTCGTCTGTTGTAACTGTTGTAACCACTTGATGAAATGCTTTTATAAGAAATGCTATAGGGAGCCACCTTAAAACTGGCTCAGTTACTTTGTCATTCTACGGTTTCTGACCAATTTGAGATGGTTCTGAGAATCAATTTCTCGTCAACCAAACTCATTGTGCGCCATAACTAAAAATTGTCTACACTAAACCAGGCTACGCAACTAGCCCTTTGACAATTTCTCGACTTGACACTGTATTCTGATGGTATCTCCTTCACGCAAACGAAGTTTCGATTTATGTCAAAAGAAGGTCTTCCTGCACAAACGGACAAGTCCCGCCTGTAGTGACTAGTCCTTGGGAGATGTCCCCTATTGAGCGTAGACCTAAAAACATTAATTAGCAACTGAAAGGTCAAACATACAGTTTCGTCCATATTTTTCTCACAAATATTTTTTTTACTCTTCCCCCTACGTACCAGGGAGGGGAGGGGGGGGGGGCACTGATAAGTTGAATTAACAGCCGTTTACTGGACTCCAAAGGCCTCCATATTTATACTGTTGCAAATTCAGATCTGCCAACCCCTGATAACGGAAAATCTGGAGATCCATGAATAAAAACACGGAAGATTCTGCCAAAAATAGTGAGATTTCACTATTTTTCACATTTTTTTAGTTTATTTACGATGGTGATCACTTCCCCGTCCCACGCTTAACGGTGGTCTGTCATTATTTAAACCCGCTGCGTAAAAGGACCAGTTCGTCAGTGCGGTGTTCCACTGGATTAGTTTATCGCACTAGCATGGACCGTATTCATAAATGGAGGCGAGTAAATTGTCCTTTTGTCCTTATGCTAATTTTCGTTAACATGTAGAAATTGAAAATAATTTTTGCTTTAAAATGAGGCTAGTGAGGAAAATTAGCATAAAGAGAAAATAATAATGTGTTACCGCCATTAATGAATTCGGTCTATTGTCGTTTATTTTTCGTTTTCTTTACCCAACAAGGTAGTATTTAATTTCACTTATGATCTCTGCCAAAAACCGCGAGAGTCTTGCCGTGAGACCGTGAGAAAAGACGAAAAATTGTGAGACTCACGGCGAAAGTTTGAAGGTAAGCAAATTCTAGGAAAAAAAAAAGGATGTCTGTGAATAGAGAGCGGGATTTTACCGGGAATTGTTTTTCAGTTTCCAAGTTCAAAGATCATGCCATGAGTGGGAGGTGTGGTCTGAGTTTGATTCATTTTATAGCAGAATCCCATTAATTGTCATCATTTCGGCGCATCGCCTCCAATGACTCGGAACTGGTGAAGTTAGGAACATTCCTTAATTTAAGTTTCCTTTCTCCGGTAGGTCACTTTTGCTTGATATTTTTAACGTTTCCGACTGTTGTGTGACTATTTTAGAGTTTATGCTGTTTGTGAATGTCGGGACACCGCTTATCGGGTTTAACAGCGCTCCTCACGGTTTATCAGAAACCCCAAGCGAGCGATTAAGCTTCCCTGATCAAATGCGAGAAAAAGCTGAGCCGGGAATGAGTTTTCCGGATGTATTAACATCGGGTAGTTGATGAATAGGATAACTTTATATCATACAGCAGGGATTTCTTTGTTTAAGGAAGTGATTGCAAATATTTATCACTCATGGGTCTTCCTTAACGTCAGGCATAGCCGGAAAGCAGAAACACATCTTGAGTGCAAATTAGACTACATAACTTGAAGCTTGGGGCTAAATTTTGCCAACAGTTTTGAACCCAGTGAATTCGATTCATTCGGTTGGCAAGGACGAGCCCCCTAGCATTGGACAACGCAGAAACTCGCGCAGCCTAGTTTCCAAGGTAGCCACAATTATTCTAAGAGACTCCTTTCTCTTTGTCGGAAAATACGCAGAACTACTCTTCTACATTCTCAGTCAAAGCATGCACGATTGCAATACACTGTGTACAAGACCCGGAAATATTTCACTCCCTACTTCCGGTCTCGTTTTAGGGAGCTACACTGTTGAGAGATTTTAAAGTAAAAGGCGTTGAACTGAACGGTATCACGATAAATTGATTGAAAATTTCTTTCTGTTGTAGAAGTGCCAAAGAATTTAACAGTTCACGATCCCGCGGGAACAGCTTTGTTCCCGGATCTCCTAATTACAGTAAACGGTTAGACTGAAGTTTTTATAATCCATGTATGTTCTATCGAAATAGTCGTAAGAATATCAACAAACAGGAATACTTCTGCGTGGAGTTCAGCCCATAAAGTAACATACATGTCGCAAGGAGCCACGGCACCTATTTGTAGTATTTTGCATAACCAAAACTGAAAGCGACATTATTTTCAAGTTGGGGGCTCCCCGCGGGATACACTCTGATTTAATCGCATGATTATCCAGCCTCTTCGGAACGATATATTTAACAATTATTCGCCGAAGGCGAAGTTAATATTGTTGAATAATCCCCGAGACGAAGTCGAGGGGATTATTCAACAATATTAACTGAGCCTGAGGTGAATAATTGTTTTAGTATATTCACACGAAGTGATCTCAACAGAATCAGAAAGGAAACCACTAAAAAACGATTAGTTTGATTGACGGGTGAATGCAAGCGTGAACACGAAGCCGTAAACCGTGGATGCGCAAAAGTTAGATCTTTCGCTGTGGCTATATGGCCGGTAACCGGTCAAGGTTTTCAGAACACTAAATGGCCGACAGTCCTACATTCTCATTAAATTTCACAAAATCGAAAGATTCCAGCTAATCTAAACTATCATATGTCGATTTAGAAAAGTCAAGCGATCCTGAAATGCTTTACAGATCTCAAGTCTGGTGTTTGGTTTACGCTGGGCTCAGAGGAGGAAACCATGTTTTGCGACACTTAGAACTTTTTTCATTTCGACTGCCGGTCAAGGATTTCAAAACACTAAATGGCCGGCAGTTCTATATTCTCAGTAATTGGAAGGCAATACCGAATTTCTATTTCGACAAATATGGTGGCCTGCCCTTCCTTCTTAAGTGCAACTACAATACTGCAACTCTTGACAACAATCTGCCTTTATTCTACCGTGAGTTATTAGATTATTTCCAAGAACTAACGAAATTCTAAGAATGCGTTAAAAACAATGACCTCATTCTTTGGAATAACAGGAGAATTACAATAGAAAGGAATAGTGTCTTCTGGAAACAATGGTTTGATCGGGGTGTTACTTTCATTAGCGATTTAATGAACTCAAATGGTAAATTTCTAACCTTCGAAGAATTTCAAAATAGATTTGAAATTAAAGCTAACTATTTGCACTGTTTTCAATTAATTGCTGCCATTCCTCCGGATTTGAAACGAAAGGCATTTGGTTCCACGGTTCCTGATCTGCTTGGAGCAACTTCAGAGTACTGTCAACTAGAAGATAGAACAATAGTCTTAGTCGTTGTAAAAATTATTACAGTCTGTTCATCGAGAAGATTGTTTCAGAACCCTCCGCAGTAAGGGCTTGGAAAAAAAGCTTTTCAGAAATTCCGAATTGGAGTGATTGTTTTGTGAATATATACAAGTCCTCGAAAGATAATAAGCTTAGACAATTCACCTTTAAGGTTGTGCACAGAATGATTACGACAAAGAAAGAACTACTGAAATATAAATTAGCCTCGGATGATAAATGTCCTTTCTGCCTTAATCCAGATTCAATTGTACACACCTTTTTATATTGTCAAGAGTCAAAGGAATTCTTTGCCAAAACTTTAAGGTGGTTTAATGAATATCACAAAGAGAACGTACAACTTTCAAACAAGCAAATTTTATTTAACACGTTCGATGACTCCCTTCCAATGCAAATGCCAATTTCAACTCAACGCAAACTTCGTCTACTGGTTTTACTACAAAAGAAATACTTGTATACTTGCAAGAACATTGTAACGAAACCTAATTTAGAGGACTTTTTACGTAAGCTTTTTTGAACAATATCGCATTGAAAATTGTGGCAAACAATATTAAATATGCGTGGCAACTGACGGGTGTTTTTTTTTTCCAATACTTTTCATTTTTATTGTAATTTGTTTTGTTACTTTCTGACATATTTATTTACTTATTTGTTCTTTTACTTTCTGCTGTGTATTAATGTTGTTGATTTGTTGTCAATAAAGAAAGAAAAAAAAAATATTCTCAGTAAATTTCACAAAATCGAAAGATTCCAGCTAATCTAAACTAATATATAGAGTTAGCCAGGGCTAAAAGCGAAGCTCCTATTAACTCGAATTTATAATTTAAATCAAACAATAAACTTGCAATTGTATTCCACCAATCAGTTAACTTTAGAGCACATTGATGTGACTTTTGAGGGAAAGGCTAAGTTATTTTAGAGAAATATAATTTGCAAACAGTCCAAGCTAAGAGTGAACTTAATCTTAGATTGAGTTGATAGCCTTTATATATGTACACCCAAAGAATAGCAATCATCTTCGGTCACATTTAAGAGCCACAATGGCTCTTGATCACAGTAGATTAGGCCTGGAAAACAAATCAGGCAGAATTTTTTGCGTTCGACAATAAGTTTATAATTTACTTTACAAAATCTTGCCAACAAGTGTGCGGACGTGTAAACCAACCCTTTATTGCCCCCGCAGGGATATCGCCCAGAGGCGAAATCCCGAGGAGGCACCCTAGTAACTCGCGCGTATATTAAGGACAGTACTTACAGTTCAAATATACAGTCAGTATACTAGAAAAAATCTCGATTTGCTCGAACGGGGGCCGCGAGGAATCGGTAGGTAATGATGACTTTTCTATTGTTTGCGCCCGCAAGTACGAAATGGTTAGGATGACGCAAAGACAGAAAATCCCGAAGGGACCGCTCACACGAGGAGCCGCAAGAGGTGATATTTTTGCACGGCATCTGGCGGCACATCAAAGAATTTGGAATTGAAGGGCAATAATATAAATGCTGTTGTTAAAAAGCGTTTTACCTGTTTTCGTGAATTGCTACCCAAAGATCACTATGCTCAAAGGACAGGGCAAAATTTCCAGGAGAGAGGCATTAATTTTTTTTCCCACGAGGTTACAAAGAGAAAATGCAATGATTATTATTAATGTAACCATCAGGTATACTCTACCCACGAGGTTACGGACAGCAAATGTAGTGATTATTTTTAATGTAACCATCAGGTATGTTCTACCCACGAGGTTACAAAGAGAAAATTCAATGATTATTATTAACGTAACCTTCAGGTATGTTCTACCCACGAGGTTACAGAGAGCAAATGCAGTGATTATTATTAATGTAACCGTCAGGTATATTCTACCCACGAGGTTACAAAGAGAAAATGCAATGATTATTATTAACGTAACCATCAGGTATGTTCTACCCACGAGGTTACAGAGAGCAAATGCAGTGATTATTATTAATGTAACCGTCAGGTATATTCTACCCACGAGGTTACAAAGAGAAAATGCAATGATTATTATTAACGTAACCTTCAGGTATGTTCTACCCACGAGGTTACAGAGAGCAAATGCAGTGATTATTATTAAATGTAACGGTCAGGTATATTCTACCCACGAGGTTACGGAGAGCAAATGCAGTGATATTATTAATGTAACCATCAGGTATGTTCTAAACGAGGTTACAAAGAGAAAGTGCAATGATTATCATTAACGTAACCTTCAGGTATATGTTCTACCCACGAGGTTACAGAGAGCAAAAGCAGTGGTAACCATCAGGTATGTTCTACCCACGAGGTTACAGAGAGCAAATGCAGTGTTAACCATCAGGTATGTTCTACCCACGAGGTTACAGAGAGCATGCAAATGCAGTAACAATTATTAGATTTTTGCAACTATCAGGTTGAGTTTCTCCATTAAAAGAGTTTTTTGCTAGGGTTAAAATGAGTTGCAAGAAATTATCAGTATAATTATAGCACACAAACATTGTTTTAAACGTAGCCGGAATAAGCCAAGAAATGAAGCATATATAACGAAAAATCGTCCTCAGATGATCTCCATATTAAGTAAATGATACTAAACGTTGCGAAAGAAATTATTGTTTGTATCCGTCCTATCCATCGTAAAAGCGAGGGGTCATCGCATGACATCCGGTATATTAAACAACAACGAGTTGTATGCACTATTTTTCGCCGAGATCAGTCCGTTCTTAAAGGCGAACAAAGCGATTCCGGACCGTTATGATGAGAGCAAGCCGCAGGAACGCTTGACTGAAGTAAAATCCACCGATATTCGCGGCACACACAAATATAAACAAACGTCGCGGAGAAAAAAAAAAGACGAGGAGGAAAAATGCCAGATCTTCGCCTCGGCAATGTATTCCAGCTACCATGCCGGCGTATCCAGAAGGAGGACTCGACGTGGGACAAACCCTGTGATCTTTTTTAATTTTGCGCGCAAACTAATTTATTCTGGCGCGAAATGAAGAATATGTATACTGAAATCTAATCCACGACAAGAAGATTTTCGCACTGTAGCGCGACATATTAAATGCCTATCTTTACAAGTACGCGGAGAAAGTGGGTTTAACTTTTTAAGATTAATTTTTACTCCACAAAAGCAAAATGAAATGTTTTATCTCTATGGTTTTACGTGCCTGATTAGAAGGCAGAAGTAAATTCATCATACAGACCCCATCAAAATGAAAGTACACGAATGAAACGGAATAAGTCTGGGACGGTTTAGTTTCTACCCAGCAGCTTCTTTGCTTTTATAACAAAAATTTAATGTTGCAGTCTGTTTTAAACGTTGGCATATCAACGCACACAGTCACTGAATAAAAACAACAAACACGATCACGTTCTTCGAAACCGACCAGACGCGCGCGACCTACCACTGTTATGGTAAGCAATTATCCTGAAGGTGTTAATGTTCCCGTGACAGTCTTCGCACTGAAGGTGTAAATGGTAAACCGAACGGTCGCTTTGATCATCAGAAAGACCTGTCAACTTTGATGATTTAACTGATTAAATTACGGGACAGAAATTTTACTGCTTGCGGCTCATCGTGGGTAGATTTTGTTACATTTATTGTGCAGTCATACTTCGGTACTCTTTTGCATTGCGCAGAGACATTCTGTGGAGCAGTTGTTTTGAAAGTTATGGACCAAAAGACACTCATTAAGCGCAGGGGAGGTTATAAGGTGCGTTTAACTGTGTATATTTAAACACTTGGAGAGTTTACCAGACACGAGTTCACAAATCTTTGATTTATATTGGAAACCTTGCCAAACACTCTTTCTCTCTCTTTGACCGGAATAAGACTCGGCCCCAAACAAGCAAGACGAGTGAACAATGGCTAGCTTATCACTAGCAGATTGATGGACATTTACAGAAATTCGCCGACAATCAAATTCTGTGCTGACTTATTCCCTGCTCACAGATGTCCCGTCCGTCATAAAGTTTCAAATAAGACTACAATGCGCTAGCGTGGATCGATCAAACGTCCTTTTAATTTCTGAGACTTACTTTCCGGCAAATAAAATGAACTGAATGTAAAAAGGGAAAGAGAAATAGCGAAAAATTCAACTTCTAATTAAATCTTTTCTTATGGTTTAGAATTAACTATTCTCGAAGCTGAGAATGTTTTGATCAAAGCTGTGTAAATCGAGCTGAAAATGTGCATGAAACCTTGCGTTTCCTGTATTTATCTCACCTATTGTATGGAATATGTGTGAAAATCTTCATTATGAATCGGTATATTTCAAAGAGCTACACAACCAGCAAGAATAGTATTGACCGACAATGCACAGAACGGGGGCAGCTGTAGTGTCAACTATTACTAGTACTTTTTATACATCACATCTGAGGTGAAACAGTACCATGACGCGCTGTTTTTATCATACAGACCTCGAACAGAATGCAGTATTTCACAATTTTGCAACACAAATTGAACTGACTCAAGATTCAGGACGATCGAAGCACGCGTGTCCTTTTACCGGAACCGTTAAAAAAATTTCCAAAATAACCTACATATACGGCTAGCCGGTTCTCACTTTTGACAAGCGCTTAATTCAACTGTTTAAATCAAGATTAATAGAGTTATACGCTACAACATGATAAAGAATTTATTATTGCCCCGCAGGGATTTCGCCCAGAGGCGAAATCCCGAGGAGGCACCCTAGTAACTCGCGCGTATATTAAGGACAGTACTTACAGTTCAAATATACAGTCAGTATACTAGAAAAAATCTCGATTTGCTTGAACTGGGGCCGCGAGGAATCGGTAGGTAATGATGACGTTTCTATTGTTTGCGCCGGCAAGTACGAAATGGTTAGGATGACGTAAAGACAGAAAATACCGAAGGGACCGCTCAGGTAGATTTTGTTACATTTCTTGTGCAGTCATACTTCGGTACTCTTTTGCATTGCGCAGTGACATTCTGTGGAGCAGTTGTTTTGAAAGTTATGGACCAAAAGACACTGGTTAGGCGCAAGGGAGGTTATAAGGTGCGTTTAACTGTGTATATATAAACACTTGGAGAGTTTGCCAGACACGAGTTCACAAATCTTTGATTTATATTGGAAACCTTGCCAAACACTCTTTCTCTCTCTTTGACCGGAATAAGTACCCCCCCTCCGGGAATAAGACCTCAGCCCGAAACAAGCAAGACGAGTAAACAACGGCTAGCTTATCACTAGCAGATTGATGGACATTTACGGAAATTCGCCGACAATCAAATTCTGTGCTGACTTATTCCCTGCTCACAGATGTCCTTCCGTTATAAAGTTTCAAATAAGACTACAATGCGCTAGCGTGAATCGATCAAACGTCCTTTTAATTTCTAAGGCTTACTTTCCGGCAAATAAAATGAACTGAATGTAAAAAGGGAAAGAGAAATAGCGAAAAATTCAACTTCTAATTAAATCCTTTCTTATGGTTTAGAATAAACTATTCTCGAAACTGAGAATGTTTTGATCAAAGCTGTGTAAATCGAGCTGAAACTGTGCATGGAACCTGCGTTTCCTGTATTTATCTCACCTATTGTATGGAATATGTGTGGAAATCTTCATTATGAATCGGTATATTTCAAAGAGCTGCACAACCAGCAAGAATACTATTGACCGACAATATACAAAACGGGGGCAGCTGTAGTGTCAACTATTACTAGTGTTTTATTTTTTGTTTAATGGTTTTATAACGATGTGTAATCTTCTTCGTTTGATACGTGCGGCATTTTGAGTACTCCTGCAAGCGATGTTCATGAGCGACTGGATACAAACGGCACAGCGATTAAAATTGCAAAAGAGACCACTAACAATCAATAAAAGGAAAATAATTCGGTGAAACATATACAGAGACAACAATTGTCATTCACGAAGACAAGTATTAAAGTGTCTCTGAAAATCCTTGTTTATGTTTTAAGCCGGCTTCCCAGTGTTTGCTTTTTTCAAAGATGAACTCGAGGCAAGAAAATTCCTCAAAGCTTTCTTTTACAGCCAGAATTATAGCTAAATATTCTATGGAACGTTTTCTTTCCGTTTGCGGTGAGAAAATGTCTAAAGGCTTTTTAAGTTCTATAAGCTTATAATCAAACCTGATACTCGGTCAGATCATTGTCTCAAATCTAACAAACGTGCATAAACTAAATAGCCGCATAAACTAATACCGACTTCATGAAATTAGATATAAAAAACAAACACCAAATACAATAATTACTCCGGCTTACCATTCGAGATGCACTGAAATCTATCAAGTAAGGCCAGAATCGCTTCAGACTTTTCAACCCTCTTACGCATCAAGCAAAGTGAAAACGATGCCATCTGAAATCGGATTTCCGACTTTGACAAGCGACGTATTTTTCAACCAAAAACCCAATAAACAAACTAGCCATGAATAACAGAAGACTCCTGATAGCAGCTGAATTTCATTTTGTACATCCAGTGGAAAAAGACAGTTAAAAACATCACAAGCTGACACAAAACTCTGTCTTCAGCTGTAAAAGTAAACAAGACGCTGTGTGAGCGTATATTTGGGCGTGGTCGTACTAAGGGTATGATACTTTGAACATGCCTTATTGCAGCTAAAGAACTGTCATCATATCTTACCAGAGAAGGCAAATCTTTTACTCCACTTGTTTGCTGAAGCATACAGCTTATACAGTATGTCCCAATCCACAACAAAAATAGTGTCATTTCACGACAATGTTTGAAAATATGCACATCTTCAATGCAGACATGCTTGGAGCCAAATTGCAACATAGGACATACGTGGTTACAGCCCGGAGAGTAAGGTTTATCTCAGCTCCACTGATACTGACAGATGTGTGTTCACACCCATAACTTTGTACAGTGTATTGCGGTTACTAACAAGGGCAAATACAGTTCCTTAAGTCCAGTATCCACAAGGATTAATAAGAGAGTAACACATTGCATAAACTGCTATAGGGCAGCGCTGTTTACAGGAACATTGGTAACTATTAACATTTGATATACTACAATTTTCAACATTGCTTGAGAAAAGATGAGATTCAAAGGTGGAAAATGTACACCTTTAAGTTCATATATATCCTCATTCCTATGAAGAGTCTGAAAATATTGTACTAATTTATGCATGGATGGTATTTCCAACAATACACATGTCCCTTCACTATGACTGTTATGATACATATCTCTAGCATGAGAATCAAATACACTATATACCCCAGCCTCAGTGCTGTAGATACCAACACCAATAATTGCCACCGTTAAAATGAATGACTTGTAGTTCAGTGCCAAGAGTGTTTGAAATGCTGTAACCTGTGAGTGGCATATACAGTAGTGATGGATGTTACAAGTATAACTGTCACTGTATTCAAGGTGGAAAAATTGCTCAAACACTGTAACCATTCCTGGCAATTCTGTTAACATTGACATAGATTGTCTTGCAAGCAGTGACAGACAAGAATATATTTGAATACCAACAATCATTATTTGAGTCATATAATCAACTGAAGTCATCTTTGTTATCTTACTGTAAATTAGAGCGCACAGACTCATTGCGACACATCGTTGTCCACCATTTTCCCCAAATCCTGTAACATTTTCTTGACAGTATGGAACATTAATTGTAGCATCTACATAAACTGAAGGTCCTGGATTTTAACCCGGTGATTCAGACTGTTTTAAGCACTATAAAATGGATAATTACATGTACAGAGGGGCAAATTCTTACTTAGAAGCCTATTTGGATATCTCATTCCACCTAAATCGCCTGTGTTCTGCTGCTTGGACGACAGATACACCTTCCCTCGTTTACGAACTAGTTTTGTAGTTGTCCCTTAAGTAAAAACCTCACACTGTTACTGTTACTTCTGTACCTGTTTAAGTGTAAACCTTCTCTACGTTTAACGTAACAATGAATTTCAGACTACAATGGTGTATTTTTCCGAATACTCTTCCATACAAAAAGTGTCACTTTCCGTGTTTTCTGTAACAAATATTTTAATTTGTTCATTGGTAGTCTGCAAGGGGCATGACGGTAACCGGTCATTTTGTTCCATGGTCAGATCGTTGACATCGTTCCAAGTTCCATAAAATAGTCAGTTCGTTCCACATATGAAAAGTCAAGTAAATCATTCTAAATCTGTTGAGCGAACTTTATCGAGAAGAAAAAGGTTTCGTTCATACCACAAGCTGATAAAATAATAATCGATCCAAAGTCGGTTCGATCCATCCTAAATCGTTTGAAAACAAACAAGAGACGATTTCAACCAGCCACGGGCTTTAACATTTAAAACGCTGCTTTGAGAGTTTTGAGCTAGAATCGATAGTTTTGAGAGATATAGCACAACAAGTAAAAGCTATGCGTCTCTGAGGGTACGGTATTTCGAAGTGCTTGTAACCTAAATATTTCTTTGCAGCGGCCGATTTATGCAAATTTTGAAAACAACGCGAGTTTCGAATTACAATCTCGATTTTATGGTAATTTGTCATGCCGAAAATATAATGGACTAACCTGGTTTAAACCAATGAAATTGTAAGTTCTGTTATAAATAAATTTCCCACGACGAGATCTCAATTCAACTTCTTTTATTTCCTCCACAACACAATTTTCCTTCTGTACAACTAGCTCATTACCTTCTCTTGTCGTCACCTTGCTGCCATCAAAACACTAACACAAAACTTGCTGATAATGCAAAATCCCGACGTACAGCATCGTATGAAAAACACAACACGCAATACAAAAACAAGTACATCAACCGTCAACCTGCTAAACAAAACTGAAATAATAAAAAGAATTGTTGCAGTTATCACAGTAGTTCCAAAAGAAGCCTCAGTCCCTTTTGGTTTCAATTGTTGACAATCGTCTCTTCCTTTATCGGAACAAATTTTTATCACGGGCAACTCATTGTGCTCCGTAATGCAAAAATCAAAATCACTTTTGTCATAGTGATAACCAGCTACACAAACCTTGCGACTCTCAAACTTGTTAAACATTCCTCTGTTAAAACTCTTATCCATTTTACACGTACACTCCTGACATTCCGATTTGTTATTACGTCTACGGGGTCCATGAGTCTTTCATGTCATTGAATGTCTTGATAATTTCCTTTGTTTTTCTTTGAGTTCGCGGACCAGCCCATTCCGAAAACACTCAGTGTTATTTTTTTAGTGTGGGCCTACCGCGAACAGTGTGTGCATTTGTAAGTTTAACCCGGGATAACATGATTGACCAATATATTAACACGTTCCCCGAAACGCCGCGGCCAAATGTTATCCAAACTGCTTCTCACTGCTGCTTCGAAATATTTCGTATCAAACGATACCCAAATCGTCCCTCCACTCGACCTAACAAAATCGACCAATCACAAAAAATGGACATAAAATAAAGAAAACAGCAAATTCAGATGACCTCTTAGGAAACATGCAATTGAAACTGTCTTTCTATGATCGGTGCATTTCGATCCTCTCGTCAAAAAAATGTCAGACGTCAATCATCTTCGCGGACCTCTTAGGAAACGAAAGTTTTCTTCAACGGGTTCAAAAGGTCATTGTTTATGATTTGTGATTGGTGGATTTCGATCCGTTTTTTGTGTTTCTGTGTTTCAAGGTTCGTTGCTTGCGATCTTATTGTCACCAAAAACCCGACGTTAATATTCCAAATATTTTTGATAGATTTCATCCCTGGACTTCAGACTTCCAAATTTCGATGAGGCAAAAATACTGAAGATTCAGATCAACTTTAGAGATCGTAAAAGTGCGATTAAGTGCCTTGTGCAAGCAGAGCTTTCTTTCCCACATGCCTCTTACCTTGTACAAGACGTTCACATGGCAGACATTCGCCTCGCTTCGCTTGTTTACGTTAGCACGTATTGCGTGCCTATTGCACATTTGCGTCAAAACAAGCCGTTTCCATTACTCTATTTGGGCCACGCCCAAATGACAAGTTTCAAGATGCTGCAAAAATTTTCCGCTTGACCTCATCTGCCAAATTTTGACCAATTAGAGCATAAAAATTGGACGTAGAGACCAACGCGTGACCTTGGTGAGAAAAGTCAAAAGCAACTGACATGTCTTACTTGCCTGTGAAAACTGGCTGAATTTTAGCTTCCGAGGTCAGTTTGAAATCAAAATTTTAATTATGCAGCACATATTAAACACAAAATATTTCATATGAATTAAAAAAAATTAAACTTGAGCCTGCGATCATTTGAAAACTAGTAACTTGTCAGCGGATAACTTCAAAAAGATACTCGACCTCGATGGGTCGACACCTGAGCCCACGATATGGTCAGGTGATACTGGTCAGCGGATATCTTGTTTTGACATCTGTCAATTGATCACAACATTGATGTACAATGTGTGTGCAATATCAGTCTTCCTGTGCTCCCAAACTAGCTAGAGAGTGTGAGATTGAACATTGGTTATCCTGTGGTGCGGACGGACCGGCGGGCGGACGGGCGGGCGGTGTACGGTCACGTGATTACCAAATTTTCTGGGATGGGTAGATTTACTTACCCATGGTGCTCCGCAGGCGCGCTTCGCGCGTCAGAGCTCTGCTACCATACGTCGATTTTGAAAAGTCAAGCGATCCTGAAATGCTTAACAGATCATCTCAGGGGCACCCAACGAGGATATAGTTCAAAACCACTTTACATAGCATGGTTGAACGTATTTTAGCAGCCTCCTCCTCAGGCGCTTCGTTTTTCGCATGGCAGAGGCGAGCGCGAAACGAGTGACTGGTGATGAACCGCAAGGGACCATGGGAAGGGTACAGACGTCAGGCGAAGCCTGTTGTCTCCTTCCCGGCCTTCCTTTGCGAGCACATTTTCATCAAAAGAGAGACGTCCGGGTACGAGGCAGTGAAAGTCTAGTGATCCGAAAATTATAGGGATAAAAACTTACCTTCTCGAAAATTTCCGCCAGGAAAAGGCTCCCGAAAATTCTAGATGGCCTTTTTTAGGGTCAAAATCCGTTAAAAATAGGTAATTATTCTATTTTGTAGATGTTCGAAAATCCTAGCAGAGGCAGGCAAGCAAGAAATTTTACAACAAATGTTCCGAACATTCTAGATCTCAAATCGTCTTTCGAACAGATATTTTCCCAAAATTGCCGTTGGGTGCTCCTGAGATCTCACGTCTAGTGTTTGGTTTACGCTGGGCTCAGACGAGGAAACCATGTTTTGTGACACTTAGAACTTTTTTCAGCGCGACTGCCGGTCAAGGTTTTCAAAACACTAAATGGTCGGCAGTTCTATATTCTCAGTAAATTTCACAAAACCGAAAGATTCCAGCTAATCTAAACTATCATATGTGGGCCATTTAGTCTTTCGGTTTTGTGAAATTTACTGAGAATATAGGACTGCCGGTCATTTAGTGTTTGAAAACTTTGACCGGCAGTCGAGCTGAAAAGTGTCACAAAACATGGTTCAGAGTAAACCAAACACTAGACTTGAGATCTGTAAAGCATTTCAGGATCACTTGACTTTTCTAAATCGACATATGATCAAGATTATCAAGCCGGTAAACCCATAGAAAGTGTGGTCTATTGCTTAAATATATTATTTTGGGGGGGGGGGCGATCATTTATTATTTTCGGTTGGTTGAGGATTTCCCTCGGGTTTGTTTTGCCTCAGACATTAGTTCACTTCAAAAACTGATCTTTTTTTTCACTGTATTACTGTCATTTCGTGGACTTGTTCGTTGATGCTCTCCGAGGCTAAAATTCCTTTTCATATTTCGCTGCTTGAACGCAAGTCTGTGAAACTGGTTTAGATCGGGAGCCAACGAATTCAAATTCGTTCGTGAATTTTCTACATCTCTTTTATTGACGTGGGGTGGTGTGTTAAAATCTTAAGCACAGCCCTGAAATCGAACACAACTTTATTTGGAATACATTTTACAGGCTAGCTTGTATCTGCGTTGCATTTCATTCTCATCGCTCTTTTTGTAATGATTCATAAGGGACCGGTCATTATTTATCGCCTGGGGGGGGTCGGAGGATTTTGGGCTAAACACGATGAAATTTAGCCGATCCCCCCTTCAAATGTTATTTTATTGAAGTGATCCCCCCTCATAACTATATATAACTTTCGTGATCCCCCCCCATGTCTTTGTACCCATATTCACCTTTCGACGTGTATATTTAGTGTTTTAAACGTTCATATACAGGTAGTATTTCTAACTATGACGTACTTACAGCATAATAAAGCCGTTATCGCGTAGTCTTTTTTTAAAAGTGTCTCTTGATCCGTGTCTTTTCCTAGTCTGGATCCAGACATCTGAATTCAGTTGACATACAAGCAATCTTGCTTAAAACTGCAAGTGCTTGAAACTGCAACAGTGCTTGAAACTGCAAAGTTACTTTTTTTAGAGTGCCAAATAGCAGTCCGCCAAGTCCCTATCAGCAGGTCATATTTAGCGACAATTTTCAGAGGACCACACTCTAAAGTCATTTGCAGGCGATGAGTTGGCCTATTTAGAAGAAGCACATAGGCGAATCACTACACTGCACGAGGAACTTCAGTCCGCATCCAACAAGTTGACAACAGCGCATATTATTAAACCTGTCAAAGAAGTTTCCTTTGTGCGCGAGAAAATCAACAATGTCAAGAAGAAAGAAGGAAAATAAGAGGAAGGTCCGAAAAACCAAGGACAAGCGACTCAAGCAGAGGGCACGTCATCTCTTAGGAAACTTGACCTCAATCGAGGTCGCGGGGCAAATTTTCGGTTCAATCGAAGAGAATGATAGAGTTACTCCTGTAGATAGCATCAATGCTGACTTTGCTAAGAAACTAACAAGGCGTTTGCATCTAGACCCTTTGCTATGGCTACTAGAAAAGGGTATTTTTAGCACGACCCTAGCAAAAAATCTAGAGCAAGTAGCGGCCATTTTAAGGGCACAAAGTCCAGGGTCAACCTGCCGAAGGGGACTAAATGTTGCTGTTGAATCGGATGACGAGGCTCAAGAGGCAAATGAAGTTGTTGAATGGGATGATGAGGCTCAAGATGAGGCAGATGAAGCAGTTGAATCGAATTTAGTATAGAGCTGACACAGGACGCCCATTCCTGGAGAGGCGATAAATGGTTTATGTTTAAACAAACACGCTTTTTACAATGTTTCAGTTATCAGAAGTTTATATAGTTCACAATTTAGAATTCACCTGTCATGTTTAAAGATGAATATTAGCTAAGTCATGAGCGCGTTATAAAAGGAAAAATATAAAAGCGTTAAAACAGAGCTTTCTCGATATAAATTGAAATGCACACATTCGCCAGTGTGACAGACTTCCGTTTTTTAAATAAAGTTGTGTTAGAACAAATTGAGATTGCAAATGCTATCATCTCCCAGCAGAATGGGCACATTTATGTTGTATGCTTTCAAACTGGCATTGTTCAAGCAGATTTGAGTGGTCCCCCCTCTGAATCCTTCCAAAATTTTCAGTGATCCCCCCTTTTGGGCTCTCAGTTACGACTGACCCCCCCCTCTGTTCTCCTAAAAATCAAGTGATCCCCCCCAAAATCCTCCGACCCCCCCCAGGTGATAAATAATGACCGGTCCCTAAGCCTTGTTCACACTAGCAACGCCTGCGACGTAGTCTTAATCGCAATAGTAATCGTAAACAAAACAGTGTTAATAAATCCGATTCTACTGAGTTGTGAATAAATCCGATCTACTGTAATCAGATTGTTGGAAGTGCTTGTTTATTGTTTACTTCGCCGTTTCGGAAATTTTAATGCGACCAGGGATGATCAAAGTAAGTAAATATGATAATATTTATAGTATATCAAAAGAGAAATGACAAGTGCTAATTCATCAGATTTAAGAATCTAAGAATTCTTTGAGCAGCTTACGTTTTAAAACCTTCTTCTTCTGAGTTAGAAATTAGATTCTAAGGAATTCCAAATGCTGACAGTTCGATGATGAAAAGTTCTTTGACCAGAGGCGGTTTTATAAGTGGGATATTCAATAAATGGGAATTCCTGGTAGGGTAATTGCTAACGTTAGTCGGGGAATGCACATGCAATCTGGCCAATCCCCTCCCCTGTACTCTGTGAAGGGAGGGGAGAGACGGCAAGGGTTGAAGTTCGGGAATGCCCTCAGGAATTTCCTCTTTTAAAGCAAATGATCAAAGATTAGGCCAACTTGAGAGCGTGCCGTGAGTTCAGTCGGAGTGAGCTAGTGTTTCTTTATGGACAGGGAACATTATCTTAGAGAAGGTCTCTGCTTCCTGGAGATTAGATCTCGTTATTTTTCATTCTCAATATAATTTGGGTTTTAATGAAACTTGGAGGCGACGTTTTTTGCCTTGCAGACCTAATGCATTGTTAACCCGGCAACATGACGACACTTCGGGTTTTCGTGAAAACTTGTTCGGAAGCAACTGGTTGGCTGGAGTTAGGTCGTGGGGGTTCTGTTACAGCTCATATCCCCGTGAGGAACCACGAAAATTTGATAAGGATTCAAAAGAAATTTGCTGGATGGAAGGTTGAACTGTCCCGCGCACATCCGGGATTTGGGAAACCGTACTTAGTGCTACTGACAAATGAAAACAAGGTTTGTAGAAATTGCGTCAGTCATTGTACTCTTGTAGATGTAATAAATTTTCACGAATAGCAAGTTTTACTGGTTCGTATCTCTGTTCCACATGCAAGAATTATGAAACATTTTTCCTCGAAAAATTAATTCCGTTTTTGAAGGAGATTTTTGAAATACCAATGGAAACGAATTTGCGTATTGCGTGTGCTGAAAAAGGAAAATGTGCGTTTCGGAACTCTAATCAGCGTCGTTTTTTCGGAGAGGGAAATTCACGTTTCTATGAAAACTCAAATGTCAGGGCCCTGCTTAGGGCCCTTTAGTCAACTGAAAATTCTGTTACTGGATTGTTTACGTCTATTAGTATTTCCTTGTCGGCTGGGGCTGGTAATGTCAGACAAAAAAATGGTCCTTGAATTTTCTCATGCCTCCTCATAGTCAAAATATGAATCGCCTGGCTTCGACTCGAATTAATGTTGGTTGTTTTTGTCCTTTTTGTAGGGTGATGTGATCAAGTTATCGATTGTACCTCAGCAAGACTTCGTGAGGACATTTCTGAATCACTGCAAGTTCAAGAGTGTCCAGCATTTTACACTCGTCGGACCAAACATAACTACTTGCAGATCACAGATTGATAAAACAACCAGTGGAATGAAACTTGAGTTAGAATCATACGGCACGTTAAGAATGTCTTCACGTCCTCTTCAGATCAAAGAGGTTTCTGCGAGAGTTATACCCAGAGAAGGTAAGGAATATTGTTTTGAAGTGATGTAAGTTAAATGCACTACCCTGTTAGTTGACTTAACACTTGTCACATAATTAAACGGGTTTTACTGCATGAGAACCAAACCACTGGTGAGCCACCGACGTGACCTGGCTGTCAGAAAACAATCCCCAGTTACTGTTGCTCTTGAGCCAAAATGGATCATCCCAATTGGTTTGTTAGTTCAGGTCTGAAGTTTTCAGGTGTTATGGTTGCTTCTCCTAGAAAATGACTTTCAAAGCACTTTGAGGGGGATAGACAAACTTCCCGTGTTGTACATGATGGGCTCTGGCACCGCCATTGAGCTTAGAACAGTATTGCTCTTCTTCTTGACGAGAGTGTTCTCCCCCCCCTCTCTCTCTTTCTCTCTCCTTCTCTCTCCGCCCCCAATTGGAACCTTGAAACTCGAGAGACGGTAGCTGTGTCAGTCAATTGTTGCCTTTCCTTACTCAATTTTTCTATGACATCCTATCGTTTTCGCGAACGTTTCATATCGTCTTTACACACCAGGTTCAAGTTGATTAAGTTCTCTCCCTACAACGCTAATGAAAGCAAAGACAAAGCTTGTGTTAAATTTGACTGTGTCAAAGAATGGCTTTCCTCCCACCAAAGCCGTACTATTATATTATTTGATACGCGAGGCTAATATTTATCCAAGCTGTTGGATGTTGGAGTTGGACACAACTCAAAAGAAATGAAAGCCATATTTTCTTGCAGTGGTGCCTAGTGATTCCGACGCTAAATATTCTCTTATTATTTTCCAGGATGCAACGATTTTTGTCATATTTACGTAGACACCGGAGCTGTGTTGAGATGCCGCAGCATTGAAGTAGACCTCAACAATCGAGGTGTTGTATTCATTAACGGTACGGTCACCAGTCAATCTTTTGGTGAAGGAAAACGTCTGACCATCAAAATAAACAGTGGGGAACTTCACATTGGAATAGACGGGGTTTTGGGCCAAGAACTCAATGCCATAAGAAATGCCAAAAATGAAAATGAGACAAGGACATTGGAAGTCGTAATTGCCCATGGCAATTTGACAAACTTTGGAACACTATGTGCTCGAAATTATCTGACGTTAACATGCAACAACATCATGTTATGCTCAGATTCGAAACACGACACCGCTCAGCGTGGCTTTAGCAGTTTCATTTCACTACAGAAAGACTTGGGTTTTTTATCAGACATCACCCAACGTCCAAAGACCAGTTCTTCCCTTAATGATTGTCGACTTTTGCAAGCAGTCAAGACGCTTGATTCATCAAACTTCGTATATGTTGTGAATGAAGAAGTGGATCCAGCGGGTATAGTCATCGGGAGAAGCATTGCATCAGAATTTAATGTGATGTGTCGGGAATGGAAAGACGACTTCGAAAAAGAAAAGAGTGAAAAAGAAGTTATACGTGGGGGACTAGTGACGTGCAAGTGGAGACATGGCGTCATTCGATCATCCTCTATCTCCTGCATTGTAAAGGAAGACATCCATGACTGTTCACAGCTGCAAGGGAAGAAAATCCATTTTAATGTTGGTGGATCTATAACGGTTGTCAAGCCATGGACATGGCAATGCGGAAATGTAAGTGGCCTTGTCAGAGGCGATTTCTTGTTTTTCGACAACGCAATCTTGGAAAGGTTCGACCAATTGTACGTCCTTAGAAACGTCAGAATCTTTGAGACATCCATCGTTTCGACTAGAACGGGTGGAAAATTACACACTGGTGAAGTCTTTGAGAACAAGAGCTTAATTGTCAGTGACCGTGATCTTGCTTTGGACCTCGGCCAGTTAAAGCAAGGCAGAGAAGCGAACATGATCAGCAAAGGCGATCTTCTATTGGTCTTTCGAGATGGTGTTGAAAATAGCTGGTTTGGCCATGTTGTTGTGCTACAACATTTCTTCATTCAGCTAGGGAAAAAAGTTTCCTGTGATGCTTTTTGCATTGCCAAAGAATGCGATGTCGAATTTTTTGAAAGAGATGCTCAGCTGCTTGTCAATCAAGATTTCGGCGTGGAAGAGGGAAGTTTGAATCTAAAGGCCATTGATGTAAGCCAGGTTACCAACTTCATCGTGCTGGGTGAATTGCATGCTGAAGGAATTAATGGTAAAACGGCCTCTGTTTGCACACGATCTGGTGCAGTTGTTGACCTCAATTGTTCCCCGAAATACAGACCAAACCAAGGTATGATAAACGTCATTACAAGATGTCTGGAAATCAGCGCTGACTCCGTCATGTCATGTAATGGTCCTCAAGACAAAGAGGACAAAGGCATCTTTGGCGACTCAAACATTGTAAACAATGTCTTCTCTGAAGACGTCATCTCGGTGAATGGCAACCTGACAGCGTTCGGAACACTTTTGAACATTCAGTCCAAGGCTTTCAACAACAGTGGTGTGGTAAAACTGTCACCTGCCAGCACCAATAACAGCTCAGAAGCAAGTTTGCTTAGCATCAATTGCAAGGAAGAAACCGTGAATACGGGAGTTATTGAATGCGATGGGAACATGCATCTAAAATCGGAGAATTTGTCTAATGAAAGAGGAATCCTGAAATCCTCCAACATGGATGTGGCAATCCATTCTAATGATGCAGCAACAATAGGTGGCCGCATTTACGTCGATAAATACTTCATTGTTAACTCGCAATCGCAGAGCGCTCTGTCCTTTTCTGCATTGGGGGGAAAAGATGAATGCAAAGAAGGATTTGTTCTACCAGACCAATTTGAAGTTAGATGTGTTAAAGGTCGATTGCTGATTGACTCCGCCATTGCCAAATCAGAAGGCACCATCGAGCCTGAATGTATTTTCAGACTCTGTAAATGCTTGAAGTTGCGTAAAGAATGTGATCTGGGACAGTTCTTGGTTGAATTCCATGGAAGTGAAGATATCGTCAGTAAGGAATTGAACAAGTCAGTGCTTTCAGTAGAAGATTCTCTTCAAGCTAGCCGTCTCTGGTTCGCAGCTGCGAATATTCCCATGAAAGAACGCCTTTCCATTGAAGGTCCGAACAAGACGACTATCATTCATGAAATCAAAGTTGATGAATCAATTGAGGAGATTGTATTTGACACAATCAATCCCCTTAAATGCTCTCACGCTTCTTTTGATTGTCATCTGGCAGTCATCCAATGCGAAATCGAGTGTGTTGATGTCACAGCGAATTCACTTCATATTCCAGGAAGACTGAGATGTACCCAGCCAGCCACTAGAGAAAAACCATCAACCATCATCGTAGAGGATATAATATCGTTCACTGGCAGCTTGGAATGTGTGGGCTCCGTGGAAGTTAGTGTGAGAAAGTCCTTTGAGCAGGAGAAGGCGGAATCTGGGAGTATAGATATCCTCAAAAGACTAAAGATAGTCACAGAGGAAAACGGTACCGTTTCGCTGAAAGGATTAACTAAAGGGAAATTGGATTCGTTGACTTTGTTGGAAATTGAAGCCCAGAATATTAACATTTCGGGAAGCTTGACGGAAGTGTCAGCTGTGAAAATTGTCGCAGATAAAGGTTTGCATCTTACCAGGGAGAGCAAAATCAATTCATGCAAGTCAGTAGAAATTAAAGGAGAGTGGGTTACAACGGCTGGCTCAATATTAGAATTCAGTCATCTTCACATACAACCATTGGCAGTTCTGAACTCTGGTAAAATAGATTCGGCTCGGGAAACTTGTGATATTACCTTATCTTCTGACCTTGCCTTGGTCAACAGTGGAATTTGCAGGGGCCAGGTAACCTCTCTGGAAGCACCATTCCTGTTAAGCCTTCCAGGCGAAGAGATCGCTGATGTAAACGATGTGACGAGGTGTGAACTGGTTGGGCGAGGCAACATTAAACTGGAAAGTATCACGTGTTTCCTTGGGGGCTCTGCCCTAAAATCGAACAAACAGATCGAAAACAACGCAGTTCTGCTTTTCAAGTTTCTGGTCTACGTAACGTGCATACCCGACGCCAAAAGCGTAGAAGCGTGGTCAAAAGCTGGAGAATGGCTGAAGAATATTCATAAAGAATACGAGGCAAGCAAAGAGAGCCAGTCATCTAAATCATTGAGATCGTTGAGCAGAGGTTCTATGCAAAACGCAGAAATCACCTTACGACTGGGCCAAATGTACAACATGGTGAATAACTTTGTAGCAGAAGTTCTGAAGAACGGCATTGAGTCTTTTGACGTGCAAAAACTGGTTTTTATCATTACAAGCGAGAGCGATAGATACACGACGATAAACATGCTGAAAGAAAAATTATTGGCAATCCCACGAAAGGCAAGAAAGATGCGAGAATTGATAAAGAAACGAGGAATGAACGCTTTGAAATCAATGAAGGAAAGCTTTGGCTTCTCTGAATCAAAGAAGACAAGTAATCAAGAAGATGGTATTCACGAATCTGGCTCTTACTGTTTTGGGGAGGGTGTCACCTTCACAGATTCATTCTATGAAGCACTCTTTGATGAAGTATTCTGCGACAATGGTGCTCAATTTGCTGGAGATGTTGCTGTTGCATCTAAAGAAATTTTTTTGAGCAAAAGGGAAAAGAGAGCTATCGCGATGGTGCTTTGCGCAGATGTTGTGTGCAGCGTGGGTGATATTGCCAGCCGTTCTTTGGACATGAAATCATCCCCAGGAAAGGTTGAGCTTGTTGGAACAGTTGAATCAGACCAAGCAACGATTGAAGCTAAGTCGGGCATTGATCTGGCTTATCATGACAAAAGAGAAGGACGGGCCAAGGCAGATCACAAGTTCAAGAGCATTACGATGAAAACTAACAAAATCAACGAGGTTAATAGTTTCCTGAAAGGCGAAGGAGTGTATGAAGATTTAAAGATCTCTGATCAACTCGGCTTGGTGTTGACGGATCAAGATGTTGTTTTCTCGAGCTGTAACCTTCATCATGGGTACGGGGTCAATCTTAAGGCAAGGTCAGTTAGTATTGAAAATTCTAGCCTGAGATTTGACAAAGGCGCATCCATATCATCAGATCAAACTCTCAATGTCAGGGGCTCATCAGTCAGGTCTCAAAACTCTGCCTTGTTAGAGTCTGTTCAAGGAAAGGTCAACTTGGATTCGTCAAGTCTTGGAGCTGGCGGCGTTGCAGCTGTAGTATCAAGCAAAGGATCAGTTTCGATGGCTGCTAGCTCAGTTTCTGGTGAGAAAGATGCCCTTGTGAAGGCGAAGAAGGACGTAACTATTGATGTCAGAGAAACGAGACACAACACTTCTTCGTCAGATAGAGGTTTTTTTAGCTCCTCAGAAGATGTAACATCGTATTCCACTGTTTCAAAATCGAGTATCTCTTCCTCGTCTGGAAGTGTATCGATTGAATCAGAAGAGGGAAAGATCAGTGCAACAGCCACAGAAATTCAGGGAGCCAAAAACATAGCGATTTCAGCGAAGGAAGATGTTGTTACCCAAGACAAAGTGACTGTTCGAGAAGAAGAGCATGTGAGGAGCAACTTGTTCACAACAAAGAGAACAAGACAAAGAACAGAAGATCAGCATTACTCCTCATTAAATGCTGGTGGATCACTTACTATTTTATCCAGAGATTCTAATGTGGCCATGATCGGGACTAATTGTTCGGTCAGTGGCGACATGAAGCTTCAAACCGCTGGTACTGTCTTATTTAAGGACAGGATACTGTCAAAATCAAAGGAGGGTCAGTCAAGTGGATTTTCATTCTCCTCAGAAAATGGTCTATCGCTTGGGGAAAAATCCGAACGAATGATGCAGCAGCGTTTAGCTAGGCGCACCATGAAAGTTGGTGGCAACTTGTCTATTTCAGCGCAAAACTTTGACGTGAAAAATGCAGTGGGTATGGATGTTGGAAATATGCTTATCGATGCCGAGAACGTTAACTTCGAAGGAGCAGAATTGAATAATTCGTATTCTTGCAATGAATGGTCGGTGGGACGTGGAATTCAGTCACCGGGTACAGTGAATATAACCATGACAAATGCTTGCTCAAAACAGAAGCAAATCGTCAATCAAGGCACCACTGTTCGAGGAAGAACTCATTTTCTCTCGGTGCAAAATGCAAATTTTACTGCATCTAACCTAGAAACTAATGCCATCACTGGGAATATTGAGAATTTCCTTGTCATTTCCAAGCAGAGTGAAATAGAGGCGTTCGAGAAGACAACAAGTGTTGGCTTTCCCATCGGTCCGAGATTTCCTGTTCCCGAAAAGTTCGGTTACAGCGAGAGTTCAGACGGTGGGAAGTTTGTAGAAAAGGCAGGCGGCATCCATTGCCGTGGACCAATAAAAGAAGAAGAGTTCGAAGTCAGTTCTCTAAACCTCAAAGGTTCATCAGTTACGGCTGATGAAGATATTGGAAATTTTGCGAAGAAAATTATCTCGGAAAAAGTTTCCAGCTATCGATCACAGTCCTCTTTCGGATTCTCCTTAGGTGTCAATAAAACAGGAGTAGACTTGGGGCTGAGTACGAGCAAGAAATCAATGGCCATGGAACACCAGGGAACTATTGAATCCTCTTCAGGAACTGTTTCCAAAGAAACAAAGAGGTCCGTTAATACGGACTATGGCAAACATGCAAGGATCACCGATCAGCGCAAGTCGGCATTTGGATTTAATCTTGAAGTAGCGAAAGACGGTGTGGGTGCAGAGCTTCAGGTAAATGATAAAGGATTAAGAGTTTTTACTTCAAAACAAAAAATAGGAGGTCAAAGGCTGTGTCCTTTTGGAATTTCTAAACCAAAATCCAAGCATTGCAAAGCACTTGACCTCACAGCTGGTGATTTGAAGACTAGATTTAAGCCAGAGAAAAACAGCAAGACAGACGAAACGGCGACTTCCGCAACTGTTCAACTCGCAGGTGTTAAACTTGCTGTTTCAATATCGAATCATTCAAAATCGCTCCACTTAGAAGCTGGTGACGTGAAGACTGGATTTAAGCGAGAGAAAAACAGCAAGACAGGCAACACGGCGACTTCCGCAACTGTTCAAGTAGCAGATGTTAAACTTGCTGGTTCAACATCAAAGCATTCAAAATCCCTCCACTTAGAAGCTGGTGACGTAAAGACTGGATTTAAGCGAGAGAAAAACAGCGAGACAGGCGAAACAGCGAATTGCGCAACTGTTCAAGTCGCAGATGTTAAACTTGCTGGTTCAACATCGAAGCATTCAAAATCGCTCGACTTAGAAGCTGGTGACGTGAAGACTGGATTTAAGCAAGAGAAAAAAAGCGAGACAGGCGAAACGGCGACTTCCGCAACTGTTCAAGTCGCAGATGTTAAACTTGCTGGTTCAACATCGAAGCATTCAAAATCGCTCGACGTAGAAGCTGGTGACGTGAAGACTGGATTTAAGCGAGAGAAAAACAGCGAGACAGGCGAAACGACGACTTCCGCAACTGTTCAAATCGCAGATGTTAAACTTGCTGGTTCAACATCGAAGCATTCAAACTCGCTCGACTTTGCAGCTGGTGACGTGAAGACTGGATTTAAGCGAGAGAAAAACAGCGAGAAAGGCGAAACGACGACTTCTGCGACTGTTCAAGTCGCAGATGTTAAACTTGCTGGTTCAACATCGAAGCATTCAAAATCGCTCGACTTTGCAGCTGGTGATGTGAAGACTGGATTTAAGCGAAAGAAAAACAGCGAGACAGGCGAAACGGCGACTTCCGCAACTGTTCAAGTCGCAGATGTTAAACTTGCTGGTTCAACATCGGAGAATTCAAAATCGCTCCACTTAGAAGCTGGTGACGTGAAGACTGGATTTAAGCGAGAGAAAAACAGAGAGACAGGCGAAACGACGACTTCTGCAACTATTCAAGTCGCAGATATTAAACTTGCTGGTTCAACATCGAAGCATTCAAAATCGCTCCACTTAGAAGCTGGTGACGTGAAGACTGGATTTAAGCGAGAGAGAAACAGTAAGACAGGCGAAACGGCGACTTCCGCAACTGTTCAAGTCGCAGATGTTAAACTTGCTGGTTCAACATCGAAACATTCAAAATCCCTCGACTTAGAAACTGGTGACGTGAAGACTGGATTTAAGCGAGAGAAAAACAGCGAAACAGGCGAAACGACGACTTCCGCAACTGTTCAAGTCGCAGATGTTAAACTTGCTGGTTCAACATCGAAGCATTCAAAATCGCTCGACGTAGAAGCTGGTGACGTGAAGACTGGATTTAAGCGAGAGAAAAACAGGGACACAGGCGAAACGACGACTTCTGCAACTGTTCAAGTCGCAGATGTTAAACTTGCTGGTTCAACATCGAAGCATTCAAAATCGCTCGACTTTGCAGCTGGTGATGTGAACACTGGATTTAAGCGAGAGAAAAACAGCGAGACAGGCGAAACGGCGACTTCCGCAACTGTTCAAATCGCAGATGTTAAACTTGCTGGTTCAACATCGGAGAATTCAAAATCGCTTTACTTAGAAGCTGGTGACGTGAAGACTGGATTTAAGCGAGAGAAAAACAGCGAGACAGGCGAAACGACGACTTCTGCAACTGTTCAAGTCGCAGATGTTAAACTTGCTGGTTCAACATCGAAGCATTCAAAATCGCTCGACGTAGAAGCTGGTGACGTGAAGACTGGATTTAAGCGAGAGAGAAACAGTGAGACAGGCGAAACGGCGACTTCCGCAACTGTTCAAGTCGCAGATGTTAAACTTGCTGGTTCAACATCGAAACATTCAAAATCCCTCCACTTAGAAGCTGGTGACGTTAAGACTGGATTTAAGCGAGAGAAAAACAGCGAGACAGGCGAAACGACGACTTCCGCAACTGTTCAAGTCGTAGATGTTAAACTTGCTGGTTCAACATCGAAGCAATCAAACTCGCTCGACTTTGCAGCTGGTGACGTGAAGACTGGATTTAAGCGAGAGAAAAACAGCGAGACAGGCGAAACGGCGACTTCCGCAACTGTTCAAGTCGCAGATGTTAAACTTGCTGGTTCAACATCGAAGCATTCAAAATCGCTCCACTTAGAGGCTGGTGACGTGAAGACTGGATTTAAGCGAGAGAGAAACAGTAAGACAGGCGAAACGGCGACTTCCGCAACTGTTCAAGTCGCAGATGTTAAACTTGCTGGTTCAACATCGAAAGATTCAAAATCCCTCGACTTAGAAACTGGTGACGTGAAGACTGGATTTAAGCGAGAGAAAAACAGCGAAACAGGCGAAACGACGACTTCCGCAACTGTTCAAGTCGCAGATGTTAAACTTGCTGGTTCAACATCGAAGCATTCAAAATCGCTCGACGTAGAAGCTGGTGACGTGAAGACTGGATTTAAGCGAGAGAAAAACAGGGACACAGGCGAAACGACGACTTCTGCAACTGTTCAAGTCGCAGATGTTAAACTTGCTGGTTCAACATCGAAGCATTCAAAATCGCTCGACTTTGCAGCTGGTGATGTGAACACTGGATTTAAGCGAGAGAAAAACAGCGAGACAGGCGAAACGGCGACTTCCGCAACTGTTCAAATCACAGATGTTAAACTTGCAGGTTCAACATCGGAGAATTCAAAATCGCTTCACTTAGAAGCTGGTGACGTGAAGACTGGATTTAAGCGAGAGAAAAACAGCGAGACAGGCGAAACGACGACTTCTACAACTGTTCAAGTCGCAGATGTTAAACTTGCTGGTTCAACATCGAAGCATTCAAAATCGCTCGACTTAGAAGCTGGTGACGTGAAGACTGGATTTAAGCGAGAGAGAAACAGTGAGACAGGCGAAACGGCGACTTCCGCAACTGTTCAAGTCGTAGATGTTAAACTTGCTGGTTCAACATCGAAGCATTCAAAATCCCTCCACTTAGAAGCTGGTGACGTGAAGACTGGATTTAAGCGAGAGAAAAACAGCGAGACAGGCGAAACGGCGACTTCCGCAACTGTGCAAGTCGCAGATGTTAAACTTGCTGGTTCAACATCGAAACATTCAAAATCCCTCGACTTAGAAGCTGGTGACGTGAAGACTGGATTTAAGCGAGAGGAAAACAGCGAGACAGGCGAAACGGCGACTTCCGCAACTGTTCAAGTCGCAGATGTTAAAGTTGCTGGTTCAACATCGAAGCATTCAAACTCGCTCGACTTTGCAGCTGGTGACGTAAAGACTGGATTTAAGCGAGAGAAAAACAGCGAGACAGGCGAAACGACGACTTCCGCAACTGTTCAAGTCGTAGATGTTAAACTTGCTGGTTCAACATCGAAGCATTCAAACTCGCTCGACTTTGCAGCTGGTGACGTAAAGACTGGATTTAAGCGAGAGAAAAACAGCGAGACAGGCGAAACGGCGACTTCCGGAACTGTTCAAATCGCAGATGTTAAACTTGCTGGTTCAACATCGAAGCATTCAAAATCGCTCCACTTAGAGGCTGGTGACGTGAAGACTGGATTTAAGCGAGAGAAAAACAGCGAGACAGGCGAAACGACGACTTCCGCAACTGTTCAAGTCGCAGATGTTAAACTTGCTGGTTCAACATCGAAGCATTCAAAATCGCTCGACTTAGAAGCTGGTGACGTGAAGACTGGATTTAAGCGAGAGAGAAACAGTGAGACAGGCGAAACGGCGACTTCCGCAACTGTTCAAGTCGCAGATGTTAAACTTGCTGGTTCAACATCGAAGCATTCAAAATCGCTCCACTTAGAAGCTGGTGACGTGAAGACTGGATTTAAGCGAGAGAAAAACAGGGAGACAGGCGAAACGACGACTTCCGCAACTGTTCAAGTCGCAGATGTTAAACTTGCTGGTTCAACATCGAAACATTCAAAATCCCTCCACTTAGAAGCTGGTGACGTTAAGACTGGATTTAAGCGAGAGAAAAACAGCGAGACAGGCGAAACTACGACTTCCGCAACTGTTCAAGTCGTAGATGTTAAACTTGCTGGTTCAACATCGAAACATTCAAACTCGCTCGACTTTGCAGCTGGTGACGTGAAGACTGGATTTAAGCGAGAGAAAAACAGCGAGACAGGCGAAACGGCGACTTCCGCAACTGTTCAAATCGCAGATGTTAAACTTGCTGGTTCAACATCGAAGGATTCAAAATCGCTCCACTTAGAGGCTGGTGACGTGAGGACTGGATTTAAGCGAGAGAGAAACAGTAAGAAAGGCGAAACGGCGACTTCCGCAACTGTTCAAGTCGCAGATGTTAAACTTGCTGGTTCAACATCGAAACATTCAAAATCCCTGGACTTAGAAACTGGTGACGTGAAGACTGGATTTAAGCGAGAGAAAAACAGCGAAACAGGGGAAACGACGACTTCCGCAACTGTTCAAGTCGCAGATGTTAAACTTGCTGGTTCAACATCGAAGCATTCAAACTCGCTCGACTTTGCAGCTGGTGACGTGAAGACTGGATTTAAGCGAGAGAAAAACAGCGAGACAGGCGAAACGGCGACTTGCGCAACTGTTCAAGTCGCAGATGTTAAACTTGCTGGTTCAACATCGAAGCATTCAAAATTGCTCGACTTAGAAGCTGGTGACCTGAAGACTGGATTTAAGCGAGAGAAAAACAGCGAGACAGGCGAAACGATGACTTCTGCAACTGTTCAAGTCGCAGATGTTAAACTTGCTGGTTCAACATCGAAGCATTCAAAATTGCTCGACTTAGAAGCTGGTGACGTGAAGACTGGATTTAAGCGAGAGAGAACCAGTGAGACAGGCAGATGTTAAACTTGCTGGCGACTTCCGCAACTGTTAAGCGAGAGAAAAACAGCGAGACAGTCGAAACGACGACTTCGCAGATGTTAAACTTGCTGGTTCAACATCGAAGCATTCAAAATCCCTCGACTTAGAAGCTGGTGACGTGAAGACTGGATTTAAGCGAGAGAAAAACAGCGAGACAGGCGAAACGACGACTTCCGCAACTGTTCAAGTCGTAGATGTTAAACTTGCTGGTTCAACATCGAAGCATTCAAACTCGCTCGACTTTGCAGCTGGTGACGTGAAGACTGGATTTAAGCGAGAGAAAAACAGCGAGACAGTCGAAACGACGACTTGCGCAACTGTTCAAGTCGCAGATGTTAAACTTGCTGGTTCAACATCGAAACATTCAAAATCCCTCGACTTAGAAACTGGTGACGTGAAGACTGGATTTAAGCGAGAGAAAAACAGCGAAACAGGCGAAACGACGACTTCCGCAACTGTTCAAGTCGCAGATGTTAAACTTGCTGGTTCAACATCGAAGCATTCAAAATCGCTCGACGTAGAAGCTGGTGACGTGAAGACTGGATTTAAGCGAGAGAAAAACAGGGACACAAGCGAAACGACGAGTTCTGCAACTGTTCAAGTCGCAGATGTTAAACTTGCTGGTTCAACATCGAAGCATTCAAAATCGCTCGACTTTGCAGCTGGTGATGAGAAGACTGGATTTAAGCGAGAGAAAAACAGCGAGACAGGCGAAACGGCGACTTCCGCAACTGTTCAAATCGCAGATGTTAAACTTGCTGTTTCAACATCGGAGAATTCAAAATCGCTTCACTTAGAAGCTGGTGACGTGAAGACTGGATTTAAGCGAGAGAAAAACAGCGAGACAGGCGAAACGACGACTTCTGCAACTGTTTAAGTCGCAGATGTTAAACTTGCTGGTTCAACATCGAAGCATTCAAAATCGCTCGACTTAGAAGCTGGTGACGTGAAGACTGGATTTAAGCGAGAGAGAAACAGTGAGACAGGCGAAACGGCGACTTTCGCAACTGTTCAAGTCGCAGATGTTAAACTTGCTGGTTCAACATCGAAGCATTCAAACTCGCTCGACTTAGAAGCTGGTGACGTGAAGACTGGATTTAAGCGAGAGAAAAACAGCGAGACAGGCGAAACGGCGACTTCCGCAACTGTGCAAGTCGCAGATGTTAAACTTGCTGGTTCAACATCGAAACATTCAAAATCCCTCGACTTAGAAGCTGGTGACGTGAAGACTGGATTTAAGCGAGAGGAAAACAGCGAGACAGGCGAAACGGCGACTTCCGCAACTGTTCAAGTCGCAGATGTTAAACTTGCTGGTTCAACATCGAAGCATTCAAACTCGCTCGACTTTGCAGCTGGTGACGTAAAGACTGGATTTAAGCGAGAGAAAAATAGCGAGACAGGCGAAACGGCGACTTCCGCAACTGTTCAAGTCGCAGATGTTAAACTTGCTGGTTCAACATCGAAGCATTCAAAATCGCTCCACTTAGAGGCTGGTGACGTGAAGACTGGATTTAAGCGAGAGAAAAACAGCGAGACAGGGGAAACGACGACTTCTGCAACTGTTCAAGTCGCAGATGTTAAACTTGCTGGTTCAACATCGAAGCATTCAAAATCGCTCGACTTAGAAGCTGGTGACGTGAAGACTGGATTTAAGCGAGAGAGAAACAGGGAGACAGGCGAAACGGCGACTTCCGCAACTGTTCAAGTCGCAGATGTTAAACTTGCTGGTTCAACATCGAAACATTCAAAATCCCTCCACTTAGAAGCTGGTGACGTTAAGACTGGATTTAAGCGAGAGAAAAACAGCGAGACAGGCGAAACGACGACTTCCGCAACTGTTCAAGTCGTAGATGTTAAACTTGCTGGTTCAACATCGAAACATTCAAACTCGCTCGACTTTGCAGCTGGTGAGGTGAAGACTGGATTTAAGCGAGAGAAAAACAGCGAGACAGGCGAAACGGCGACTTCCGCAACTGTTCAAATCGCAGATGTTAAACTTGCTGGTTCAACATCGAAGGATTCAAAATCGCTCCACTTAGAGGCTGGTGACGTGAAGACTGGATTTAAGCGAGAGAGAAACAGTAAGACAGGCGAAACGGCGACTTCCGCAACTGTTCAAGTCGCAGATGTTAAACTTGCTGGTTCAACATCGAAAGATTCAAAATCGCTCGACTTTGCAGCTGGTGACGTGAAGACTGGATTTAAGCGAGAGAAAAAAGGCGAAACAGGGGAAACGACGACTTCCGCAACTGTTCAAGTCGCAGATGTTAAACTTGCTGGTTCAACATCGAAGCATTCAAAATCGCTCGACTTTGCAGCTGGTGACGTGAAGACTGGATTTAAGCGAGAGAAAAACAGCGAGACAGGCGAAACGGCGACTTCCGCAACTGTTCAAGTCGCAGATGTTAAACTTGCTGGTTCAACATCGAAGCATTCAAAATTGCTCGACTTAGAAGCTGGTGACCTGAAGACTGGATTTAAGCGAGAGAAAAACAGCGAGACAGGCGAAACGATGACTTCTGCAACTGTTCAAGTCGCAGATGTTAAACTTGCTGGTTCAACATCGAAGCATTCAAAATTGCTCGACTTAGAAGCTGGTGACGTGAAGACTGGATTTAAGCGAGAGAGAACCAGTGAGACAGGCGAAACGGCGACTTCCGCAACTGTTCAAGTCGCAGATGTTAAACTTGCTGGTTCAACATCGAAACATTCAAAATCCCTCCACTTAGAAGCTGGTGACGTGAAGACTGGATTTAAGCGAGAGAAAAACAGCGAGACCGGCGAAACGACGACTTCCGCAACTGTTCAAGTCGTAGATGTTAAACTTGCTGGTTCAACATCGAAGCATTCAAACTCGCTCGACTTTGCAGCTGGTGACGTGAAGACTGGATTTAAGCGAGAGAAAAACAGCGAGACAGGCGAAACGACGACTTGCGCAACTGTTCAAGTCGCAGATGTTAAACTTGCTGGTTCAACATCGAAGGACTCAAACTCGCTCGACTTTGCAGCTGGTGACGTGAAGACTGGATTTAAGCGAGAGAAAAACAGCGAGACAGGCGAAACGGCGACTTCCGCAACTGTTCAAGTCGCAGATGTTAAACTTGCTGGTTCAACATCGAAGCATTCAAACTCGCTCGACTTAGAAGCTGGTGACGTGAAGACTGGATTTAAGCGAGAGAAAAACAGCGAGACAGGCGAAACGGCGACTTCCGCAACTGTTCAAATCGCAGATGTTAAACCCTCGGGTTCAACATCGAAGCACTCCAACTCGCTCGACTTTGCAGCTGGTGACGTGAAGACTGGATTTAAGCGAGAGAAAAACAGCGAGACAGGCGAAACGGCGACTTGCGCAACTGTTCAAGTCGCAGATGTTAAACTTGCTGGTTCAACATCGAAACATTCAAACTCGCTCGACTTAGAAGCTGATTACGTGAAGACTGGATTTAAGCGAGAGAAAAACAGCGAGACAGGCGAAACGGCGACTTCCGCAACTGTTCAAATCGCAGATGTTAAACTTGCTGGTTCAACATCGAAGCACTCAAACTCCCTCGACTTTGCAGCTGGTGACGTGAAGACTGGATTTAAGCGAGAGAAAAACAGGGAGACAGGGGAAACGACGACTTCCGCAACTGTTCAAGTCGCAGATGTTAAACTTGCTGGTTCAACATCGAAGCATTCAAAATCGCTCGACTTTGCAGGTGGCTACGTGAAGACTGGATTTAAGCGAGAGAAAAACAGCGAGACAGGCGAAACGACGACTTCTGCAACTGTTCAAGTCGCAGATGTTAAACTTGCTGGTTCAACATCGAAGCATTCAAAATCGCTCCACTTAGAAGCTGGTGACTTGAAGACTGGATTTAAGCGAGAGAGAAACAGTGAGACAGGCGAAACGGCGACTTCCGCAACTATTCAAGTCGCAGATGTTAAACTTGCTGGTTCAACATCGAAACATTCAAAATCGCTCGACTTAGAAGCTGGTGACGTGAAGACTGGATTTAAGCGAGAGAAAAACAGCGAGACAGGCGAAACGGCGACTTCCGCAACTGTTCAAGTCGCAGATGTTAAACTGGCTGGTTCAACATCGAAGCATTCAAACTCGCTCGACTTAGAAGCTGGTGACGTGAAGACTGGATTTAAGCGAGAGAAAAACAGCGAGACAGGCGAAACGGTGACTTGCGCAACTGTTCAAGTCGCAGATGTTAAACTTGCTGGTTCAACATCGAAGCATTCAAAATCGCTCGACTTAGAAGCTGGTGACGTGAAGACTGGATTTAAGCGAGAGAAAAACAGCGAGACAGGCGAAACGGCGACTTGCGCAACAGTTCAAGTCGCAGATGTTAAACTTGCTGGTTCAACATCGAAGCATTCAAAATCGCTCGACTTAGAAGCTGGTGATGTGAAGACTGGATTTAAGCGAGAGAAAAACAGCGAGACAGGCGAAACGGCGACTTTCGCAAGTATTCAAGTCGCAGATGTTAAACTTGCTGGTTCAACATCGAAGGATTCAAAATCGCTCGACTTTGGAGGTGGTGGTGTGAAGACTGGATTTCAGCAACAGAGAAATGCCTTGACTGGAGAGACAGCGACATCTGCCGGTTTTAAGGCGACTGATTTCGAACTTGATGGCTCTACCGCTGAGTAGTCCAAATCATTGTTCATGGAAGCGGGAGATGTTAGAACTGGCTCTGAGCATCAGAGATATGTCATGACTAGAGAGACAGCGACATCTGCCGGTTTAATTGGGGCTGATTTCGAAGTTGCTGGCTTTACCTCTGAGAAGTCCAAATTATTGCTCAAGAAAGCGGGAGATGTTACAACTGGCGTTCAGCAACAGACAAATGCACTCAGTGGAGAGACAACGACATATTCAATACTCTGAGTTGCAGACATCTGCAGGTTTGAATGGATTCCGGGACCTGTTTTAAAGGACGTCGAGCTAAACGAGTGGGACGATGTCGGAAATCTTTTTTAGTTTTACATGTTATTTGTTGATAAGTTCCTCCCAGTTTTTTGATCCAGTCATAGAGCTAACCGAAACTAAAGCCAAAGCAATCACGTAGCTACTTTCCACACTGCACTGAACACTGCTATAACCAGAATCGTTCATTCCAGTTAAGTTGTAAGTTACAGAAATTCTTATCTGCGTGCTGCTAGAAATAAATTATTGTAATAAGAAAGTGGAAGTGATCAATATGGCTATTTTTTATAACATCCGTATTCTAATGTAGAGGCCAATGTTCCTCATGTTCAAGTTCAATTTATTAGTTCATGATATACACAAAAATACCGCAAGTACGGGTCCTGTATTTTCGCAAGTTATCCTATACACGTTCTTACAAATTTAGGCTGTGTAGGTTCTTAAATAGACGCTTATTTTCTGTAAAAACAAATTACGTTGTAGCTAATAGAATTTAGTGCTACTTAGCCTATTCCTTATATAAAATCTGCATACCAAGTTAGTATTTATGTAAAAATGACTAAGATAAGAAAAATTGAAGCACTGATCACATTAATTTTGAAGTCCTTCTTGAGAACATGCCTTAGATTAAAAAAAAAACGAGAATCTGTTTCAAATTTTAGGCTAAACAGCTTCTTGTATATAGGGGGTCTAACTGGCTAATTATAGGCTAACAGGTTTTTTGAAACTAGGTTCTTACTTGCGGGTTTTTACTGTCTATCTTACTAGAAATTGGCACCGTCCGCGATCTGTCAAGTTGAGCAACCGTGACGAAGACGGTAGGTGTGAGAATTAACTCAGTCTCTGTGATTTTCGCTAAAATTAAGGATATTTAAAAATATAAAGAATGGCTTACAAATTTACAAGTAAATCTATATTGCAATGCACTTCTATTTTTAAATCTAGTATTGCAGTTGATTGATATTTTCTCTTCTCAATATTTACTGCTTTGAGGAGTACTATTGCATTTTTATTGAGGCGTATTATTATTATTATTTGAGGAGTATTATCGCTTTGAGGTTTTATTATTGCAATATGCATTGGATCTAATCACGGGATGCACTTTTCTGTTTTTATACAGTCTACACCTTATTCCAAAATGTCCGCCATTTTACTGTTCTTTAACTTTCAATTTAGTCCTTTTGCCTCGTTCTTAAGCTCAAAATTCAAACGGAAAAGATTTGGTTTGAATGCGGAACGAAGGCCGCCTTTGAATGCCAACATAGACCTTATTCGTAAATGACGCCTAATAAATTGTTCTCTTGTCTTTACGCTTAAATTGTCCTCAGTAGCCTCGTTAGCGTGTAAAAATTGAAAAGAATTTTTGCTTTCAAATGAGGCTGGTGAGCAAAATAAAATGGCGGTCGGATGAGGTGTATGGGTATTGTGTAACGGGACGATGGGCCCCGTTCCCTATCCCAGACAATATTCTGGGATAGGGATAACAGTCAACGTGAAAGGCGACTTCAGATTCAGCGCGAGCAGCAAAGAAGTAGCTTCGCGAGGTTTTGCGAGTCACGTATTTCTAGTAATATTTATTTAGGTGACGTAAATTGGAATTATAGGTTAGGCTAATCCATGAGACGTTTTGTGTAAGAATCAGGCCTTACTTAGTCCATCCTCCGTCCTCAATCTTCCGCTTTCACCAGCCATATCGATCGCACAGTCAATCAAAATTTGCTAAAAATGGTGTCTGGATTTGCACGCACCGCCCATCGCTGCTCTACTAAACTAAAGCGAGAAAAGGGGGAAGGCTTTTACCCTGTTTAAGTAGGCCAAACATTTCAAATGAGCCAAGTTTTTCAAGTCCTCACGAAAGCAACTAAAGTAGCCAAGTAAATCGAGTAGGCCAAGAAAGTAATTCAAAAAAAGGTCAATCAAGACAAGTAACTAAATAATGTATCATATATGATTTATCTACCAACAACCCAGAAATCATTGCGGGCAGTCATTGTAACATTTCTCGGTGACTGAGGAAAGCCGTGAAAATGTAAGTATAATTTTCCACTTTTGTCTCCATGTTGGAGATGACTTTTGGTATATTCCATTTTTAAATCTTAGAGAAAGCTGAGTAATTTTGTGATGCGGGTAATCATGAAGCAAAGTTGTCTCAGGTCACGTTGGTGTTGCTATGGGAATGATATTTAGTCCTTGACTAAATAAAAACACAAAAATGCTTTAAGCTTATATACAATCAACGTTTTGCTTTTCCATTGCCTTCTATTTGTAGAAATAAAGCTCTGCTTTTTATCGTATATCCCTTGTGTTCCAGCTTTCAATTTTTAACGCCGTCAAGTTAGGTGAAATGATTCATCGATCGTGTCCATATATATAATATATATATACAGTAAGCTTAAGCTTGCTTAATTCAAGTTGTAAGTTGTATTTAAATAAGTGTATTTTTGTGTAGTGAATGTCCACTCAGCAAATTCCCTTCGGTTTGTTTATTATGTGGCTACATATTGTCTGTATCCAAGAAAAATCCATGTTTCATTTGTTCAGCATGAGAAAGAATAACAACTATTTAATCTTATTATTCATTCTTTGTTCATTTATTTATTTATTTATTACAATCTATGGATTAAAAACCAAAGGATGAACTGTAAAGGAGTCCTAGACCCCATATAAAAACAGATCACCTAAAAATATATAGAAACACAATAAAATAATAGTTTCAGAAAATACAGAAATATAAAAGCTACTTAAAAATCACTGAAAAATTTCCTAACTCTAGACTTAAAAATATTTACATTATCAGAAACACGAATGTCTAATGGTAGTTGATTCCGCTGGTCAGTAATTCTATGGAAAAAACTATACTTCAAGACATTAGTTCTGGCATATTTCTTCTTTAAAGTTAAAGAGTCCTTAGCCCCAAGTGAGAAGCGGTCAGCTTCTGAGTGGAAATCTAAATCTGATGTCAATGTCAATGTTGCCATTAAGTACTTTATATAAGAAAGTCACGTCAGCCAGTGATCTTCTCTTCTCCAGTGACATGAGGTTTAACTTCTTCAAACGAATGTCATAGGGATCATCACTTTTTAAGATAAGTTTAGTCGCTCTTCTCTGTACTCTTTCCAGCTTATCAGTATTTCTCTTTGTATATGGGGACCACACCACTGAACAATATTCCAAATTTGAGCGGACCAATGAGCAGTAAAGAGTACGCAAGGTCTTAGGGTCATCCAGACCTTTACAAGTTCTCTTAATCAGACCGAGCATTAGTCAGTTTGCGCTTTCTAAAACAAAAAGCTAATTTTCTCTGGGAGGCAGTAGGTTTGCACATAATTAGTAGGTGATGTGATTTCAGAAAACAAACAAACAAGGAAAACATAAGAGGTAGAAGGGAAGATACCACATCTAAAGCCTTTACACTTAAAAAGGACCTTGTATCCAGTGTTCTGTTATAACATAATTTAAATCCCGGTCTATTCTGGGTTACCTGTCTGATGTAATCCAAACAGTCCAATAAAGAGCGCTTAAAATAATTTTCCCAGAGGCTGAGAGTTACACAGAGGCCCTCCAGTTGGCTCAATTAACAACACAGGCTGATAGGAGAGAGTACTTGTGTTTTAAGTAAATGGATAAAATGAAGTAAAGTGATCATCCTCTGGTCCACTTATTACTGAAACCCATTGTTAATAGCTGTCGTTATAATTTAAGGACAACCCCGCAGTAATTTAACTTGTTCAAAAACGTAATTAACTGTAGAACCAGGAGAGCTGAGGAATTTTTTACATTTAAATATTTTAATTGGTTAACCGTTAGTATTATTAGATTAGTTGACCTATTTCTGGTAAATTTTGTTTCTTGTAAATCTAGCTCGTTAATTCAGTTTCTTCTATAACTGCCAGAGAGTTTTACTAAACTTTTCAACTTTTCCACCAAATATGTATGCTGTCGTTTTTCAATTGAGCATTTAATATTTGTCCATTGGCGTGTGCTGTTAACATACAGTGTTTAGGATAATTGTTATAAAATAAATGGTAAATGGTGCAACTATTTAGTTTGCTTAAAGCGCTAAAAAGCTTCAGTCACTCGTGGTGACTCTTGCGCTTCTCTTGCGCTTCTCTTGTGCTTTGCAACCCCCCATGAGGCAATAGCTGAGAGTAATAGTAGCTTCATGAGTGCTTCCCAACTGCCAAGTACAACCATAACTTAATGGTTGAGCCATTTACAGTACCGTTATTTTGTTTTATAACATTAATCATGAACATACCCTGTAAGTGGGGGATTCTCGTCTCTTATCCGCTTTGGTAGCACAACGAGAGAGAAACCACTGTGAGCAAGCGATCCGCTCAGTCCTCAGTCCTCCTGTGGAAGAGTATTGGGTGCTTCTTGAGAAGCGGCCTCTGTGGCTTCCGGTAATTCCCCTGGTGGGTTGTACCGCTTAACAAATGAACTGTTCCACCTGTATTCCACACCCTCCTTTGACCTAACAGTCACCTCACCGCCTTCCTTAGTCTGCACTGTGTATGGCTCACTCTCGAAATTTGCTTCTAGCTTGCCAGACGTTTTCGTGTTCTTCAGTAAAACCAGATCTCCAGGCACTACAGGGCTTTCGGCCGCACCCCGCTTGTTGTCAGCATGTTCCTTGTGGGTGAACTTGTGATTCCAATCACGATCTCTGACCCCTCGTCCAACAGGTTACCAGCGCGCCTCAACTCTGGAAGTTTGGTTTTCAA